CGTCATTGAATGCTGAGACCATGTGACCATGTGGCACCTACATTACAACACTGCATAGCCAGTTAGGGGATAAGATGTGGGGTGCTGCTGCATGGCGGTTTCAAGATGTTATTTATGGAGTCCTGGCAGGAGAGGGGGGGGGGGGGGGAGGGAGGGAGACCTCGTATATCAAGTTTCATTTTGCTGTTTGGAGCACCTGGGACTTCCCTGGTCCTGAATACATATACACTCACGGTGCCCTGGTCTTTGGGAATACTTGACCCTTCATCCCCAGCTGGCTTTAGCACTGCACCAGGAGGTTGCAGTCCATTAGATGGCTGGATTACTGCAAGTTTAAATGGTTATTCAATCAATGACTGAGACGCTGGTTCCAGTTGTAATGAAATATCCATTATACTACATACTTCCTCGGGGGATCGATGTCATTCCAGGGTCCTTATTGTGATTCTCAGGCGCTAGGCGTCCAACGTCAAATTCCCATGATGCTGCAGACTTTTCACGCACCGTCCGGCACAATGGGGATATTGTCATCTCAATGATCCGGTGTTGATTGCCTCTCCCTCGCCGGGCCTCGGCACTGGCACGAGAGAAACATACGGTTGGTGAACGATGATCGCCTGATGGCATTCGGATCCGACTTGCAGGGACATTGTAGCCGCTGCATTCATGCATGCATGCCATGTTCTGCAATCTGGGGCATAACGGGTCCATACTGGACTTGTTGCTTGCCGATTGCATACTATTGGTGGCCCGACTAATCTTGCATGTGTTATGGACTCTGATCCTGCTGTCAAGCGATGATCCCGCTCATACATGATACAGCAGCAGTGTCACGAGATTATTGACTTCGTTCTCAATGTAGATTGGTAGTGGGTTGCATGATGTAGTGTTGGTCCTGGCAACATGATCCCTGAGGAGGTGCAGCCACTCTGCTGCCTTCAAGCTGCGGATCAACTACAGCTGCCAACCACAGGCTGCCAAGTGACCAGCCATCCTGCACACTGGTATGATATTCCGAATGACTATGTCTGTCTGTCCGTGCATGCAGGACTTGGGAAATAATAGCCGAAAGGCGTCTGGCACTGTTTAGGCTGAGCTGCTCCCGTCGCCCATTGGATGCCGATCAATTTCAAAATGGCATCGTCCTTCGAATGAATGCGCGGTCACACTGACCATTGGCATTGTCACTGTGCTGTGTGCGCTGATACGAGCTGCGGACGGTTTTCACCATGTGACGAACGGCTTTGTGTAAACTCCGCCATTGCCGAACTGTTGACCGAGACGATACGTCGACTGCGGACGCGAATGTGCTCTGGCCGTGCGCAGTGTCCGTTTGCGCAGCAGCTAGCACTACGTCGAAATCGAGGCGTGTCCGACTTCTCGTCCATGCCCGGCCGTCGCCAGATGGGAGAAACGTGTGTCTTCACGGCTGCCAGCTTACTCGGCCTAGTGTTTGTTTCTGGTGGCCCCTTCGCGAGCACTCATAGCCAGGGGAGGACAAGTCCGGGAGTCGCTTAGCTGCCTGCTTCGTGACACGACGTAGCCAAATTCCCGCAGAGCTCCCTTGATCCTGCCGACACCGCTGATTTTGCGAAGCAGCACTTGTCATTCACGAAGTAATCTCATTTATTCTCGCGGCTGCTTTTCCACTGCTACTCGCCGGTCCCCTTATGAATTCACAGCCAGCACCTAGAGGAAGCCCATATGGTCGGGGTACCGGGAAGCATGCGCGAGGGACGGAAGCTGACCTTGTCCGACCACTGGAGTTTGCGTGCAGCACGCAGGAAAAGAAACACAGCAGCAAGGACGGTGCAGGGTTCAGCGCAGCGAACAATGATTCTGGCTATTTGGACGGCAGTATAGCGGATGTGGAAACGGACGAGGAACCTCACGATGTGTCTGCCGGCGCTGCAGAAATGAATGCCAGTTGCTCCTTCGACGAAGGGTTCGTCAATGGTGTCGCTCAAAACATAAACACCGGAACAGTGATGCGAAGTGATGATAGTGAAGTAGTGGGTAACGAAGCTAGCTCATTCATGAGCCAACAAAATGCTCCGCTGGTGAACATTCGATGTCCGCGACCCGGTAATGACACAACTGTGAGCATCACACAGGAGGAGTTCGGTCGTTTACCTGCCGATGTAGCAGCCTTCTGTTACATCACTCTGTATGATGCCGACTGGCGACAGCTGTCCCGGCGCAGAGAACAGGCGGCAAGGGACGCAGCCAACTCTGCCCTCGATCTGGCTTACGTACGGGACGAGCACGGCAAACGTCCGGGTTTCTCGGCCATGTTCGGCACGGACTGGGATAGAGAAGCGGTGTACCAGGTGTGGAAGGACATGAAGCGGCATCTACCGCGTGCCGACCCGCTGGAGCGCGTACTAAACTGGGTGTTGTCCGATGACGTACGGAGTTATGCTCCCGACGAAGTGATTGAATGTAAGCTTGCACAATCTAGATGTTATTGATCTACTGTGATGGATATTGAAATCCGATGGGATGACCTAAGTTAACAGCTTTTAGCTCATACATGCACTGTAGTTCACACACACACACACACTGTAGACATGGACCAGCAGTGCCCGCGGCTGCAACTAAGACCAGCGACCCGGTGCCGCTTGACTTCTTGACGGATTTCAATGTCCGCTTCAGAAGGTTACCGCCCTGTGTGAGAACACACCCTCTGCGGAACACTACCCCCGCTGACGGCATGGTGAATGTACTTCTCCAGCCGCCGCAATGTGCCGCTTCTCTTCTGGGTATACAGATATGACACAGGCTCTCCAAACACATCATGGTACCATAGTGGGACACCCGTACAGTTATGGCATAATGACTGTGCAGAGGTCATGCCAATAGCATCATCGCATAATATGCTTTGTATTGAGTGTTAAATCAGTATTCGTGATGTCACAATTTTACCACTCAATACGAACCATCGCAGGTGATGACGTAATCGCATAACTCCCATAATTATTATGAAGGTGGCTGTCTCTGATATAGCCAGGGAGTCGTAAAATACCGGTATTTTACGACTCCCTGGATATAACATGCATGCAGATGTGTTACCAGGACTGCAAAGCCAAAGGACTTGAGTTAAAAAGTCTGAGAGCAGTTCATTGCACGGCATGATAGGTGAAGATCCAACTCAAAGTGTGTATTTGCCGCCCTGGATCTGGCTGCATGGCTCTCGACGCCCTGGACGTGGTACAAATGCTGCCGGACATGTAAAATAACGTTACAGTGATGTACATGTACATGCAATGGGAACTGGTCCAGGGCGCCAGCTTTGCACCTTATTTCACCTAGCGCAACTCTATCAGCTATTTTCAGCAGCTAGTTAACCTGAGCACTGGTGGTGAAGTACATGTACATGTACTGTCATACCTGTATGTTGATCAAGAATATGCTGGACCTTTCTGCTGTATTTTGATGGGCACTGGCAGATGAGCAAGTCTTCCTGAACTTGCCAGAACGAGGCAAGCACTTCCCCAACCCCAACCCGGCGATGTCAATTGCCGTTCTTGAAGGTATGTAGTATGTACATGCGCAACCGGCTTGCGCCCGGGTGTTTTCGCACTGTCCTGAAAAGATCATGTTTGAGAATGTTTGATTCAATGTACTTCGAAGTATGAGTAACTTTGTCAATGGAGCAGGGGGGAGGGAGCTGCACTTACTCCCCCCCCCCCCCCCCCCGGCCCCACCCCTCTAAAAATACACACATACACATACACAAAAGAGAACGTTTAGACCTTGGTTCAACATGTACCTGAGGATTGCAGTGTAGTGCTTTGACGGTCAATGTGTTGTGAAGCAGAAACACATCAGTGTAGAGCTGTGAAGGGACTACTAAGTATTGTAGCCATGCCCAGTAATGCATGTTCATGCCTTTATATCCGTAGCTACATTTCAGGAGTAGATTCCATACTGGGTCAGACCATCACACCACATAGATTGGTGCCGTGTTTTTGGTTGAGTCGCGCAGTCTACCATGGATTCCTCTTATTCCTAGTTTTGCTTTTGTAATGTTTTAGGTGGAGCGATGTGTTTGGGCACTGACATAGGATAAACTACAGTGATTGTTGTTGCTCATAACATTTCTAGTGTTTTTTTATGTGTCTTTTCCACATTTATTTCCGTCAGAGAACTGAAGTACCCCCCCCCCCCCCCTCCTCACAGCGTACACTAACGCCAATGTTCACAATCATGTTCTTTGTCCATCTTCTGCCAGGATACGAAACCAGCATATCGCGCTGTGCATCGGAGCGTGGCACGCACGGTCACAACAGTCCCGTTCCCATTGATCCACACGGCCAAAAGATCCTGGATATCTACAAGGAACTCCACCGGAGACAGGTATGTTGCATCCTTGGACGCTGTCTATCGAGTTTTGAACACAGCCTTGAGGTGCGGGGCATGTATATCTTGCTTGGACGCCGTCCATAGAGTTTTGAACACAGCCTGGAGGTGCGGGGCATGAATATCTTGCTTGGGTGCATTTTGCCCTATGTTCCCGTCTTTTTACTTAATTGAGCATATGTGTGTGTGTGTGTGTGTATGTGTGTGTGTGTGTGTGTATGTGTGTGTGTGTATGTGTGTGTGTGTATGTGTGTGTGTGTGTGTGTGTGTGTGTGTGTGTGTGCGCGTGTGCGTGCCGCGTGCCTGCATGTATGTGTGGTTGTGTGTATGTGTATCTGTCTTGTTGCACACAACGATACCCGTGACTCACAGGCGAATGTGAAGGATCAAATTGTGCTGGGATCGATCACCGCCGAGACTCTTGAGCAGCAGATGGTAAGCATTGAATGAGAGGCTGCTGTGCTTGGACACATCACATTGTGATGCCCTCCTTTTCTTGTACAACCAACGGCGAATGAAAGTCTATCATAATCATCTGGATACATCACCTGGAAAGAGAATGTTATTCTTCATTAGCTTGTCCAATGGCACTCAAACACGTCGAACATCACCCGCTATATCCCAGTGATAACAGTTCTATCACATCTAGCTAGTCCATCTCCTCTCTCTACCACTGTATGATACCAGTGTATCTTTCAACACAAAATATCATGTGATTGCGTCTTTCTCTGTGTTCGTTCCTAGCTCAACAACGATTCCGAAGACAACTCATCAGAGTTGGTGCATGCCCTTGATCACTACCTGGCATTGAGGCGTGCCTGCAGGACACTGTATGCCGTGGAGCACATGAACAACACAGGTCTTGCAAACGGTCACCGCGGTGGAGCTGCGGCGGCGGCAGCAGCAGCAGCAGCGGTGGCTGCAGCTCGTCCTCACCTTCTCTATGCCCAGCAACAGCAGCAGAGACTGCAGGCAATGGCCAATGCCGATGGTCATCCCCTGTTACAGCATGCTACCAATGCTCATCACGCTGTGCACCAAACAGCACATGTTCCACACCATCATCATCATCAGCAGCAGCAGCAATACCAACAACAGCCACAGCAACACCAACAGCAGCAGCAGCAGCTGCCTTACATGGCGCCTATGCCTGGCCCACACCAGCGCATTCAGCACCAGCACCAGCAGCTGCAGCACCCTCAGCAGTATCAGCAACAGCAGCACCAGCACAGTTCTCCCAGGCGTTATCCGGTTCACGTTACCAACCCGGCGCCGTTTGAGTCGCTGGATGCAGCTGCCAGGAATGGAAACATTGTGGATGGCATGTACTTGCCTTCGTTGCCTAGACCAAACAATGTGTTGGAGGGCAGAAGACCTCAAGTACCCAGTTCAGCCACAAACACAGGTAGGGCGTCAAAAATTGATTTGCACTTTTGTTATTCTCCGTGTGCCGAGATTGGTTGGAAATCTTAAAATTTGGTCCCTTTTTGTTTGTGCTTTTTAGGAGCCGCCGATGGATGTAACCGCCACACAGCTGCACTGGGGCCACTGAAGAGCAATCGCCGGCAAAAGCGAGTACATCACCCGCCGGTACCACCTGCAAGACAGTTGTGTAAGCACATGTAGCAGTATCAACGTTCCATTGCCACTCAACGAATTGTACCAACTGCATCTGTGTAGGGTGAAAGACAATTCTATTTCATCACGAAAGCTGTATGTATTCGCACATTACTTGCCACTCATCACAACGACTGCGGCGTGTTGTCTTGTTGTATTGCTGTGTGTTTAGCAAATAGAAGTAACTCCTTCTACACGCTACCATACCAATGCCTGTGGCAACGCTGTGGCAGTCGCTTCAAGTCCTCGCAGGAGCTTTACACTCACGTGGAGCGCCAGCACATCAAAACTGATCCTGGATTTCTGACCGGAGAAAGAGGCTTCAGGTAACACAAAGTTCTATCTACACCATATCTGCTGCACTTTTACTTTTAAATAGGGGTGAAAGTTGGCACTGAGATCCCGAGTTCGAGTACTCTGATTTTCTCCGATCGAATATTCGAGTATTCGAGTATTCTTCATCTCCTAAAAATTGCACACCAAGGGCCTTAACATCGCATGATACAACCCTGATTGAACCGAGTGGCAGTCATTTTTCTCGGGTGTGTTCGTTGGTGGGTCATTTGGGCTCTCTCTACTCAGGAACAAATGTTCGCCACACGGTCTGCACATCAATATCTGCCGACTGCTGCTCTGAAACTGCAGATTTCTGTGGTAAATGAATGCACCATGTATGAACGAGTACTCTGATTTATTCCGAGTACGATTATTTTTGAAAAAACCGAGCGAGTACTCGAGTATTCGGTATAATTGTTTCACCCCTACTTTTAAAACACATTCACTAATACATGCATACCTCTTATATCCGAGCGGTCCGGGGACCGGGTAGTGCCCGTAACTTCGTAACTCCGATTCATATACGGTTTAAGGGGGAAAGGCCATAGACATGGCATAATGATATGGCGTCACTATTTCCACAAAAGTTACAAAAGAGTAGTAATGTTTCCACTGAAACCCGCCCGGAGAGTGCCCGGTATACCAAAGTGCCTGTAACTTCGGGGTCTGGATAACCGAGGTATGAGTGTAGAATCAAATTAACAAAGCCACTCTCGTTCTATGCCCTGTGCGCTTTGTTTGGTATTGAGGAGCTTGCTAAAGAGAGGCACCAAACAGTCACCTATGCGCGCTAAGTTAACACATTGTGGATAGTGTGCGCATGCATGCATGCATGCATGCGCACACTATGTATATGTACATGATTACATTACTATACACATCTCGGCTGAATCCTAGAGATACACATCTGCATCCAGCAGGTTCATTCCACTCTGTTATGCTTGTACAACTGTGTACAGTCCAACCACCCAACAAGGGCAAGAATTGACTCTGACAAACACTGATGATGTAATTTCACGTTTAGACGATTTTAAAATATCTCCTTCAGCAGCGGACTTCACATGTCAGTTCCAGTGTTCGTACCCTTAACGTGTTTCTGTCTGGTTTATCTATGCCCTCAGCTGTCAATGGCAAGGGTGTACATCGCAGGAAACAAGCGTCATGGCCCAGCTGACGTCTCCCTCCACGTCCAATCTTGCACGTGATTTTGGCCCCGGCAAGCCCTCCCTCAACGCCAAGGGACGCGGAGGTAATGCTACGACCGGTCGGTCACCAGGTCAGCCGCGCAGAGTGGCCTTCTCCTGCAAGGCTCGGTACCAGCTGCTCATCCACATCCAGAATGTGCACTGTAAAGAGAAGGTAAGCCGCATCACAGTCCGTAGGTGCGTTCACGCTTTCGCCTTCACATCGCAACATTTTGTGATAGCAATCGCTATAGCGATTTGCCACAGCCAGAATCCAGGAGCATTGGATCTACAATAATTATAGCCTCTATAGGGCTCGAGTCTGAGTTTCATTAAAAGTTAACCAGACATCAGAATGGCGTATATTTCAGTCATTATCTGTTTGCAAAGAAGCTCAAGTGACAGCATAGGTTGTGGTCCAATCTGTTCTGAAGTGTCTTGTTCTAGCCTTGATGGTGGAGATCAAATAAACCTTTCACAACAACCTGTATTATGACGGGGACAAGTAGTACATGCAGGGGCGTCGGAACCGGTGCGGCAGGTCCGGCCAAAGCCGCACCAATAATTTCATCTTGTGACTTTTGAAGCAGTGAAATATGGGCTCTTTCAGTATTTGGGCCCAATTTCCCTAGAGTTTTCCCAGGGACCTGCACCAATGTCGAATACCTTCTAACGTCCCTCACATGACAGTTGCGAGTAATGTCCACTGGATAAGCTCATTGTGCAATGACAACGTTTGTACCACTACCACTCGCTGGAATGTTAAGGTCCACACATGCGTTTTCGAACTGTCTCTGTTCATGCACCGCCTGCTTTTTAGATGAAGTTTGACGAGCAAATCATGTCAGCTGGACTGTCTTCGGGCTCTCGTGAGGCTCACGCATACGCCTCAATGTCCGGGCAGGCAACAGATGGGCTCTCTGACATCACTGAAGTATGTACATGTGTGTATGTGTGTATTAGTGTGCGTGTGTGAACGTGTGTGTGTCTTAGTGTGTATCTTATATGATAGGAAGTTCTATTTTTGTGTGTGCATGTGTTTGTCATCAGCTGTGTGGTATAGACCAGGCTTAAATTAGTGGCGGTCAATTCATCAGCTTTGCAAGCTGTTGAATGGTGTAGTCCCAGCACTAGTTTGTTCGCTATCATCACTTCAGCTTGTGTTTTTGAGGTTTATTTTAAAAAAAAGGACCATGATAAAGTGTTTCGAGCATTTGGGCCGGGTTTAACATCGCAACATGTACATTAGGGACCTTTCGCATTTGCTACGAAACGAATGCGAAACGAAAGTTTGATTCAGCTCGTAATCGTTTCGTTGAAAACAGATTTCAGGCTTCGCAAGTCGTCATGCAAATGTGCATGGCAACTACGAATACGGCCGCGGGCGCCGGTAGCTTGGCGTACGGGTTTTCACACGCACACGTGCATGGATCATGGAATCAAGGGAAAAATGTGTACCTTGCAAAACATGTGTACCTATCCAAATAAATGTGTACCTGACTGATTCGGAGCATGCCACGAATGAAGAGGCTTCCATTCGTGAAAACGAGTTCTCCGCAGGGACTCTGACGAATCCTCGAACCCAGGTGACGAATCAGCATTCGTTTCGTATCCGTACGCGGGGTGCGAAAGGTCCCTATTTAGTCTGATCCCAAACCGAGTTCCGACCGAATTAGAATTGATTTGCAGCCTAACTCGGCCTGTGGTAGTGTAAATACTGTTTGAAAAGGGCCGGATATCTATACTGAATGAATTGCAATTGATTGGGGGAATTTCATCTCTATAGTAGTAATCTCATCACTGGACAAGTAACTTTCCAGGTGGTCACGTGGCCTTGTATCGTGTCATTCTATCTTCACAGAGGCGCTCTGAATCGCCCACACGCCCAGGCAAGCACGGATGAGCCACTCCGCAGTGCCGTTACGTATCCAGCCGGCGAGGACAACGCATACATAGCATGCTACTAAAGTCTGTTGAGCTTGATGATGATAGCCACTTGACAGCCACTTGACAGCCTGTATTCTATCTATTCACCATGAGATCTTCGTCTTGAAAAATAGTTTACGTTTTCATTTATTTTATATTTAATAAAAGCATCACTCTTCATGCAAACCATCTGGCTGCATCATTTAGACTTAGAGCGAGTGCTAGTAGAAAAAGGGTACTCAGATGATCTAACCATAGATTTATGTTTGCTCCCACCGGCACCGGGAGCTGCATCTGCGCCTTGATCCAAGAGGGTGGTGGCGTTCCTGCGGATGCGGAAAACTGGGCCTTTGGCCAAGTCTCACGCGAACCGTGAATTTTTTTTTTTTTTTTTTTGCGGATACAACCGGTTTTTTTAAAACGAAGTGCTATGGTATCCCACCTGTACTTAGAAGTTCATGATCTTTATTTCAGGCCTTTCTAACTCTGCCCATCTTAAAACTCATCTCACCGTGTAGATGGCAGCCACACTGACATTATCGAGTATAGCAGCCACGGTTCAAAACACAAAGTGGCGGCTGGGCTATGGTTATTGCAAAAGGTCACCTGGTCTAACATTCTCTGACTTGAATAATTAGGGAGTTGAAAAGGCAAACGTCTGAAGAAAACTTGACTGCCACCATGAGGACTCGAACCAGGGTTAGCAAAAGAGTGTTGTTATGGCAATAGATATAGCGAGATGCGTACCGACAGCTAGGGTTATGGAATTATTAACATGTTTATTACTGAACTTTCGCAAGCCTTCTCACCGCAGGATTTAGAGACAAAGTGACGTTTGTGAACGCCGACCACAAACACACTGATTAGGAGTTACGAGTTCACGTCAATGAGTCAATTTCACAATAATGCCATTATGGGTACGAGGAGAGAGAAAGAGAATGAGGGGGGGGGGGGGGTGGATGAAGCACAATTTCAACGGAAATCATAACAGAGAGAAACATGCAGTGCATATTGCCTATAGGATTGGTAGATATAGTGATCAATTTGTCAAATTCGTTTTCATTTTGTAAAACTAAGGAGTCATCTTCCTAAGTGTGTGCAGACTCCACTGTAGCCACTTCATGTTTCACACAGTTATACACCACAACACAAAACGGTCTCTTGGCTACAAATTCTTCCAAATTTTTTATCTTTTTGGAAGAATTTGTAGCCAAGAGACGGTTTTTGAGTAGTGGTGTATAACTAAGGAGTTATGGGGTAAAGTAATACCCGATACTCGCGTGCCCAATCTCGAATAGCGTCAGTGAAAATATGAAGCCCTGTCTTGAATAGTGCCCCCCCCCCCCCCCGGGGCTTGTAACCAAGCGCATGTGCAAGTTTGGTGTTGTTTTGCAATTGTTCTTGTCCACGCCATTGTACTGGTGATCTCAGGATCAACATAGCAGCTCTTATTGCCGTTTCTGTTGGGTCATCGGATAGTTGACAGGAAACAATAGGCTCAGTTTTTCCTTGGCTTTTTGTTTTGATGCTGGATTATGTAAATGTACCAGCATTGAAAAAATAGTGCCCTCTCTGGAATAGTGCCCTCCCTTGAATAGTGCCCTCTCTTGAATAGTGCTCTCTCTCTCTTGAATAGTACCCTCTCTTGAATAGTACCCTCTCTTGAATAGTGCCCCATCTGTAATGGACTTTGAAAAAAATAGTGCCCCAGGGGCACTAATCGCGCAAGTAAGGTAATCGTCCATAGTAATATTAGTACTTATCGCCTAAAAGGCTAAAGTGATCAAATTAATTTTCAACTTTCGCTGTCTAACTAATCATGTAGAAGCACACGTACCATGCACACACGTACCATGCACACACGTACCATGCACACACGTACGTACCATGCACACACGTACCATGCACACACGTGTCGTGTACACTGGATGTAGATGTACGCCGTAACCAAGTACAAGTATACACTTCGTCTATGTACGGCGTGCCGAGTCTCTTGATACCCCCGGCACTTGCATACAGTGCATGTAGTATTGGGCATAGAACTAAAAATCTAAAATGCTCAAAATCACAGACAAACACTATAGTCTATAGTCTATAGTCTGTAGGAAATACAATCTGTACTTCAAGAAGGATATCATATCAGTCAACAAACAAATGAGTGAATAGTACCTAGTTCTATTTGTAGCTCAAGTGATTCTAGAATACTACTTCAATAGCTATTATAATATAATTATGAGGGGGGAAAACTCCAATAAAAGCCATTACATGGTAGATTGCCATTCGAAGTTCAGTTGTTGCGGAAAATATCCAGGAGAAATTCGTCTCTGAGGTCATAGTGTTCTTTTGCCCTCTCCACTTCTTTGTTTCTTTCCTTTTCGCTGGGCAGCATAGGCTCTTCGTTATCGCTGTTCTCGCCTTTGACCGGTTTTAGATCCTCGAAGCGGAACCTCCTGAGCTTATAGCCCTTGACATAGCAGTATGTGATAATGAATGGTGATATCAGTAGTGTGATCAGGAATTCAACCAATGTCACAAACTTTCTCCATTTCTTGATAATTCCGCTCAGCAAAGCGCTGGCAGCGGGAATGACGTACGTTGCCATCATTAACTGCTGAACAATGTTATCGTCCAGCACACTGATGACATTGAGCATGGCAAAGATGCATGCACAGCTGAGGAAGACTGCTTCCCACACGTTGTCCTTGAGCTTACGGTACGGCATTATCAGGAAATGAGCGAAGAGATACACTTGCATGATCAGGGCAAGGGCCGCTTGGCGCGTGTTGGCTTCGGCCAGGTTCACCGAGACGAGACAGAGCAGAATGCGCCGGCCCAGGCCATACGCTATGTACCAGGTCTTGTCATCCTTGACGTAGCTCAAGTAGACGTCAAACAGCGGCTTGATGCGTGGGTTTGAGCGCATTGTCAGCAGCAACAACGGCAAAGGCATGGCAATGAACACTAGAGCACATAACGCCATCAAGCCCCACGGCCAATGCTCGTGGCCAAAGCATTTTACGGATGCGTCCGAATACAGCACATAATCTCCGTTAAATTCATGGCAGGCCAGTAAGGTGAACGATGGATAGAGCAACGACACATACGTGAAGCTCAGCAGAGCCCAGAGACCGATCACGAGTGAGTTGTCGATGATGAAGCGGCGCACCACAACCAGCTTGCTCGCGTAGTAGACCAGTGCGACCCAGACGAGGAACATGACAAAATCAAAGTATTGAAACGAGATGCCGGCCATGACAGTTGCTTGGCTGTTCAAGCAGCTACCAATGTCAATTTTAGTTATGCTGAAGAGATGTAGATCACGTCTGACAATGAACAGCAGGAACTGAAAAACAGCAGCAAAAACACAATACAACAAAGTGAACTTTGTCTACTCACAAATGCAGTTTAGAGACATTCCATTTACTTTCTCCAGATACAAAACTCCATGGCTATTTTCATTCACATTCTAAAGTGTGCTCAAGAAATTGATTTAGTTCGGTGGAAAAAATCATCAAGACAATGAGCGGATATGCTGCTTCATTTTCAATATGTGCACTACTATAACTATACTTGGGTGGCGTAACTTGTAGCTCTTTGGTCCTCTTTTCATCTTACTCTAACTATATGAATGGAATTGGCACTGTTTGAGTCTCACTCGGAGACATCATCGCTCAATTCCTCAGAGCTCAATTCACAAGAACAGACAGACTAGTCTAAGTAACGAACTGTTTGTCTCTGGAGGAATTACCAATCTTGGTTGATTTAAGGGAGCCCTTTTGAAGAGACTGATTATATCAGTGCGGTGGCAGTGCATTTCCTTGAGTTTTGGAAGATGCTGAAATAATTATGAGCATGCTTTGGTTCTGAGGCGCGAGGTTAGAGAGGCTCTACTGTAGAATCCGGAGACAGACAATATTCTCAAGCCTTTTGTAGCGTGGTTGTAGTGGTCAACACACACACACACTTGCGCACGCACACACATACACACACACACACACACACACACACACACACACACACACACATACACACACACACACACACACACACACACACACACACACACATACACACATACACACACACACACACACACACACACACACACACACACACACACACACACACACATACACACATACATACAGACCAGACACGCAGTCATGTACGCGCCGGGCGTTGACCAGCCCTAGACCTGCGAACACTGGGATTCGTTATGGTGCTAGGCGCAAACTTGAGTGCCGGGACTGGATTTCATTGAGCAGCACTGTACATGAGCGCTATCTTGCCTGACATTGTTCCCACTTACCTGCTCATAACTGACCCAGGACTCAAACACAGCTGACGTGCCCATATCAAAATAGGAGAACACCAAGAGATAGGCACCGGTTATCAGGAAGATCAGAAACGGATGCAGTCTTCCCAAAATCTTGGCTGCTCCTTCGCACTCCATGCAAACCTGCAACACATGTAGGAACAGTTGAGGAATGGTTATACAGTGATGAAATGCAAAAGATACTTTTAAGATGTGGCAATCTGGACCAGTATGCACTTGTCATGCCGAAGGACACCATTACGGCTACGCACCGTTACACAAGGTATTCAAAAATTACTTCGCATAGCGCTGATTCGATGTGTTGATAGTGCTGATTCGATGTGTTGATAGTGCTGATTCGATGTGTTGATAGTGCTGATTCGATGTGTTGATAGTGCTGATTCGGTGTGTTGATAGTGCTGATTCGATGTGTTGATAGTGCTGATTCGATGTGTTGATAGCGCTGATTCGATGTGTTGATAGTGCTGATTCGATGTGTTGATAGTGCTGATTCGATGTGTTGATAGTGCTGATTCGATGTGTTGATAGTGCTGATTCGATGTGTTGATAGTGCTGATTCGATGTGTTGATAGTGCTGATTCGATGTGTTGATAGTGCTGATTCGGTGTGTTGATAGTGCTGATTCGATGTGTTGATAGTGCTGATTCGATGTGTTGATAGCGCTGATTCGATGTGTTGATAGTGCTGATTCGATGTGTTGATAGTGCTGATTCGATGTGTTGATAGTGCTGATTCGATGTGTTGATAGTGCTGATTCGATGTGTTGATAGTGCTGACTCGATGTGTTGATAGTGCTGATTCGATGTGTTGATAGTGCTGATTCGATGTGTTGATAGTGCTGATTCGATGTGTTGATAGTGCTGACTCGATGTGTTGATAGTGCTGATTCGATGTGTTGATCTGAGTGCTGATTCGATGTGTTGATAGTGCTGATTCGATGTGTTGATAGTGCTGATTCGATGTGTTGATAGTGCTGATTCGATGTGTTGATAGTGCTAATTCGGTGTGTTGATAGTGCTGATTTGATGTGTTGATAGTGCTGATTCGATGTGTTGATAGTGCTGACTCGATGTGTTGATAGTGCTGATTCGATGTGTTGATAGTGCTGATTCGATGTGTTGATAGTGCTGATTCGGTGTGTTGATAGTGCTGATTCGATGTGTTGATAGTGCTGATTCGGTGTGTTGATAGTGCTGATTCGATGTGTTGATAGTGCTGATTCGATGTGTTGATAGTGCTGATTCGATGTGTTGATAGTGCTGATTCGATGTGTTGATAGTGCTGACTCGATGTGACGGTTGATAGTGCTGATTCGATGTGTTGATAGTGCTGATTCGGTGTTGATAGTGCTGACTCGATGTGTTGATAGTGCTGATTCGATGTGTTGATAGTGCTGACACGATGTGTTGATAGTGCTGATTCGATGTGTTGATAGTGCTGATTCGATGTGTTGATAGTGCTGATTCGATGTGTTGATAGTGCTGATTCGATGTGTTGATAGTGCTGATTCGATGTGTTGATAGTGCTGATTCGGTGTGTTGATAGTGCTGATTCGGTGTGTTGATAGTGCTGATTCGATGTGTTGATAGTGCTGATTCGATGTGTTGATAGTGCTGATTCGATGTGTTGATAGTGCCGATTCGATGTGTTGATAATGCTGATTCGATGTGTTGATAGTGCTGATTCGATGTGTTGATAGTGCTGATTCGATGTGTTGATAGTGCTGATTCGATGTGTTGATAGTGCTGATTTGATGTGTTGATAGTGCTGATTCGATGTGTTGAAAGTGCTGACTCGATGTGTTGATAGTGCTGATTCGATGTGTTGATAGTGCTGATTCGATGTGTTGATAGTGCTGATTCGGTGTGTTGATAGTGCTGATTCGGTGTGTTGATAGTGCTGATTCGATGTGTTGATAGTGCTGATTCGATGTGTTGATAGTGCTGATTCGATGTGTTGATAGTGCTGATTCGATGTGTTGACAGTGCTGATTCGATGTGTTGATAGTGCTGATTCGATGTGTTGATAGTGCTGATTCGGTGTGTTGATAGTGCTGATTCGATGTGTTGATAGTGCTGATTCGGTGTGTTGATAGTGCTGATTCGATGTGTTGATAGTGCTGATTCGGTGTGTTGATAGTGTCGAGAACTGCCGTTCACGAATATTTGAAATACATATAAATTTAGTGTTCACGTCTTACTTGAACTTCCTGTAGTTTCAGTCTGCAACTCCGTCGTCTTTCTCCTTTTCTAACTCAGTCTTTCCATTATCTGACAGTGGTGCTCTCACCTCTAGCTAGGTGCAAGCACCCTCCGCCAGACGCGAACTACATTCTTGTTTCTCTAAAGACTCTCAAATATATTTCTTCTTCGCGTTCACTTTCGTTCTGCAGTTTATTTATTTATTTTCCTTTCTTTCTACCTCGTGGTACACGCGCTACAGGTGCCACCATCTTTGTTTCCATGGCACCACAGTGCACCTGACCACGCGATCGCTACGCAGCTCAGGCCCGAATGGGTCTGGGTGCGCTGCGTCGCGATCTATTTGGCCTCGCTTGCTTCCGAGCACCGCCGTTTTCGGAGCGTACTCATTGTGCGTCTCAGTTTTTTTCTCCGTTGTTTGTATCTCCTTGTTATTGGTTATTCTTCTTCTTGACTGAAGTGTAGTTGATGAATGAACGATGGTGGTTTGTGTTGTAGTAGTGTGAGTGTGTGCATGGTTGGAAAGGTCTTCTACATTCTATAATCAAATCGATAAGATTTTGACAGATAGTGCTGATTCGATGTGTTGATAGTGCTGATTCGATGTGTTGATAGTGCTGATTCGATGTGTTGATAGTGCTGATTCGATGTGTTGATAGTGCTGATTCGATGTGTTGACAGTGCTGATTCGATGTGTTGATAGTGCTGATTCGATGTGTTGATAGTGCTGATTCGATGTCCGGATTTCACTTGTTATGACTGTTGTTATACTGTGTGTTGCACACCACAGACCCATTAGTGCAGGTGGTATTTTGATAATTTGAATATGGCTTAATTCGACATATTCGGGTACTTTATTACGGTACAATTCCCAGGCAATACGATTTCCTACTCACAACGAAACATGAAATCGAAGGATACACGGGAAATCACAAATACAGACACATACACACACACACACACACACACACACACACACACACAAAGTATGAAGACACCATCACCGGAACGACAAGTACTCACCACACTCCATCCTAGAGAGAAGGCATTGTTTCCGGAGCATTGGCCACAGATAGGTCCCTTGCGACTATCTTTGCATGGAGTGTCCTTCATGATTTGCCATGGCTGTTGCTTATGGTCAGTGCAGAATCCACAGCAGCATGGAGCTATTAGCAGCTTTTTGCTTCTCTCCGTGTCCTCAAAAGCCTGGAAATAGAAAAGGAAGAATGTCCATGTAACAGTAAGAAGATGATACTCGCGACACATTATGATAAAGTAGCTCTTCTTGTAGCTGTGGTCCCTACCTACAAATGCGCACGTGTCGGTGCCATAACATTAGGTGGTGCACTGAGTATTGTGTGGAACAGGAGCATGGAATACTCATTCTACTTGTTTGATATGCTCAGCTGCACCACTTATCTGTGTAAAAACAATCGATAACCAGATCATGGTAGATCTGTGCCACAAGTGGTTATGCTACTGTGGTATATCCCATTGGCCATTGGATATCGGCCAAAATCAGAAGCAACTGAAGACGAACCTCTAAAATCAAAGGATGTACTTCAATATTTCAAACTCCAGGCAGAGAACAAGCAAACAATACTATATGTACCTGTATTCCATTGCAAGTACATGAAGTCCGTCCACAATGTACGTGTACTGGCATATGTAAAAGACGTTTTGTGGAAGGACCCGGAGTAGATAATCAGAATACATGACAACAACTTAGCAGCTGATAAAACTGCTGATGTCTTGCATATACATGTAGTGGTAGGAAATTTATTATGGGTTCTAGGAGGATAAGGGTGCGCAGCGTCCCTCCCCCCCCCCCCTCTACTCTGATTGAACGCCCCCTGTGAAAATACAGCGCCCCTATGCATTTGTCGATTTTGTGGGTTTTTTTCAGGAAATTGAACAAAAATGTACAGTCAACTTCGCTTATAAGGACACCCGGCGGGGCATCAGAAAAGTGTCCTAATTCGCAAAGTGTCGTTATACCCGAAGTCTCATTATGTGTTACAGTTAGATGGGACTTTGCTCTGGGCATCGACATTCTGTCGTTATTCGCGAATTGTCGCTATATCCGCAGTCGTTATTAGCGAAGTTGACTGTAGTCGACAGTCATAAAGAGGGGTCAGAAAGGCATCCTTGTCTAGGATGAAGTCGGGGGTTCGCTCCTGTACATTAAATTTGGCATGACACTTTTGGAGAATGGAAAAATGGGTTACGGGGTAACTCTTTCCCCTGCCCCTCCCCCCCCTCCCCCCTCCTAAAATTTTGACTTGGCTAGAACCATGGATTAGTCCGTGTACTTCTGGCCATGTTCGCCTACATGCATGCTTCCTTTCAAAACTATTCCAGTAGAAATTGTCCATACCTGCAAGTCCGTGATGAATTGCTTCTCTGGAGCCCGGTAGAATTTTGTGGCGTTGCTATCTCCGGCCCAGTAAGCCCAGTCCACAGTGATGTCCGTGCCATTGGAGCAGGATTTTACGCCTTTACTTTCAGATGGACATTGGCAGATGAGGTTGTTGGCAGTCGATCCCGGCTCGACAAGCTTTTGATACACCCCAGTGAAGGAGCGAACGTAGTCGTCCATCTCCTGCAGGAAATAGTTAACGCACACTCTGGTTGGAATCTACTCGAGCGTGCACAAACAAAGTGCATCATCTTTTGGTGCTTCAAGGAATATGGAAAGGTGTGATGTCTGGTCGGCCAACACTCCTGGGCGGTTGGCTACAACCATGTGTCCAAGTGACATGCTGTGTACGTTGTTGGTGATGCTGATGAGATCCTGAATCTTCTGAAGGTTTCAGGTGCTGTGTCCAAAACCGCTCCTTGCATTCACAGCTGTATCTACAAAAACGAGGATACAGTCTTTGGATAAATGAAGTGAGTTGTTTGTTGTAACTCTGTGTTTCACATCAAAAGCAGTCAGCAGACAGAAATTGTAATGGGAGACTCGACGACAACTAGCCTCTAAACACTGAAGGTAAGAGATCCCTTTCCAGAAAACTTAGGTGAGAACTATTTTTAGTATTTTTTACACATGCTATGGATGAAAATCAGTGAGAGCAAGGTAAGGAGGGGGATAGGCAGAGCAGACTTCAATGTCCCGGTGGCCTTCTTGAGATGAGCTTGGTTTGCTTGCTGTGGCATGGTTTCTTGTTCGCACTGGTGTTGGACTCTGGCGGCTTCCCACCACACCTGGCTTGCGCCACCTTGTCAAATTAGAACTACAGGTGCAACCATTGGCTCACAATCCGAGTACATAGTACTACTAAGACACAATCGGAGAGAGTTGTGGTTTCTCGTGACAGTGCTCAATACACCAAGGTGCGGAGCCTAGTGTACACACTTGAAAGATGGAATCAAACGCGTTTCTGCTCAGTGTAACTCGAAGTTTCACGGTTTTAGCCGATCATCAGACGGGCAAACTCAAATGTGTGTAGTGTTGTTGCCAAGATAACGCTATCTTACCTTTTCTGTGCTGTGTGTCATGAAATACGGCTGAGTGAAGCCGAAATGGCATGGCCGCAGGCGGAACGGGATGATCAGCATCAGCGACGCTGCTGTGATCTGTCCTTCGACGGTGGCTTTCAACGTGCCCGTTTGCCCAGGTTTGCCAGCCAGCCCAATGATGATGGGAGTCATGGAGCAGTACATGAGGACTTCTGTTTGCTCATTGATTCGACCGTTTCCTATGAGCAAGACTGGCCCAGTATCCACCTGGGGCACACGCAATCATACATGAATAGGGAAACACAGATAAAATTTACTGCATCATCCTCGGCTCTCCACCCGAGTTTAAATTACTACATCAGGTTGAGAATAATGAACTTACTACAATACTAGTAGGACATCATCACATTTCAAACATTGGAGAAGGGAGGGGGGGGGGGGGTGGTAATTGGCGTTCATACATGTGACTCTGTACCCTGACGGCTACAGTGTGCATTGTACAAGCATGTCATGTTGCAATTTCTTCGTGTGTTTTCCTGCTCGGGTGTCTCAATATTAATCTGGAAGCCGATAATTCACGTATCCTGGTGTGAGCGGATAGTTGTTCGGTTGATGGATGTAGTCGGAAGCCTGCATCCTGCTATTGGCCTGGCCTATCATGAGATACCAGTAGTCGGTCAAGCAGGCCGCCATTTTTCAGCAGTGCACTGTGACTAACCTCTAAACGAACCAGGACACGCTTCTCCTGAAGGAAGACATCGGCAGCTTTGAGGCTCAGAGGGAACATCTCGCCGGGGGCTGGGTAGAGAGAAATCTCACTGACGTATGTTTGCAACGATTCAGACGTCGGTGTGCTGTCCTCCAAAGTTGCCTGTGCACCGTATTTTCTGGGGAAAAACCTTGTGGTATGCACACAAAGACACATGCACATACACATACACACACGGGTACACACACACACACACACACACACACACACATGCACACACACGTACACACATGCACACACACACACACACATGCACACACACGTACACACATGCACACACACACACACACACACACACACACACACACACACACACACACACACACACACACACACACACACACACACACACACACACACACACATGCACAACATAATTTTGAAAATCAGGTACACTAGTAGGTAGTTTGACTAAAACATTGAACCTGGAAATCGCCACATCATCATATCAAGGGATTCGTGATTGTCTACATTGTAGCGCACAAAAATCGGAGTTCAAATTGTGATGAACCGCATTTTGTCCATGTTCAGTTGGAATGACTAATGTGTACAAGACTTAGTGCCTTTGCATGATAATAGCGCCCGAGAACCACGACACGAATTCGGTGCACTCATTGAAGTTCTTTGCGTCAGCTCACCATTCATAAGTTGTTATGGCCCACGGTGTGATGAAGACATTACTGGCAAGAGCTTGGTCAAGGCCACTCAACTCCTGGGCGGATTCAAAGTACGCTTTCATGGTATTGACGTATGTCCCGTACAGTTCCGGGTAGCCTTCCTGGATGTACATGCTTCATGATAGCACAGCACAGAGTGAGAAACCATAGTATTCACATCATTACGTCATGTATGACCAAATAGGAATGTCTGTCTGTCTGTCTGTCTGCCTGCCTGTCTGTCTGCCTGCCTGTCTGTCTGTCTGCCTGCCTGCCTGCCTGTCTGTCTGTCTGTCTGTCTGTCTGTCTGCCTGCCCGTCCGTCCATCTGTCCGTCTGATTGGCACTGAGACTGATACGGGCCACAAGATGATCTATTTGTACACCGGTTCAACAACATACCATTGTCAGTATTATCAATAGTTCATGTTTTACTTGGGGGGGGGGGGGCAATAGAGATATGTGCATGATAATAGTACAAAGGTTGAGCAATGAGATGACGAGATGACTAGGATATAATATATCCGTGTATATTATACACGGTCTCATATTGCAGTGATCGCACAGTACGGATGGTTTATACTGTACCGGGTACCGGACTATAGTCTAAGTCAGAGGAATTCAACTTGCCCGCACGCAGGCACACAATGAGGAAAGGGAATACTTATGCAGTTGCAACTCCGAGTTTCATACCTATTCATGAATATCTGTGTGGCTCCTAGCCCATTGCTTCTTCTTCCTGGCCTCACTCTCCCTCAAGTGATTTTTACGTTACCTGTTTCGGTCAGCACCAGTGACCTGATAGTCGTGTAATGTTATACGCGTGAAGCTCGTAGCTGCAACAGCCTTTCCTCCTCTGCTTACAGTGTGGACAGGCTCTGTCTTCTGCAGGACATGGAGCACTCTGCAAGCAGTGGAAGACCCTCTACTCTACTGGCCTTACCTACTTATGCGGGAGTCGTTGTAAATCGTCGAGCTCTTGCAGGTACGAAGATACACCCAGTACTGCGATGTGTTGAACGGGTTCGGCTTGACACAGCCGCACCCGGCCGCAACAAAGTAGAGCCACACCGCACCCGACATCACCTCGGACGGTTTCGAAATGCTGTCAGCCGCATCCTTTATGGCAGTGACGAGCTCCGGTTGATCTCGTATGCAAGCGGTGTAGCTGTTGGCATACAGTGACTGGCCAAATGCGGCACGATTGCCTGCAAACGTGAACTAACATACAAGAGGAACAGCCAAATACATGCAATATAGTTATGAGTGAGTGTGCGATATGGTACATATCCATAAGCCATATACCGTATTTCCCCGATTGTAAGGCGCACTCGATTATACGTCGCACCCACACTTTGAGGTTTGAACCACATTGCTTCAATGCATGCATATAAGTAGGATGTCACTCTCGATTGTAAGTCGCATCCCCTTCTTTGCCCTTGAAGTTTAGTGTAAAAAGGTGCGACTTATATTCGGGGAAATACGGTACATATACTCTGGCCGCTGCCGCAAACATGTGCCCTTACAGGGCAGCATCCAGTATTGTATGCTGCTTCTTGTCACAGGTTTTGCGCCCTACATCAACCAACTTTCTTGCTCACCATGGTTGGAGAGGTAGCTTGCCTGGAGTTTATTTACCACGTGGCAAAGTTTAATCCACCTCTTCTTCACTAATGCCAACATTAATACTACTTCGAAGTAGTAGCTCTTCGGAATGTACTTGACGTAGTACATGTACTGTAATTTATGAATAACATTCTAGGTGGCTAAATCGTTTCCCTCAACAACCAGAGGAGCTTTAGACCCACTGATAACGAGCATTTAAAGTTGATTAAGATATGCACGAGAAATGGTGGTTTTGTGCTGACCGACTGCTTACGGTGGTGTTATCGCTCTGTGCCGAAGGTTTGGTGAAGGAAACCGAGGAATTGCTGTCGGCGTGGATGAAGCACAGCTTTCGCAGGCCGACAGTGGACTTGAACTCCAGTAGTTCATCAATACTCACAGTCGAGGATGACTCATCAGCATATATGGCACCACCATACCCCGCTGCACTATTGTTGAAGAAGTACATACTAGAGTTCTGGACGTCACGGGAAGCACACAGAAATCATACACATAATTATGCAGATGAAAATAAAACGTTTCTGTGTAAAATTCAACCTGCAGTGGCGATCCAAAATTAGAACCACCTGCACGTTGAATCCATACATCCTGTACACACACCTTGTACACACTCTCTCTAACGGTCTCTAGATATACATTAGCTCAAACGTTGCCTCTTTTAGCACTTGGTTTGATTGTGAATGTCTCGGAGTAAGTCCTTCCTGACCCGTTGGATGTGACACATTTTGGGGGTTAGAATAAACGCCCATTCGACTACATACATTCAACTTTGGGTATGACGGCAGCTTGAACAATGACAACCTGCCAATAGGCCCAAAGGCCATTGGTCAATAGTCTTTTTTTTGGTGCGTTTTATGTCCCCATGACGCCGATACCTCGGGCCGGCTGTGGGCAAAAAGCCTTACCATCACTATGCTCCCACTATGCAATTTTTTTGTCTTTGCCTGTGAGCTGTGATTATTGGAAAAGAAAAAGGAGCACAATCTGTGTGCCCTGAAGTCTAGATTGCGGTGCAAATAACGACATTTGCACCAAGTGCCTGTAGTGCCGTGTACATGCCAGAGCGAAGATTTGCACCAAGACCTGGTACACACATCGGAGAAATAAAACGTAGACACGAAAATAAGTCGACGTTGACATGACTTGGCTGTGACGTCATAGCACTTTCAAGCCCTCAACGCCACCTGTAACTGTTTACAAAATTCTCTTTACCCATGTACTCGTATAGCAGACACCGAATGCTCTCTTTTCTGCCAGTAAACGAATAAACTCCTCATTTTCTTGTAGCAATGTTCGGGTCTGTGTTAGGAATGTGTGATCAGGAATGTGTAAATTACTGCGGTGGAGGATGCACGTTCTAAACGCATTAACAGGGGCGTAGCACCCGCTACGACTGGTACGACCATGGCCGTACCACTTTTCGAAAAGTGTGGTCCGTCCGGAACGTGCAAAACCGTAATAAAAAAATCAGGATCCATCGATGCATGTGCGCATCAGACTTTGACCTTTTTCTAGACTCGTACTCGTAGATCTGCCATGCATCTGTGCATGTCCATGCACGTCTACGTCTCTTCTGCCCGTGAAATAATTTTATGACTTATAAACTGTGCCAGAAGTTCCCAGAACGCAGGATTTTGTGTCTTTTTTACAAAATTTTCCCGGGGGAGGTCCCCCGGACCCCCCTCCAAAAAGGCCTTCGGCCGCGCCGACCTTTGGTCGTACCACTTCCAAAACCCCTCCTACGCCCCTGGCATTAAGACTTAAGAGCTGTTTCAGCGATAAACACGAAAACCTACTCACCTCTCCAATAAAAAGCAAACTTTCTTCGTGAAGCGCGATGCCACCACCCTTGTTCGTTGCCTGGTTCTCCAGAAACGTGATGTTTTCTCCGACTGTCATACATGACCCCGACATGGCAACAGCAGAGTCGCCCGTGGACCATTGCACTAGCCTAGCAGGCAAAAAACACGCCAATACCAAAACATACTGCTCTATATATTTTGTAGTAGAATCGCAAGCAAGATAACTAAGCTGCCAGGTTGATTCAGATCTAGACAACTGCCTTTCACTTCAACTACACTGTTTAGCATGGCTGGCATAGTACCTAAAACAGACAGAGACATTCATACATGCCTAGATCGGCCTAGAATGATACATGAGGTGATGAGGTGCATACATCACCTACATTGCACCTTTCAAACGCTTTGCATTCATAAGTGTAGTATAACAATGCGGGATTTCACACCGAAAGAATCCTGTCCTCAGCCCAAAGTGGACTTTTAACTCAGTACGAGCAACCAGACACAGTACGATTTTTTATATTTTTTTATTTATATTTTATATTTTATTTCACCGTCCAATGGCAGAAGCCAATGCAAAGGAGGGGCGTTAGCCAGCCATGACAAGAGAAGAAAAAGAAGGAAAGAATATGATAATCGGAAGAAAGAATGCATCAGCGGGGTGGAATTATATTCTCTATGGGGAAACAGTTCTTCTGTAAGACTTATGCAAAGTCACATTGAAAAAATGCTGACTCTGTTAAGAAGTACTGCTGGGAGAGCACCTGCCACCGAGATTGCAATTACAATGCCCCAGTTGAGTGATCTGCTTGCACTGGATCTTGAGTAGATACTAGTACCCTGATTGAGCAGATTGAACTGACGCCATACGGGCTTCCCCGGTATTGACGAAACTGTATATCGGTAAGATGGACTTTCAAATTGTATACGCTGTGGTCAGGCTTGCATTACACTCTGTGGGTATTTCAATTTTCTGGTCCAGGTCCATGCGGGGAAAAGCCTCTAACTGGAATTCCAGATCTGATAACTACATGCGCATGCATGAAATGATTATAATGCGCCACCCCCCACCCCCCCCCCCCCCAAAAAAGAAACCCACGTTTTAGTCTGCTTCGGGGTCAGAGCCGCATTGTGTTGCCAAACACAATGCGGCTCTTGGAGGCAACATATCACATTCTTGTTTGAATTCGTTTGCATCAAAATGTGTGTTCAGGGTACAAGCTGGCCAAACGTTTTGGTGGAAAGCTCGCAAGGAGAGTGCAGCTCTCATCCCACTTAATCCAATAGAACTTTGATAAGACAAACGTCCAGGACAGCAGGAAAGAGTACATAGTATCCGAGGTACTGGCATGGATATTGAAATCCGATGGCATGATCGGGGCCGGCGCCCTTACTGCTTTTAGCACGTACATGCACTGTACTTCACACACACACACACACACACACACACACACACACACACACACACACACACACACACACACACACACACACACACACACACACACACACACACACACACACACACACACACACACTGGAAAAATGGGCCATCAGTGCTCGCGGCTGCAAGGCCAGCGCCACGTGGCCGCTTGACTTCTCAACGAATTTCTATGTCCGCTACGGTAGTATTTGTCCTAACATACTTCAGTGTGGATCAATACAAACGCGCCAGGGACGTACTAAGCAAGATCATGTCTACCGGAGTGCATAGTAAGCGAGTTCTGCCGTAACTTACATGTTAGCCACATCGAAGTGAACGTGACTTGCATAGATCGTCGATCCAAACTGGGCCGTGCTATTGAGCATTTTGCTGTTCCTTATCCTCACCTGAGGCAACTCTATGATGTTCACGACTGCTGTTTTCTCTTGCGTGGACGACGCTGCTATACAGCCTCCGGCCGCAATCTTTGCCACGGCTGCAGCTTTGTTATTGCTGAAGGAGCAATCATCGATATACACTTTGTGCTGCAGGTCAGCCGCATTGTAACCTTCATTCAGGTGTTGTGACCGGCCAGTGGCACGGCTATTCTCGGAGAAAGCTATGGCGCCGCCTTGCACGTAAGCCGTGTTATTGACAAAGCTGCACCTGGACACGGTCAGCGAGGTGTTCAATGATCCAGGCAGCGTGTACTTGTATATACCACCGCCGGCGTAGCCCCAACCGTTGCTGAACGTACTGTCTGCAATGAGAAACTGTGTGTCAATGCTCCTCCCGGCCGAGAATAGCAGCACAACGGAGTCAAACGGAGATGTGTTGTTGGAGAACGTGCAATTCTTGATGGAACCTCGGAATCCGGTGGATTCAAGCACCGCCATGTTGATGGCCGATGCATCCTCGTAGGGACGGCTACTGACGTACGCACCGCGAATCGGCTCTATGCCCAGTCCGCTGAAGCTGCTATCCTCGATACTCAGGCTAGTTCTGTCCTCGCACTCGTACAGCTCGGCAGGACCGGAGCAACAGTCCTTGCCGAACTCATTTCTGGAAGCACTACACGCACAGTCCAAGGCACACGTCCTGTTACTTTCGATTGCCGCAAGCCGGTACAGCGGAATGGTTTCTTGCAGGGCGAATTCACCTTCCGTGAACGGGTTCTTGATCTTCTCGCCCTGAAAGAAGCAGCCGAGGACCTGAACCATTATACTGTTCATGCAATAAATGACAGTTGTATTGAGGTGGGGATTTTTGAAGTGAGAGTGCACAATGGAAACGTTGTAAGACATCTCGATCGAAACAGCGCTCCACCCGTAGAAGCCAGCCAGCTGCACATCCAGGAACTGAACCTCTACATTCGTGCTGTTCACTATGCTAAGCCAAGGCACTTGTGGCTGTGCTGTGGAGCATGTTGTGTTCTGCAGTGGCAGCATTCCTGCAGCCTCTGCATTCACTGTGACATTCTCTACCCAGGACAAACGTTCACAGGCGATTTGTGAACCGTAGTACCCTGATGATGGAGCGAGTAACCGAACCTCCCAGCATCCAAAGGCGGTCTCCGTGGCTCTAGCGACATGCAGGGCTTGAGCAATAGTTGAACATGGATTGTTCGCTGAGAGGCCGCAGTCCGGCAAGCTTTCGCTGTCCGCGCTTCCCAATCGGCTGTACAATACCTGGCAGGATGAAACACCACGCAGTATGCACCCCGTCGCAACCAGCAAATACAACGCTACGATCCGCATCGTTCTAGCAGGCGACGAGTTGTCAACGAACTCGAAGCGGCTACTCTCTGTTGATGTGTTGATCGTACAAGAAGCTCAACACACCATTGTGAACTAGCATTCATTCGGGATACATCTCTAGATATTTTTTACTCTTCCGGGTCCGTGCTACTGGGGTCTGGATAAATTCTTGCCTCAGAGTCAGAATGAAAATCTAACCCCGGCGTGTAAACCACAGACACAGTGATCAGATCATCTACATGATCTAGTGTTGCAACGAAGTCGTTCCTACAGTCTTGTACTATGACATAATTATTTGACATGGTTAGCATTTTTACCCTTTACGATCATCATGCATGGTATCTTCTTGCAAAGACCTTGTGAAGTAATAGTTGTGTGTGTGTGTGTGTGTGTGTGTGTGTGTGTGTGTGTGTGTGTGTGTGTGTGTGTGTGTGTGTGTGTGTGTGTGTGTGTGTGTGTGTGTGTGTGTGTGTGTGTGTGTGTGTGTGTGTGTGTGTGTGTGTGTGTGTGTGTGTGTGTGTGTGTGTGTGTGTGTGTGTGTGTGTGTGTGTGTGTGTGTGTCAGGCATTCATTCCTGTCATCTTGACGCGGCCGGGGCCGGGGGTGGACAAAACCGTTGGAGTTTTGATGCGTGGATGGTGTGGGGTGTTGGCAAACGTGACCATGAGCGTGAGATCCGACATGCTGGTAGACAGTTCTAATCTCCAACTAACTACTGGTAATTACTTGTCACACGGTCGCTGGTATACAATGTATTTCGGACCGGCCTTGTTTGTATTTCGGATATTAGTATCCTGGGCCTGTTCAAGCAGTTGGACTACACTGTATCATGGTATATGGGGGGGGGGGGGGAGGAGGAGGTGGTTAACGTGCAGGCTAGGCTAGGTTATCCCTCGCATGCCTTATACCAGTAAGTTATATTGGGCATTATCTAATCGTATTCATGTACTATTCTCTCATCTTTTGTCTCAGTCTGCCACTCGAAGTCTCATTCTCGGGCATAGATATGGACGCCAAAGGTCGCTGCTCGGCCATCCACTTCTAATGGTGACGAAGGTGCTCCGTGAGTCGGTTTTTATTATTATTTCAGTTCGTTGCCTCAACAGTACAAAGTACAAATATCAAGAGGGACGAACGAAAAGAGAAAATAAAACATAGCAGAGAGGAAGATGCAACTGAAAGGAAAGAAAAACGGAGAAGGAATGTGGACTGGGCGGATTCATGAACCATTACTAGAGCAGGGCAATGCATGAACAGAAGGGGCAAGTCCGTCGATATTCATGTTTGAAAAATTCCAAGCCTTATTTTATTGGTGAAATACATTTTCAAAAAGGAGGGGGTATAGCTATATAGGGATATAGTCAATTTGTCGTCATTTAGAGCGTGCAAAAGTTCTGTAGAAAATGATCTAATGTCCTCACTTCCTTTCAAGTGAGCAGGGAGGGCATTCCACATAAGGGATGCTCTGGAGGAAAAGGAATTGTACCCTACCATGGATTTATACAAGCAAATTGACAAATTGTTTGTTGTAGTTCCACGAGTTGACCGCTTAGAGGTGGGCAAAGGGAAAAGACTGCGTAAGCATGATGCAGGCTGAACAATATGACAAATAAACGTAAACGTAAGAAATTGATAAATGTATCGATATTCAAGGTGTTTTATTTGAAGAGAAGCAAGAAGGGTCTGGGGGTGAAGGGTGGTGCGAGTGGATTTAGAGTAGACATGTTTACTGATTTGAAGCGTGGTCAGAGGTGATCCTGTCCTGCTTAAAGCGCCATTCTCTTGCAGTGACCTCTGGAGGCCAGAAATCTGGACCGAGGGCTGCTTCCTTGTGTTCCGCTGGAATGACGACGTGGGCGAATGCCACTCCAAAGTACTTGGTTTCAGAGACTGAACACTTGATTACTTGTATTTCTCGTCTTGTACACCACTAAGTCTTGGCAATCGAGTCAGAGGAGCATCCACGCTTTACGTTGCCCAAATATAGTGCGCAACACTTCGTGCGGGACCCTCCTGACAGCTGTTCCGAGGGCTTTGGGCGATTCTCGTAGTACGAGTCGGTGACCCCACCGAAGACGGTAGGTGATGGACGATCCGGCCCCACGCACTGTAGAGCTATCGGAGGCCTCCACTGGGGGGAGAGGAGCCCCAGTGGTAATTGAGCATTCAAGTTGAACCTTCTTGCTGATACTGGCTTTCTTCTTAAGAAATTCTAAAAAAATCCGAGGCGAATTGCTCACCGTTCTTCTGTGATGGTGAGAAAATGACACATTTTGAGCGTACACGTATTATCAACCTTGGTACTGAACCAGGGTCTTCCGCATAGAGCGTCGAGTGGTGAGTTGGGAAAGATATTAGGACTGGCTAGATAAACAGTCAATTAAAAGCATTAACTACAGTGATATGGAAAGGTTAGAAGTAGAGACCTCTGAGGTAATATTAATAAGTGACGAAGCTAGTTGCTCCTGTGGAGCTCACCCTTGCTTCACACAGTGACATAACTGACTCACGACTACCATCCGGAGCACCCCGGGTCCGGGAGCATGTCCAACCTTCCACTGGGCATCCTGCTAGCAGGCACCACTCCCTGGTCAATACGCAGTTTTTCGGGGAACTCGCTCCTCATCAGTAGCTCATCTTCAGAAGGCTAATGGAAGCTATGCTGGAGGAGCCCTACAATGTATAGTACTGCTCCAGCAGCCCAACCATCACTATCGCGTTTTGGATGCCAACATTTAAAAGTGACGATCCGTTTCCAGCGCGACACTTCGTAAGGCAATGTGAGTCTATACTTATGGCCCATGAGTGGTGAGCCATTAGCTCTTCACAGTGCTGGTACCTTCAGCAAGTCGCTTGCCTGAGTGAGGACAACAATACGAACCCAGAAGAAGCACCTTCGGTGGTAATCGTTGAGAGCCATAAGCTATTCACGACGTGGCCAACTCCAGCAACTAACAAGTAACGACGTAGATATCATAATACTATAATCGCATGACATAGGAGGGGAAGGTGAGCGCAACCAAGACAAGCACAAGCTGACAGTCTCAGCTGTGAAGGACGTTGGCGGATGTTCATGCATATCGATGCTGCCTGCTGGCAAGACCATTGTACAATATGGTCAAACCACGATTCCAGGACGCAAAGCAACATTCCACACAACCTGTGTGGCTCAAAGATGCGAAGATCAATAAAAGGGCTTCCCCACCTACCGGTATGTTATCATAATATAATATAATACTATTATTATAACTTAGACCCTTCCAAGTAGTTAGTTGGAAGGCTGTTGGAGTGCGCATCCAAGATGTGCTAGAGCTGTTAGCCAGTTAGTTGCAGAACGTCAGTACGGTCGGTCAGTGTTGTGCGATGTGATCGCATGAGCTGAGTGTTTAGTAACTGGTGGTGTTAGTGGACATTATAGCGTGACTTGTAGTTCCTCTAGGATCAAAGGCGCAGATGCAGCGCCTAAACGGTGGGAGGTGAGTAGATCAGACCCACCACCAAGTGGTCAAAGACCGAAATCCCATTAGCTGCATCCATGTTACCCTCGTGCCAGGCCACAAGTTCCCAAATAACTGTGGGTCGCAGCACGGCTGGAAAACTTCCTTCCGTTTCCAAGCAGGACTTGAACCTGGTAGACTCTACCCTTTGTTTCTCAATCATGGTCTTATACCATCCCACTATGCCTGCCTTTGATCCTAGAGGGTGGTGGCGTTCCCACGACGGATGCGGAAAACTGGGCTTCCAGCCGAGTCTCACGCGAACCGTGAAATTTTTAAATTTATTGTAGTTCCTTGGTCCTTTCTCTTTTCTGTACATGAATGCCTCTTAAATTATTATTGATTATTAGAGTATCATCCACTACTTGAAGTACTTGTAGATCAGGTGCATACACCGGTATCGATATTTCCAATGGGAGTTGTAAGATTAGAGCCGGCACAGCCATTGCTGCTACTACTAGTACATTGTTCAAAGGTCATGACTTCGTGTCATCAAGAGTAGATAAACAAGAGTGTGCAACTCCAGCTATGGAGTATGGGGTCTGCGACGGCAGAACTTCACATCACGTGATGAACCCGTGCACTCTAGTGCATGATAGATACTGGGTTGTACGCAGCCCAGCTTTGGGTACAACTCTCTTGTGGTCACTTTGCACTGTTTGCCAGCATAACCTTTTGAACCATGTCACGTGATGTGAAGTTCTGCCGACGCAGCACAGCATAGAGGTTGTGCAGGCAGTTGCACACTCTTGCCAGTCTTGGGTAACTAATTATGTACTCTTGGTGTCATCCATAACATGCACGCAGAGTTACCATGGTTACGCCACGGTGTTGTTGGTCGACAGCATATTAGTATTACAAAATACAAGGCGGAGGACCACTGGGTTCGGAAACAGTGACCTACAACCATCCACGGCTGGTCACTGAGACTGAGAGCCCCGGTCTTGCGACCATCTGAACCGTTTGAGCGTTAGCCCTGGTTCTGACCCTCATCATACTACGGGAGTTGTTTGAGTCCTCCTGCCATTGCACTGTCAGCCAAGTTTGTTCGCTCCTGGTGAGTGGATGTCTTCTTCTTGATGCAGTGTACTCAGGCCTCATAAATTTTGTAGCGTTTGTTTTTGACTTGTTCGTCTAGTCTTTCTTCTCTTTTTTATACTCTTTGTGCGAATTGTGGTGAAGGCCTACCCATGGCCGCGCTGGAACATCACCAACCTACAGTAGATTTTTTTTACAGAATGCACCTCCTACTGATAGATCATAACAAATAGCCCTTGGCGGATTATGCCGGCATGATATTTGGCATAATCTTGGGATTTCGTCAAATAATTATGCTCCGGCATAATATACGGATTCCAACGTGTAAGGTCGGCATAATCTTTCGGTTTAGACAAAAATTATGCTTAGGGCATGGCGGTGTGTGTATGCGTGCTTTCTCAATCCTCTTGTATGTACAGCGTGAATACATAGTGGAACCGAGCATAATTCAGCATAATTCAGCATATTTGTTGGCATAATTGTCGCATTATCAAAAGCATACTTTGACGATTGGCTTAGCATAGTCCGCCAATGGCTAATAACAAAGAGAGGAGAAGAAGAAGAAGACTAAAGAAAATAATGATCGAGACAACAAAGGAGAAAGACAGACAATGTACTAGTAGGGGCTCTCAGGGAGCCTGTGCCGGTGAGGCGGGACTAGCAACGCCGACCAAAGGTCTCGGCGTTAGCGCCATCCAGCGCACCATGGACGGGATTACGAAACACATGTAAATAGATAAGTGAGGGGGAGGGAGCTGATTGTGGATATATGGGGTGTTACAGCGAGTCTGTAGCCCAATACCAGCGGCTTTGTCGTAGGTGCTGATGCACCTTGCCCTTGAACGACTGGAGGGACGTCAGGCGTGGCGGAGACTGCAGCACAGTTGGGGGCAAGTTTTTCCACTCGTCAATGATGCTGTAGGGGAAGCCGCGTCGCACGTAATCAGGAGAGGAAGCCCGGAGGACGTTCTGTAGCTGAGACTCGTGGCGCACCGAGTGGTCGGACCGAGTTCGAGGACATGTTGGTGGGGGAAGTTGTGGGGGGGGGGGGGGGACCAGCGACGTTAGTTGCGGTGGCCCTGCCAGACACATCAATATACATAGCTGAGGGCGGCGACCAATCTCCTTGCTGCCAAACTCTGGAGGAGGACATCAGGGCCTAGAATGTAGAGGGCGCGTCTCTCTGCACTCGATCAAGAAGGCGTAGATGGCTTGAAGCTGCTCCCACCCATACCAATGGCGCATACTCTAGGACTGGCCTCACAAAACCTCTGTAGACGGTTCGTTTACCAGCACCATCGAGTACGCGAGCAGCTTTGCGCAGGAAGCCCAAGCGAGAATTCGCCTTGGCTTGAGTCTAAGTTAGTAATATTACTATTAGTTAGTACATGTAAGTAGTTGAGATCTACATTGTACCTCGTCTACCATGTCTGCAGTCTGTTGAGCTCAAGACCGTGAAGAGAGCACCTTCTCACGACAGTGTCATTACACACACGTACATACATGGACAGACGTCAGTGATGGTGGTGACTGTTTTCAGTGTTGAGTGTTGTCAGCTGACGAGCTGAGACTAAGGGCGCGTTCGAATTGTCACGCCTTTGACTTTTCGAGGAGCTTCGTTTTTCTGAAGAGGTGGCCTTATTGGCCTCTTCAGAAAAACGAAGCTCCTCGAAACTCATCCGATGGGAAGGTGGATTACGGTTTCGAAGAGTTTGGAATAGCTTCGTCACGTAGTACGTGGAGATGGTCGATCTGATCGGACGTCATCATCGCCAAGACAATTCCACTGAAAAACTCTAAAATGATAGAAACCGTTCTAATGGGACACTTCAACTACCGTATTATCTCTAATATAAGCACGGTCCTATATTTTTTCAATGTACCTCCGCCCCATGCTATTAATGGAGACGTTCCTTTATTGGAGACTGTTCCATTATTATTTCAACCTCATTTCAGAGGCATGTTGCCATGCCAAATTCATGTATGACACACACATTTCAGGGTTTTTTTCGCCGGTACAGATAATGAATTTACACAGTGTGCTTATATTGGAGACTGAGCACTTTATTTTTTGAATGCCGCCCCAAGGTGTTCTATTATTGGAGACGTGCTATTATTGGAGACTGTGCTTATATCAGGGATAATACGGTAATCTCTTTATAAAATTTGTTAGAACAGATGATGACGAACGCGCCCTAAGACTAAGTAAGAGAGGGACGCCATGGCATGGGCGCCCGGGCATGAGCAGCAGTTGGAAAAACAACGACTTCTGCGCCGCGCGAAACCGGCGCGGCGCATCCCGTTGTCACGCGCTAACGCACTGCACTGCCAACTCACTGGATCACGTGATCACGGCTTGACCAATGGCAGCTCGCCACGAAAAGGGCATGCGTTGCGTTACATAGCGGATCGATCGCGGATGGCACAGTACGCGATGTACGGTCGGTACGGTCTGGATAAAACACGTGTTGCTTTTCGAGGACAGTTCGTTACTCCAGCGATTCGCTGCTCCAAGACCTGGCGTGTGTACGTGGAGGGTGTCGGTGAAGCAGATCGGGAAGGCGGGCGAGCGAAGGGTCGTCTAGGTATAAAATATTGGCCATAACAAATCATGAAAACCGTTCTTCTTCTTGGAGTCTTCGCACTCCTGCTCCTTTCAGGTGAGTTGCAGATTTGTTCTGACTAGAAAAATATGCTCGGAGAATAAAATATTTCCAAAATCGTATTCCGTGTGCAGTATGAATCATTAGAAGTGCTCACCGTGCTCGGCCACTAAAAACTTCATTTGCGATACACGAATAAGTGAGGCGGGGGCAGTGATTCTAGTGCCGTTCACTTGGAGGCTAACAGCGATGTGTACCAATGCGGAGAGATTTTCGCAAGGTGGTATGCATTTTACACATTTCACTCTCTCTCGAACCCATGCCATGGCCATTTCACTTTTATTCCATATTCCGGAACTCCGAATGGACATTAGAAAGATCAATCAACCTTTAATGGTGGGCAGAAGTGAAGCTGTTGCTGCTAAGTAACTGTGGTGGTATCCATGTTCTGGATCATAGATGACTGTCAGTGGATAATGTGAAATCTTGTGTGGATATCGTGTGGATATCACCAGAACTTCTAGGGATTCATCCCCACTCCCCCCCCCCCCCCCCCCCAGCCCAACCCCGAATGCAACACTGCTCAGTACATGGTGGGTGGATTAATCACTTTTGTATGAAACTCAGATCCACAGCCGAATGGTTCATCGCCTCTTCTTTGTATGTGTTGTTGCGATTCGCGTGTCAGAACAGAAGCACTTGCCCGTGATGTGCTCAAACTCCTTTCGCATATCCCATCAAGGAAGACCCATAGGCATAGAGTATGCTCAATGTCTTTGGGAAAGGATATATGTTTCAGTTCAGAAATGTTATCATGAGCATGTGACGGTCATGGATGAATGAATATCATTTCCATGGCGATATCGGTAATTAATTATACTATATAAAAAAAAGAAGCAATTGATGCAGCAGACAGCTACTGGTACTTGTTTGACCAGGGAGGCCTGATCTGTGCAGCTATGAGCTAAATGAAACCGCACTGCCAGCAGTAGCAACAAGAGCAATAAGCCTCGTGATACATGTAGCTCTATGTACTATATATGTACTAGTGCTACTAGTGCTACTAGTGTGCTGACTATCTCAATTGCATTTCATGCAGTTTACGTGTACAAACACTTTACATGTAATGCGATACATAGAACAATTGATGCCGACATAATACTTTAGTAGTCTAGATACAGTGCAACGAGTGTTAGTTTCCAAGATCTTTACAAGACTGGCGAACACTAAATGTCATGAAGAAAGTGAAGAGAAAGGAGGTTTATATAGGAAAGAGATTGTGATAGAAGACTGTGCAATGAAGTTTGTTGTTTTGTTAGATATCTGACGTGTGCTGTTTGGAAGAAGTGTTTGGATGCAAACAGAACTTACAAGAGATGAGTAAAGACTACTTTTCTACAATAGCGTTGTAGGCGAGGAGTGCGTAACATCAAAAGATGTCGTAATGTGTATTGGAACTATGCTAGCCAAACATTACGTAATTATTATGGTAGAGAAGTACGTGTAGTAGGTATTACAATGTGTGCGAGAGTATGGTGAATCAGTGTTTGTGATGATGAGCAAAATATGACGTGTACATGCAAACAAATGATGATGTCATGATGCGAGAACGTCAGAGACGCTACAATACCATGAAACAATCATGAACTGAAAAATGTTTAAAAATGTGTCTCATAGATGTTTTTTCTTTCGATGGTCATCAGTGAACTATTTATCGCATTGTTAAAGCCCCGTTCTCCGAAACGCCGGTTTGTATACTTTACATGTAATATGCGTTTAAAAGCATATAATTACCACAAATACATTGTGAATGTGTATCACGCATAATGTTGTGCTGTTCAGGGGCTAGTCTGTGCCGTGCAGATGATGATTCTGACTCTGAAGAAGCAGCACCAACAGTAGAAGAAGATCTGGGAAAGAGCAAGGATAGCTCCAAGACTGACGATGAAGTTGTACAGAGGTATGCTAGCTTTTGAAATAGATTAGTGCAGCTATGCATCAGATCCAAAGCAATGCTATCCCTAACATACACACAACGAATGACTGTTAGTCTGTGTTGTTTCTTAGGCTCGATGGACTGTGGGCCTTGTGTTGCTTATCAGTCTACATGTACTCTAGCTTGCTTTGTTGTAGAGTGCCATGTTTTGAATGTCTACAGCTCTAAATAGAGAATGTCACATTTCTTTTCTTTTTTCTCTTCTTCCGTGGTTGGTCTCACCCTCTCCTCAATTCAATTGGCTGTCTTGACATGCCACGAGGTGCAAAAATAAATAAATAAACAAATAAATATTGTCCTGACTCGATATTCTGTTTGTGGACTTTTCTGTCACTCAACAGGGAAGAGGAGGCAATAAAGGTTAGTAACAGCATGCTGGGATGTTTTTTAATGCAGTGGTCAGGCTTTGAGCCTGGTGGATATACATGTACATGCAGATACCAGGCCAATCCTAACTGTAGGTAATTTGACAATAATTATAGTGACGAGTTGAACTAGTGTATAACCGTCCAATGCCTTCCAGTCAATGATCTGTTTGATTCCAGATCATAGCAGTGGAATTTTAAAACATATGTATAGCAGTTGAATCCTAGAGTTCACCTGTCCTTCGCTCTGGCTGGGTGAGTACTGAAAGAGTCACAGGATATGAAACCAGTATTGGCTATTTGCTGTTGAGCCGCTTTTCTCAGTGTTGACTGCTGCGGAAGGTATCGAGCTACGTTGGGTAAACCGAACTGTACAATTTTGTGTCTGTGTTGTCTTTACTCAGCTCGATGGCTTGAATGTTTCGCAAATGAAGGAGCTCCGGGAAGGAGCTGAGAAGCATGCATTCGAGGCAGAAGTCAATCGCATGATGAAACTCATTATCAACTCTCTGTATCGCAATAAGGAGGTGGGTAGTTCATTGTTCAATAAGCACTGCCGTGTCTTCTTCCGGAATAATTTTAACTTCATGCTCGGCAGCTTCAGATTTGAGAAGAATTCTATTGCACAGGCACTTGTGCTAGTATTCGATGCCATGCAGTTCCCAGACGCGTATAATATATTTTCCTAAATTCCCTGGCGATTGTGAATCTTATTGTGCTGATGTGTAAAAGGTGTAAAGTCATGTGAATTGAGTGGATATCTTACTATGCTGAAGTGTAAAAGGTGTAGTCATGTGAATTGAGTGGATATCTTACTATTCTGAAGTGTAAAAGGTGTAAAGTCATGTGAATTGAGTGGATATCTTACTATTCTGAAGTGTAAAAGGTGTAAAGTCATGTGAATTGAGTGGATATCTTACTATTCTGATATGTAAAAGGTGTACAGTCATGTGAATTGAGTCGTTATCTTTCGGTACTCTTCTGATATGCCACCCTGTTGCTCTTAGATCTTCCTCCGTGAGTTGATCTCAAACTCATCTGATGCCCTTGACAAGATCCGCTTCCAGTCTCTCACAGACAAGAACGTGTTGGGAACAACGGAAGAGCTGTCCATTAAAATCAAGGTACGTTTTATTGTCAACAAGGTGTCTTTAACATAGAGTAATTGGTCCTGCAAGTTATGTCTTCCAGGCGTGTATGCAGGGTTTCTCAGAGAGGGTTACCTGGTCGTTTGTCATGACCGTGTTTGATTATGAAGATGACACGCATTTAACTTGGTTATACACCTTAATTGTATGTTATATGGCATGAAGTAAACTTCAGTAAAATAGTGAATTCTGGTGGGGCATGTCCCATGAGCCTAAGAAATATAATGTGTTCTTGTGTTGTCTGATGATTGCCTTAGCATTTAGCTACGTGCATGAAACGCAGCGTTACAACGTATGTTTCTATAATTGGTGAAACCATTCTTTTTGACCTTTGTAATGTGTTCTAATGTTCCTTAGGCCCTATTATTTTCTCGGTTGAATGGTTCTTTGCTTATTCGAGTGCAATATTGTGAAAAGATTAGCCTGTTATGGGTCTTACTCAATGCATGTAAACTCCCGGGGTGATCTGTAAAAACAACACACCAAACAGTGGACTGCCACATGAAAACGATGGGAGATAGGTGTAGGGAAACCTTATGCTTTTGGAATCTCCAAGAATGCCGTGACCAGATAAACCATTTCTCTCAGACCCATGTATGTTGCCACCGCCCATGTTGAAGTATTTTTTTTGCGAATATTGAAGATTTCGAGGTGGCATAAGATAACTGTGCCCAGTAGCATGTGAGAGGTGGGAAAGCATGTCAAAATGCCTGTTGCAAAAAAAACAAAAACACATGTATGCTAGAAAACAGAAACGAATAGTGCCTTTGGTTTACGAATTACTCTACACAAGTTGTAACATAGAAAAATGTGGGCCCAAGTTTTGCGATTGAGTCCACCAACTAAACCAGATTTTGAACAGTCAGGCGTCCACAATCTAGCACAAAATTGACAAGGAGTACTGAGACCACATTTTTAAATGTTGGCTCACCATCTGAGTTCTTAACCCGTCCACTGCCGCTGTCGATTGCAGTCGGCGGCCCATTCATGCACTCTGAGTACCGCTTTCGACAGCAGTCCGGCGACCAGCAAGAATGCAGTTCCCAGTGCCGCTGTCGACTCCAGTTGACAGGCCGACTTCGCTCAGTTTTTTGGGGTATTGGAGATGTTTAGCCGCCGTAGAGGGTTACTGGGCCCTGGAAGAGAGAGGTCCATACCCATTGAAATACGCTGCCAGGAGTGTAGGTTGCATTTGAAAAAATCGAACCGGCGGTCATGTGCTCATGCGTACACCAGTCGCCTGGTCACCGTACCTGCAGGCTACAACTTTCACACCAAGTTTAAACTCGAGTGACAGGAACGCTGTAAAAGTTGTAGCCTGCAGCACGGTGACCAGGTGACCGCTTACTCACCGGTGTTCGATTGGGAACAAGGGCCGAATGCTGCATCGCAGCCTTTTCGGATCCAAATCAGTCGACTCAGCATCCAAAAGACTACAACATATGGACCAATCGCGGTCATCCGTGCTTTTATAAGAACGAAACGGTGCTTTTAGTGACTTTTGCATACAAATCCCCATCTAGTAGGGCGCAGTCACCCAGTTTCGGTGGAAGTGCGCGAGTTCGATTGGAAATAAAGGAGGAAGGGAGCGTCTCAGCTTCCTCAGACAAAGACCATTCGACTCAGCACCCTGAAGACTGCAACTGGTGGAAATTTGATTTCAGGGTGTACTTCCCCTTTAATTCAGTATGGATCAATACACTCGTGCTCTGGACAATGTGTGTTCCAACCAAGAGTATGGCAGAGTGTAAACTAAGTCCACTGTACTCTGAGCGTTAACGTGTCTTGCCACAACTTACTATATTGCAATGGTTGGAAGATGACGGACACCGAGCATACCCAGCAGATAGCGCATGTGGCATGATGAACAACTAATACACACAGCTCACCATTCGCACGCAAGATCAGAGAGAATCTGAACAGAGCAAGCAGCAACTCAGCATACATTGCACCGAAATTCAACATTTGATCACATATTTCCCCTCCTAGAAGTAGTAAGCAACAGGTATCCACATCGCTGAGAACTTAACGGAGAATGGGACACCTTGGTGTATTTGAGCAGTGCATCCCAGGCGAGTCCGGGGAGAGTGTAATAGTGCGCTGGACCGAGTCCGTATGTGTTCATCGCTGTGATTCGAAACGTCTCAAATACGTCGGCTAGAAGATTCACATCACGATTCAGGTATAAGTCGTGGTAGTCTCCCTTGCTTCTACACAGGGTCACGTCAACCCGTCGAAAGGTCACTTCCGGGGTCAACTTTGTGCTAGAACCCCTCCTGAACCTTCTACTATCTGCCTGTACCTCTGCTGGACGGCCGTAGCGTCTGGGAGAAGGCTAGGGCACCGCCGCTCAACCATGGACACAGGAGCAGCTGTGAGAGGCATGATGATGTCATCCGTCAGACCTTTATGAACATGGTTGCCTATGAAGGCGCCACCATGATATGCCTGCCACTGGATGTAATGCTGCTGCAGGATCGGTTCCATGCACAGAGCAAGCAGCAGCAACTCAGCACACATTGCACCCAAATTCAACATTTGATCACATATTTCCCCTCCTAGAAGTAGTAAGCAACAGGTATCCACATCGCTGAGAACTTAACGGAGAATGGGACACCTTGGTGTATTTGAGCAGTGCATCCCAGGCGAGTCCAGGGAGAGTGTAATAGTGCGCTGGATCGAGTCCGTATGTGTTCATCGCTGTGATTCGAAACGTCTCAAATACGTCGGCTAGAAGATTCACATCACGATTCAGGTATAAGTCGTGGTAGTCTCCCTTGCTTCTACACAGGGTCACATCAACCCGTCGAAAGGTCACTTCCGGGGTCAACTTTGTGCTAGAACCCCTCCTGTACATTCTACTATCTGCCTGTACCTCTGCTGGACGGCTGTAGCGTCTGGGAGAAGGCTAGGGCACCGCCGCTCAACCACGGACACAGGAGCAGCTGTGAGAGGCATGATGATGTCATCCGTCAGACCTTTATGAACATGGTTGCCTATGAAGGCGCCACCATGATATGCCTGCCGCTGGATGTAATGCTGCTGTAGGATCGGTTCCATGCTCGTCTCGCATGGTCCGCTTAAGTCTTTCTCTTTGGATGCCACTTGCACCTGCTGCAAGAGTCTATCAGCACCTGCGCTGGGCATGTGCTCGTCATCCACGGCCGCTTTCCACTGTGCTTGAATATTGCCGCACAAATCTGCCAGATTCTGCCCGGCGACACCTTGCTCCGCACCATGCAGCGCAACAAAGTTTAAATGCTGCCGGAGAGTGGCTGCCTGCTTCGATTTCTCCCTCGCCTGATCCACCAGCTGCCGGTGCTGAGCATGGAGCTCGGCTAGCTGCACAATCTTGGCACTGTCACCTGGTGCTAGCGCAGCAGGGATGCCTCTAAGAATCCGACTTTACTGTAAGGGTCGTCAAATGAAAAGTAGCGATGCAAGGAACTGTTAGCACACTTCACTTTCAGGTTCACTTGACCTGTGGTTCTTCAGTATATCTTATTATTGTTTGTGTGGCCGTGTGTTGTATCAATGTGTTTCTTCAGGCTGACAAGGACACTCACTCACTGCACATCACTGACACTGGAATTGGTAGGTCCAGTAGCAATAGGTCTAGTTGGAAGCCTACCAACTAAGTTACTTCAGTTAATGGTAAAGGACACACGGCATTGAGATAACCAGTGCACAAACATTCTTAAAACATTACGACCATAGAGTTTTGTCATTGTTCCTTGCGACTTCGTCTTGTCAAATATTCCCATCATTATGAAATACAGCGGATAAGTTGTGTGAATTTTCACTGTGTGTTTACGCTGACAGGAATGACAAAGGAGGATCTTGTCAAGAACCTCGGTACTATTGCCAAGTCTGGTACCAGCGAATTCCTCGGCAAGATGTCTGTAAGTGAATGTATTGGCTTTCCTGCCATGATATTTGCATGTAAATCGTGGTGTGTCCTCTAACTCTTATGAAATTGAGAGCAGCGTTTCTGGGCCTGAACTTTCACCTGCTGACACATTATGATATGAATGCAAACCATTCGAAGAAACTCTGATGTTCCAGTTTTGTGCTGATATTGCTGAAAGAATTTGTCATGGTAGTACCCTGCACTGCATATTCTTCTTCTGCTTCTTTCACTTTCAGGAATCATCTGATGTGACTGTCCAGAGCGATCTTATTGGACAGTTTGGTGTTGGATTCTACTCGGCCTTCTTGGGTAAGACTTCGGCTCTCCAGACCACACAAATGTGATCCTGCATTTCAGTGCACAGTCTGTAGATCCTTTGATTTACAGTTTTCCCATATAGCGAGGGAATCAGTGGTGTAATGATCTACTTTGAAGTATCAGCTGCATGCAAGTAGCCGTATCTTCAAGCAGTAATGGCTTCTGCTGTGGCACAGTTTACGATATGTGGTACATGTGCACACAATTTATCGGACCTTCTCCTCTTCGGCCTGCTTTCAGTTGCCGATCGTGTTATTGTCACGTCGAAGCATAATGATGATAAGCAGTACATCTGGGAATCTGATGCTGATCAGTTCACGGTCAGTGAGGATCCACGTGGAGAAACACTGGGCCGTGGCACCACTGTCAGGTTAGTCGCTGCTCTACTGAAGTTTACATGGTCTAGTTGCTGTACAGATGGAATGATGACATGTACGTAGTGACTGTGCATATTGTACTTTTCATTGCGAATTTTCATAGATTGAATTTAGTTTAACCCTTTACCGTCCGATTAAAATGTATGTAAAACACAGGTATCACAAGAAGTACATGTAGCTCAAAACTGGTCCATTTTAGGGATAGGAACACCAGAATTATATTTCTGGAAACTACATGACCACAGAAATCTCATGCAGAAGATTTGGAGTCAATCGGATGATCTGAGGTTGCACGGTGGTTCGCTGAAAAATACGAAATATTGCGCACATTGTCGGATTCCGGGTATTTATAGAGAGGCACGCATAAAGTCCAATACCCTCACACAGTTATGGCCAATTGTGGTTCTGCTACATATCTGTGGACACTACATGTCCAGAGGAATCTTCTACAGAAGATTTGAAATCAATCTGATAATCTAGTGCCCCAAAGCAATGCATTGAAATTGCGGTCAATTTACAGACACAGCCAGCTTCGGATCTCTTGGTTCCTCTACTCTTGTGATCAACAGATACAGGCAGGTGATCCACATGTAGATCTGGTTCAGCTGCTACACCAGCTCTAGCAAGTGGTGGCTGGCCAGTCTGTTCTAGTCCGCCGAGTTGGCGAACAAGCCGTTCGCGGAATTCCACCTGTCCGTTCCACTTGTCCGTCACTTGATGCGTCCTGGGTTAGCCTTCATATACTCAGTCATGAGGACGTACGCATTGATGATAGAAATTTCTATCAGGTCATACTACATTATGACTTTCCATGACTTCTTCGGTCGGCGAAGAACTGAATACTACAGTGAATAGCCCTCCGCCAGGTGATCAAAATTATCGATTCCGCCCATTTACGTGTTATATGTCGCCACGGCTTGTGGGCGGCGGATTTCCTTCAGCTCCCACTGGCAATCCTCTTTTACAAAGCACTGCGCATCGTGCTCCGTGGCCGAGTCATATGTGGACAATATGGACACAACTCTTTTGTACAGCCACTGTAAAAAAAGAAGGCGGTCTTCTCGTACATAGATCATATCACCGCGCTGGCCACGACGTTCAAAGTCCTTTGCTTGCTTGAGCACGTTAGGAACGCCAATGCGGTTTGTGCGCAGAGTTCCTGTTAGATTAGTTTTCTGCGCGATCAGTGCTTTAGCAAGGACAGGTGAGGTATAATAGTTATCCGTAAAATAGATGATAACCGGGATTCATCAGGTGGTCTGTCAGCAGACGTATAACGATGTCGTACGTAGTACCATTGGCAGATGGTGGCGCCTGCTGTCCAGTATACAGCTCCATGTTCCAATGGTAGCTATTCGTGGAGTCACAAAGGACAAAAGACTTGAAGCCCCATTTTGTGGGCTTGTCCTTTATATAAACTTTCATTGCGCTCCGTCCCTTGAAACGCAGCATTCGTTCGTCTATGGACACAGTCTGCCGTGGCTGCCAGAACCGCATGCATTTCTCCCTGATGATATCGTACCTTCCAAAGTCGGTCCCCAGCGCCAACACCAGGCATAGCGCAGTGAACGAAGGACAGCGGGGCTTTGAAACGTAGTTGAGTAAAGAATGCGCGTGCCCAAAGCCCATGGTATAGGCTTTGCATACTCCAATAGTTCATGCAGTCGGGCACAGGAACAAGGCCAAAATAAATAAACACACCACTCAGCTTACTGATTTCCTCCTTCGTCGTTTCCCTGCCAAGACCCGTCCTGCTGAGCATAGCTGCACTTCTCATTGATTTTTCCCCAGGCATACACATTTGTGAACTCGACTATTTTTTCCAGCACATCATCAGAATAGAACAGAGAGAAAAATCAATTTCCTCTGATGGCTGAAAATTGTCAGGAAGCTGAAGCCCAGCCGGGCGACATGGAGTGAATGTGAAGACAAGGTATATCATAGTCATCCACAGTCTCCCAGTGGCGCACTCCTTGTGGCAGCGTAAATTCTCGTCATCTCCGACCCCCACCTCGACGTTGCGCTTGTGCTGGCTGCACCGTTGTAGCTGGTAGAACTTGCTGCGCTGGCAGAGCTATTCTCGCTCCACATACACCGACATAACGACATGGACCCAGACAACAGAGGCAGGAGCACACAGAGTGAGGGTAGTAGGCCGCAGCCAGATGTGACACTGGTGAGACACAAAAAACTGACTGAAGGAGTCAGGCAAAAAGAACAGCAACAAAAAGAGAAAACATCAGATTCCATATTTGCAAGAAAAATAATTTTGTTGCGCGAGAAATCATTTCTCACCTCACTCGCTCCGCTCGGCCGGCGAGAAATATAACGTTCCTCTGGCGCTCGCGCTGGCGGAGCATACAGCGTAGCAGGAGCTAGTTGCTCTGGCGCTTGTGCCGGCGCAGCATACAGCGTAGCCGGAGCTAGTTGCTCTGGTGCTGGCGGAGCTAGTTCTCTGAACTGAGACGGAGCCGAATGCGATGCCTGTGGCGGCGGCTGTACGCGTAGTACAGGTTGCAGGGCCTGCGCCAACCTCGCCGCTGTTGAAGACCTAGTCGACCTCGCAACCGAACTAGTCGCGATCGACGTTTCACCAGTAGCACCACTGCTACTCCGTGCTCTTGTCGCCACAGCCTCCATTCCCAGAAATTGTGAGGTTGGCTCTTTTCCTGGCGCTCTCCCTTCTTCCTCCGCAACATTAGCTGATCCGTCAGCTGACTCGACTTCGACCATTTCAAAATCTTCTTCGTCGGCTTCAACGAGGCCAACCATGTCATCGTTGATGCATTCCTCCTCTCCTGAAGACAAAAGATCTAACTCCGAGCCACTTGACTCGCGATCAGATCCATAACTAGCTAGGAGGGACGCAGCTTCTTCAGGTGTCAACAACGACTTTCATCCTCCTTCCTTTTGCCGCCATTACTGCATGCAAACTGAAGAAACGCAGCTTCGATTTTCGGCACTATGAAGTATTTGGACCCAGTCTTTTCGCGACTCAGATTTATAGTACATGTACCTGATCACCCGGTCACGTGTTTTGAGCACTCTACAACCGATTCTACCCACATAGATAGGCCCTGGGAGCATCGATCCCATTGGATCGATGAATGTTTGTACGGACAGTAAAGGGTTAAGTTTTGTGTTTGATCCCACGAGAACTGTAGACTGTGTGGGGTTGCGGAGGGGAGGGGTCGTTGGGTGGAGGGTAAACAGTGATGTTAGATTTGTTAGATACAGAGACCTAACCACAAGTTGCACCAGCTCACGAAACCTGGGGACAGAGATTCACTTTTCTTGTTACTTTGATATCAACACCCCTTGAAGAATCGGTGAAAATGTATTCTGCTTAGGCCTCGGTCACACTACGGCAGTTTGAAGCTGGACGCAGCGTCAAGCCGCAGCACTTGACGGAGACGCGGGGTCACACAGTGTTTTGTTTTTTTTGCAGCTCATGACTGCCGCGGCATGACGCATTTGTCTACGTCACAAAACCACCAGGAAAACTCAATGACGACACGGATTCCCACGGAAACCGGCCTTTTGCTAATATACAAAAAAATTGTCGGACAAAGTTTTCGAATTTTTCATTGATTTTTGATTACAAGAAGACGAAAGGTACTACAAACCACGCGTGCACGATCGTTGTTGTTTCTTTCCGAATTTGAAGCCATTTTCAGTTGTAGTGTCATTGCTCAGGCAAGAAAAGTCCGCATCGCAGCTGTGTTTCTCTTGACTTCGTCATACTGGCTGTCCTTTTTGGGGCTCTTGACGACAACACAACACTCACAAGTCAACAGGCTCCAGTTGGCCGATGACCCACTCAAACAACTGGTCCTTTCTCGACATCATTTTCTTCTCAGAAAACGCCTCGCTCTTCCGCCAGGTTCGGAGCAGAGCAGCCTCGGCCTCGTAGGTCCACGGACTCATCTCGAACAAAAAGAGGGAACAAAACAAACCTTGAACAGACGAATGTCGAATAACTGCTCAACTCAAGCAAAGTGTCTTGAAACTAATTTTACTTGAAAGACACTGTTTTGCCGCCAAGCGTCACTCCCATCAGCGGCAACGCAGCCGATTTCCCCACGTCAGACGCAGCAGCGTCTGACGCTCAAACTTCCCGCGTTGCGTCAGTTGCCATGGAAAAGCTCATGATTCTGACGCTGACGCAGCATTTTTGCCGTAGTGTGACCGAGGCCTAATGCTACGCTATAATGCAAAAAATATCCACATGTAACCAGAGCGCCACAAACGCATAACTGAAGTCGACAAAGGAAGATGGATTGTAATATACCACTGCACAAGGAAAGGATTGAAGAACTCTCCAAAGCCAGCCTTAGCCTAATTCTAAAATAGCGTAACGAGATGACAGTTATCATGCTTGCAGTGGAACAGCCAATGAATGGAGAGTCCTTGTAGGGCTTGAAAGTGCTACGTCACAGCATAGCATTAATTTCAAAAATTCAAAAACTGGATCCACTTGGATCCAGTTTTTGTATGGATCCGAGCACATTTCAAGCCGTCTTACTCACAGCAAGGTGATGTAGCCAGTGAAACTGACTGATTTGGCCACTGGGGGCGGGGTTACAACTGGTGGCGAAGTAAAAGTCACCCCTGCATACGATATGAGTGGGTTGCTATGCACCCACATACTGAGGCAATAGAGAGGTTCCGCATAACGTAATTACGTTAGTAAAAAACGTAGTTGATCTACGGAAAGTCTTACGTAAACTGCATGCGCATCTGGGTTCCGCCATACGGAGTTTTCAAATCACGTAGCTGCCCTTGGCAACTCCGAACGCGGCAGTGTACGACCAGATCGACCTGGGGACAGAGTCATAAATTTGTACCCCAATCCACTTACGGACCAGCTACGTTATCAGAGCCCTATCTACGTACTCTACATAGACAACTTTCCGTTAGTGGAGTGCAAACTCGCGAATTCACGGGTTTTCCCCGCCCACTAATGTAAAGTTGCTCAACTTTACGTAGTGCGGAACCTCTCTAATAGCAAAGTCACACCTTAGTGGATCCAAAATAGAAATCTGATGTCAACTTACTACTCCCTGGCCGTTTTTGACGTCATCACTTTCAAGCCCTATAGGCTTAGCCAACCAGGAGCAACAATACATAAAGCCAGACAATCTACATTATAGGATATACGTGGCTGCACAAGCTGCATGGTCTATGAGCATTCCCACAGTATCCTTCTCTTTACAACTCTTCCTCAATTCTATGGATTCTGTCCTTGCTATACTGTTTGGTGTGCAGCTTGTTCCTGAAGGAAGAAGCATATGACTTTGTGGAACAAGACACACTTAAGGATCTGATCAGGAAGTACAGCCAGTTCATCAACTTCCCTATCTACCTGTGGTCGAGCAAGGTAAAAATTTCTCAGAGCCTTTGAACTTCATGCACACTACATTGATCAGATATTGCAGCCGCTACGTGCAGATTAAACTCGGCTGGAATTAAACGCTATAGTCGTCTTAGTGGATATCAGACTGCGTGCATGTTTTCAGCTCGCGATTATGTTCAATTTATTAACGCTGCTAACTGTCCTGTCTTCTGTAGACTGAATCAGTTGAAGAGCCTGTTGAGGATGATGATGAAGAAGAAACTCCAGCTGAAGACAAGAAAGAGGATGAAGCCGAAAAGAAGGAGGAGGACGAGGAGGCTGAAGCTGAAGTTGAAGAGGAGAAGAAGGATGACAAGCCTAAGACACAGACCGTAAGGAAAGCTTAAATTAAGGTACACTTTGAAGACAAAAGGACTTTTTTTACAGATGACCAGGATATCTTTCGCAGTATGCTTAGGTTTGTTTCTACAACGTGTAGTGGAAGTGAATGATCACATTTCCCTAGCCAGCGTTGTGCTGATTATTAGCTTTCCTGTTATGAATACATTGAAATAGAATTAATGATGTGAATAATACATTCTCTTGTCTCCGTTGTTACTGTGAAGGTTGAGAAAACTGTCTGGGACTGGGAGCTCATGAACGAGAACAAGCCTATTTGGACTCGCAGCCCCAAGGACGTGAAGGATGAGGAATACAACGACTTCTACAAGGCGTTCAGCAAGGAGAGCGACGAACCACTGGCCAGGATCCACTTCGTCGCCGAGGGTGAAGTGACTTTCCGCTCCATCTTGTTCTTGCCCAAGGCTGCACCAGCTGGGTACTACCAGGACGTTTCAAAGCGCAGCAATCAAGTCAAGGTGGGGTTTGCGTTTGTAATTACTAGTAGTTGTGCCAGACTACATTAACTAGTTCCACCTCTACCACATGCGCTCCCTGGCCGATCTCGTTAACACCAACAACATGACTCCAAGTTGTAGCTATTGGCAGATATTGCTAATCTGCTGCTTGCCCTCTTATTATCATGTACCAGACTACAGTATACAATATTTTAATATGACAGACTGTGGTATTTGCATAGTCTGTTTAGGATTGCGCTGCACACTAATACCCAACGTACTATAGCTTGGGCCAAGGAAATGTGACCCGCTTCAAAGCATTCCAAACCGTGTCCAGGCGTATCTTAAGCATCAAACTACGTTCATGTCCTTCATCTTTCTGTGAGAACCGGACCTATGGGACGGTGAGAAGGCAATCATGCCTGTGCCATTGGTGAAGTAAAATAAAAGTCAACAACAACAACATGTCCATATAATAGCAAGTCCGCTCTTACATTATTTTGTTACTAACGTTAGTACGCTGTATGGATGTGATGTTAGCAGTGGATGTATGCCATGAACTGAAGACAGGACTGTATCTTTCTTTCACACATGCAATCTCCATTGTTGGTGTACATTGTTTCTGCGTGTATGTGAAATCTGATCCCGAGTTACGTCCATCGTCTTTTGCTCTGTGCACTGCAGCTGTATGTGCGCCGTGTTTTCATCACCGACGAAGTCGATGACATTCTGCCCAAGTACCTGGCCTTTGTGAGGGGTCTTGTTGACTCTGACGATCTGCCACTCAATGTCAGCCGTGAGACTCTGCAACAGCACAAGCTGCTCAAGGTCATTCGCAAGAAGCTCGTGCGCAAGGTTAGTTGAAAGAGCAGGGTCGGTCATGGCATTGTTCATTACATCCTTTTTTTCACTTACTGATCTCTTAGCGGTGCCGGGTTTTGGGTAGTTTCACAGGGATGAAGACTTTTCACATCTACTACAGCTGTGTCGGTCACAGCTCTTGTGATGTGACTGTATTGACATTGCAATCACGGGACATTGTTGCTGTTGCTCCTGCCTATTTCTATAGATTTTGGAGATGGTCAAGAAGATGGATGCCGACCTGTACAAGGACTTCTGGAAGGAGTTTGGCACTAGGTATGAACTGACAGTGCGGTACAATTCAGTACAGTGAGATAGTAGACACTGAGTATAAAAACTGGCAGGGATATGATATCCCATACTTGTCCCAGTACAAAGCACACCCACCCCCATCCTCATATTTTTGACCAGTTCGACCCAAGGTACATTTGGTACACACAAAGGAGAGTGCATACTCAAGTTGAGCCTATCATTAGTGAATGCAAAGTGCATGTTGTTCTTTGGCAGGACAAGGCGGAACACATACGATTCATTTTATTGGAAAGAAATCTTTCTATTGCTCCTGCTTGAGCGCTATGTCTCTTTTTACAGGATTCATCCATGTAATCTAATGCTTTGGGGGAAAGTAATCACAAACATTGTTGCCAGGTTGGGTTCTAATGACTTTGAATGTTTGTTGTCTTCTTCAGCCTGAAGCTTGGAATCATTGAGGACCACTCGAATAGAACGCGTCTGGCTAAGCTTGTGAGGTACGAGTTCTATTCAGCAGTTGAGATTATCTTCCTTGCCAACATACTGATTGGAGATAACACAATGCCTCAGATCAAAATGTTGTCATGACTCTGGAGTACAACAATGGAGCTTTAAAATATTTGCTATTGTACTAGAAAAGTGACAATTGCTATCAATTCTTCATGAGTTGAAGTCTAATTCATGTCCTGAATGCACGCATAATACTGTGCATGGCCTTGGTTAAGAACATGTAAAACTGTATTTTGAAGTGAGTGCAATCGCGCCTCCACATTTCCCGTGTTCTTTTCTGGAGAGAAACTAGTAATTGGTGCCCAATACGGACATGTTCTTTCATGTATTTTTGCACCGAGATCACTGTAATATTACTGCATCATTCTTTTAATAAAAGAGCTTGTGGTCATATGTGTTGTTGCCGTGCTCAGATTCCACTCTTCCGACAGTGCCGAGGAGATGACCAGTCTAATGGACTACGTTGAGCGCATGAAGGACAAGCAGGAGCACATGTACTACATGGCCGCTGGCACTCGTGAGGAGGCTGCCTCGTCGCCATTTGTTGAGAGTCTGCTGAAGAAGGGCTACGAAGTGATCTATCTGACCGAGCCGGTTGATGAATACTGCATCCAGAGCATTCCCGAGTTTGAGGGCAAGAAGTTCCAGAACGTTGCCAAGGATGGCTTGACGATCGGAGATGAAACCGACAAGGCAAAGAAGGCCAACGAGGCCCTGGAGAAGAGGTTCGAGCCCCTCACCAAGTGGCTCGCGGAGACATCGTTGAAGGATAACATTGAGAAGGCTGTCATTTCCAAGCGCCTTGCAGACTCACCTGTTGCACTTGTTGCCAACCAGTGGGGATGGTAAGGAAAGATGGGTTCTCGTAGCATGCCGATGTATGTATGTGGTGCTTGCTATAGATCAAGCTAAGAACGAACCTTGGCTGGGTTTAGTTTCGGCGGAGCATTCATTTTCTGCCATTGTCCATTCTTCTGCCGTGTAGTGCTTGAGTACTTGCTTTCTAGTATATTCTACTTTGGCCATGCATCACTACTGACTTGTCGTAAGCTGTTGGTAGGACTGCGGTGAATGAATCATACATGTATAGCCCTTTCGAGGTCAGGTATGTGTGCATCAAGGTGTGGCCCCATGTTTTAACGGTTTGGTCTGTGCGTTGCTACTGTTGCAATCCAGGTCTGGCAACATGGAGAGAATCATGCGTGCACAGGCTTCCAACGCCCGTGGCCAAGACGAGTAAGAATTTCGGCGATACAGTAATTATGTGGTGATACTTGTTTCCAGATGTGTGCGTACATTCCAATCATAGCAGCTGGTGGTCCATGATTGACATGAATAACGTTAGTGCTTCTGAAAAATGTGAAATGTGTCCCACTTTCCCCATCTTGGATTTGTATCTTTGACGTAGTTTTTAAAGTCGTATGTGCCTCCTGCTGTAGATCTACTCGCTAGGTATTTAGTGCTATGCGTGTTGTCAGTTTTTCATTGCGGTTGTTTTTCTCGCTCTGTTTTTGATATAGCTTCTACATGAACCAGAAGAAAATCATGGAAATCAACCCACGTCACCCTGTCATCAAGAAGCTTCTCAGCTCAGTTGAGGTATGTGTGGACTATTCTAGACAGGAACGCAGGACTTGCGATGTGTACAGTGTACATACGGGCACAGGACATTATTTGAACTTGGATGGCAAGTTAGAGATAAATTGATGTTGAAAGGAGAAGCAGTTGGGGTATAGGAGAAAGAGAAGATATTCCACCGATATATCCAGATCTCGAACTGCCAGAACGCACAACGAGAGCAAGAACTGTCGAATTGTGACTCACACTTGTGCTGCTTTGCTTTTCTCCTTGTCCACTTTCAGGAGGATCCCAATGACGCAAAGGCACGAGACCTTGCCGTTGTGCTGTATGAATCTGCTGTGCTCCGATCAGGCTTCGCCCTGAAGGTGAGTGAGAAGATCATTGTAATTAATTTTATTCCCGAAGCTGTGAAAAATACGTTACACAGCAGCTTCTGTCGCTTGCCAGGGTACTCATCCCTCTATTTCTTATGTGTATGTGGTTGGTCGTTCCCTATGGCCGTCATCATATCCGACTGATGGCGTGAGCGACCAGGAGTTTTAGGTGACGTAGCAGCAGCGGCGCGGCGTCACACGAGCATAGTGAGGGTCCTGAGTTGGCTCTCTTGTTCCAGGGCTTTGTTAACATGTGTACTACGCCTGCGGTCCACGTCAGACTGGCTACACTGGATGCAGCCGAATGCTCAATCCCAGGAGATAGTTTGTGTTTTCCATCTCAAAGTTATAGGCGAAAGATGGAAATGCTGGTCCGACAGGTCTCAGTCACCTGCCACTGTCAGACCCCATGTAGTACCCCAGCTGTGAGAAAAAAGGAAGATGTACAAAGATATGCGAGGTAGACCACATTGTCACGGGTGAGCGGCTGCAACATCATGGAAGCTATGGCAAGGGGCATTGCTATTGCGAAGTATGATTCGTGAATTGCTCCCCTGAGGCGACCACTAGGAAATTGGCAAATTGCACAATTATATTGTATGGGGAGGCCTGTATCTGCATCTCTACTGCTTTTAATCCATGCTTAGTGTAGTTGTGATGCTAAGAAGCCTCTGAATCTTTCCATGTTCTCTCTTATATCAGGACACCAATGCTTTTGTCGGACGTATTGAGAAGATGCTTAGACTCAGCCTGGACGTTGGCCTTGATGAGCAGGTGAGTGGACTCCCTTGTGGCGAAGTACAAGTACTAAACATGATCCATCCTATCAGATAGTTATAGTTTCCTTGAGTCCCGTGCTTTGATTGCAGCCCGTGCCTTGATTGCAGCTGGGACTGCACATTTCCTGAGGATGGATCTTTGTCTTGACCGGAAGACACATTGACGTAATAGCGTAATAGTCCGTGTCTGGCTGTGCGTATTATCATTGTAGAGTTGTTTTTAGTGCCGTCCTTTTGTCAATCCTCTGTGCAGTGGCTGGATGTGGTAAAGTATGATATGAAGGGAGGGGTTCTTTCATATTCTTCAGCATACATGTAGTATCCACTGATTTTTTTCGGTGTTCCTGTTTACGACAACTGTCCAACAGGTTGAAGAGGAAGCTGAGCCCGAAGAGGATGATGACGAGGAGCCAGTAGAGGAAGAGGCTGCAGAAGAGGAGGAGAGCAGTGATGCTGGCGCTGAAGAGCCCGCATTTAACCCCCAAGATGGTGTCGATGAGGTTCTAAAGGAGGCTGAGATGGCAGTTGTGAGTGTTAGAATACGTTAAATGCACTCTTGGACTGATTTGATGTTGCAGATTTGATTTTACCGCATCAAGGACAGCTGCACACCCCATCCCCACAACAGTAGAAAGAACGTGATACTAACACGTCAGAGGTGTGCTAGTACTTGATCCGCGGCTAGAAGTGGTGGCACAAGACACATAGAACTAATTAGGATCTATAAAAGCTTTGGGGATATGGATTCGTGGCCATCGGTACTAGGAGAGGTTGCAAAACATGGTTGTACTTATCACACACATTGGCAGTTCCACAGCAAGCCATTCAGAGCCTGGCTTGGCTGGATGGTTCATGGACGAGGATTTTCACGGGTGTTATGGAGGTACACAGAGTCTATTTGTTTTCTTGGTCCTACTGACCATAGTCATAGCAAGGAACCTACTTGTATGTGCTTTTCTGAGTTTTCTCACCCCGAACTATTTGTGCTTATTGTATTTCTACAGGAGAAGGATGAGCTGTGAAGCCTCTGACAAACTCTGCCAAGAAGCACTTTGGAAATGTTTTCCATCATAACTACTCTACTAGGCTAACGAGCATGTAACATCTCTGTGCTCATCGTGTTGACACAAAGCGTGTCACACGTCCTCAAATTTCTTCTATTATATTTCCCTTCCTGCATCTTTTCACTGCGCCACGCTAATGCCGACCTCACTGTGGTATCATTGTTACTTGAGTTACGCACAGAGTGGCTTTGCTGCAATTGCTCTTATTTGAGATCCAGAAACACAAGGGGCATGTGCCAATGTTGCTTGCTCTGAGCTTGTGCTGGATCACGGCGTGCTAACGAACGTGTGGAAATCATAGACAGGCGTGTTCGTCGGTGAACTAGAATTGCTGGGCATGCATGCGGGCAAGTAACTGGCATTTGGCAGTGCTCTTGCTTTGGAGCAACAGGGCTGGGAATTTTACTCCCGTATGTATGCAAAAACCCCGCTGTGATTAGTGGCGTCTGGCGCTAGCGAGGGTCCAGAGCGCTCCACGCGAGCACATGTGTGTGGTACGTCCGTCACCACGTGACAGCGCGTAAGGGGCCAGGGGGTTCCAGACGCGCGCAAGGAGGGGGGGGGGGGGCAATCACACGTGACTACAAGCACCAGCTCAGCTAGTTCAGCAAAATGATTCGTGATGATGACAAGCATTCCGAAAGCTCCTGAGCTAGAAGGGTCTTGGTGGTCACAAGTATTGCGGCGTAGCATAGTCAAGGTTTTGCCGAAACAAACACCAGCCAGGTGTATCTTGAAAACCTCCAATTCATAAGCAGCTAAATAGAACCTTACTAAATTGGGCTCTGGACGCCAGCTACCTGATTTATGCACTATGGTACTGCAAGTACCTACAGGTTGAACTGTAGAGTGCTTTAGCAAGCAGCAGCCTCTGGACAGTGTGCACAAAGCACATTACGACATACACGAACATAAAGCACTGACAGTAATTTGCTGACCCACAACTACTAGTATTTGCCTGCTGACAGGAGTTAACATGGATATTGAGGAGACTGCAGTTGTCTACATCGCAATGCAATCCTGTCGACCATGAAAAGATAGTATGAAGGCGCTATGAAAATCAAAATTCAGGGAAGCACTCATGATCATGATTGTGTTGATCATGAGCATGAGTAACTATTCACAACCCAAGATATAATAATGACAGAGCCCAGATGAGAAGAAAAGAAAATCCACACATTAGATGGCATGGCAGGAGAGAAGTTGATGATACAATAGGCACACTGCCATAAAGTTAGTACTTGGACTGGGGAGTTGGAGCCGGCACCATTGTGGGGAATCCAACCATGTGGACGTCTTGTGTCGATAGATGACTGCACCAATGCTCTTTCCCACGAGTTTTGGAAAAACACGAGAGAATGCAGACACTTGACGGCTTCCGCGTCACACCGAAGCAGTGACCCACTCCCATGCAGGTCTGGCACCAACGTAGTTGAACAGGGCAGTCCAGACATCAGACTCCAGAACTTGCTGGTCACCACCATCAGCAGCGCAGCCAATTTAGCATGTCGGACCAGTGTCTTTGACTTGAGACATCCTCGTTGTGGTGGTTGCTGACCTCATGCCAGTCTACGCAGCCATAGTAGCGCATGACCAGAGGTGTTTCTACCAGTAGTAAGTTAGTAATATTGAAGATTATTCAGGCTCAGGAGCTTGGGTACGGCGAAACTTGCGCATTTTGAATGTTGGAATGTGGTCAACTTTCTGGTCCCAGGCCCTGCAAGACGAGCAAGCATAACACCAGACAGACACGCTGTTCTACTTTACAGAAAATGGGCAGCAACACGAACTTGCCAAACAAAGAAAGCACAGTGACAGCCAGCTGCACCACACTTCCAGGGCGAACAGTGCAGTGCGCAGTAATGCATTGTGGACAAGACAATATGAAGAGCACAGAGAATGGAAAAGGTGTCCACTTCTGCTTGGCCAAGGGGATATTATGGTGACAACACAAATACGAATCTCACCGGAAGAGTGCAAGGTTCTTGGCATCAGTCAAATCAGGCGCATCTACAGCACAGAAACCAAAAGCGAGAAAATACATGCACATCAACAAAGGTCGTCAAGAATGGGAATTTAAAATTACACAAATTCACTGAAGTTAATCTTGGGATTAGTGATAGCAAGACAAACAGGGTCCCTGGACTTCAGCCATTGGACCTACCGAATCCACCTGTTGTCAGCAATGCCAGCTCCTTCTCTCGGACCATGCGCAAGGCATCTTCACGAGAAGCGTGCGGCCGTACTTGGCGTCCCTTCAAAGTCGATGCTAGACGAATCTCTTCTAGCTCATCATCAAATCGAGAAATGTACCTGAGGATATGGACGAAGAGAAAACAAGGACATAAAATGATTAGGTGCAGGCTCATCCTCTTTACATCAAAGTGCAACTAACCAACTGCTTAGATATGATAATTATTAGAAAGACAGAAATCCAACTTAGCAGTGACGCAAACAGCAGGCAACTTCAACACTTCATTACATACTCTTCAATGAGATCGCAGACATCGTCTTGGCTGTATGACTCTGCAGTGCATCGCTCGTGGAACCATTCCAACACTGTGCCTGTGAAACATCACAAAATGAACGCAAGAGATAACTCAAGCTAAAAGCACAATACGCGGGCAATTGAGCAAACACCATTGAAAACATCTAGGAGTCGCCCACAGGGATTTTGTGCATCTGATGCATTGGTCAATTTCCAACACTGCAATACAAACATAAACAAGGAAGTGTAAGATGCTTCAAAGTCAAGGGGCAATTGCTATCAGGCTTCACAAACAAATACGTACGCAATTGCTGCATTCCTTTCGCCGCCTTGGATTTGTTTCTAACAAAACAGAAGAGAGAAGCAGCGATCACGACCATACAACCACGGCCTCTCCCACAAAACACACGGATGCATACACAGGTGCGCAAGTACATACGTACACACACACACACCTTGACCTTGACATACAGCTGCCGTTAAACGGCTAAGCTGCCCTCATGAGGAGGGGAACAAAGGGGTAGCATCACGGCGTCGCGGCAGAACATCCGGCCTCATGCCGTTGCAGATCCTGCTGCCTGCGACATCTCTCGCCGCACGCACAGCAGAACTTGAGCCCAAGATGCTGCCTCGCTGTTGGTCGCTTGCCACGCTCGCAATTGTGCCGTTTAAATCCACCAGCAGATCGAAAGCACCGGTCACATGACGGGCAGTGGAATGGGCAACAATATTGATGTTGAAGCACTAGGCGAGGTGCAGGATCGACAGAGTCCGATGGCTGTTGGGAGGAACCTGCGAAAGGGCACTTATGTACCTTCAGCCCACCAGAACTCTTGAACCATCTACCACAACGTTGACACAACTTTGCACCAGGCTGTTGGCTGACAGGAAGTTGACGGGCCGCACTGCACTTATGCCGCTTGTACCCAGACACACTAAGATGGCGGTCGCAGACACTGCAGTACACAGTTGGCTTAGACGGTGGTGGTGGAGGCACAACATCAACGACACTCGATCTCCACAAAGGTCGATCCTGAGCTGTTGCAAACCATGGTGTATGCAAGGTGCGTAGGTCGTGATGAACACACACACACACACACGTGCACTTGCTCACTGCCAGAAGCTGGTCAAATGGGCCTGCTCCCTGCGAGGGGGGGGGGGGGGGGAGATTCTAAATTTGGCAAGAAGACGCGACTGGCTTAGCCGTTATATGTATCATACCAAAACAGCTTTCACTTGATTTCGTAGGATCAGACAGCAAATCCTAATTGACCACATGTTACTACACCAATTCACCAACGGAAAGCTTTTCTTGAAGGTCACATTGTATGGATAATTCTACGGTTGTGTGTATGCATGCACTGTAAACTCAAAACTATTTTACATTGAATTCATGAACGTGAAGGGAGAAACATTTCTTACTTCTGAACACGATCGCGATGCGCTTCGTGTCTTGAGATCTGTGACGCTTTGCGGGAGTTAGGGTGAACAACCTTCTTTGACACTTTCTGCTTCGGAGCTTTAGGCTGCGTATTTCGAGAAGCATTCAAATGGAGAAATTCGTATGTACAATTGTCTGAACAATTTTGTACGTACATGTATCAGACAATCCTAATTACCATGTTGACAGGTAGGCGGGTGTCCAGCAATCCAAAAACACTGATGAATTGTATAACGAATTTTCCAGTACAGCAGCACACAGCAGAGGAAGGAATACCCCGAGATCTCGAGAGGGGACTAAGGTAAGGAAAAAGCAAGGTGATCGAAAAAATCCTTGGCGACTCCTCTCCTCGACTCCCGGAGTTTTTTTATTTCTGCAAAAAAATTAATATTAATTTAAAATTATTTTGCAATCCATCCATCATGCATGCCTTACGTAATAACGCGACGTCACTAGTGCAATCAGTCTGTATGTGCATGTGATAATTTTGAATGACATAATCGTCCGTACAGCTAGATCTACGTGTAGTGTGTAAAATCTTCGAGTAGTTTATTTTTAAAAATATTTCCCAAGCAAGCAGAGCTCACACAACAAGATACCGGTTCCCATATTGGTAGAAAGCGGCTGATGGTGACCGTCGTAACAACTCAAGACTCAGTGCCGTGGTGCACGGGTGCTTTTTGCGCTTGCTTGTTGAGGCAAGGACTGCCCCCATTGCCAGATAACGAACTTGTATAATAATAAAAATAAAGCCTACGCAAGTGACTTGACAGTTCACCACTTGTAGACCTGGCCCATCACGCTGTATGTTTGGCTAGTGCATAACCACTGTCGTCATGTCTGGATCAAAGGAAAGGAATGGTTTGGCTGGCACCACTGTGATTCACCAGAATGGGAAGCCTCCTCAGAGTGTTGCCACTGGCACGCAGAGCATGGCGGAATATAGAGCAATAGCAAGGAAGAAGCTACTTCCTCAAGGTAATCCTCAGCTCAGTCACAGGTGCTCATGCCACAGTCTCAGTTTACACTAGCCAGGGAGTTGTACGAATCTAGTTACGTTTGTACAACTCCCCACCCCAACCTGAGTAGCTATGTCGAGTGACTGTGACCATGTACACTGACGAAACAATTTAAAACATGGAAGTCTGAACATGCACAAGATTGAGATGGTACCCTACAGCCTCGGAAGTGGTCCTGTTTTTCGTCTGTTCATGTCCATCCAGTACACAGTGAGGAGCGTATGTGGTGCGTGTGCAAAGTTATGGTACATTCGCACAATTGCTGAATACTAGATTAGGCCCGATCCGACCGCTTCCCCGGCATAAATCAGTAGCTAGGTCATGCATAAGTGCAATCCTTGTGTGAATGTTCTATGTCCCTGGCACGGGCCAGTTGTCGCCTTGTCGGCCCTAATATTGGGTTAGAGAATCGGCAATCGTGGCCTTTTCCAACATGTTGGAATTTCTCACGTCCGTGAAACGAGGAGAAGAAGTTGTTACCGTATTTTCTGGAGTATAATCCGAACACTCAAACTTCACCCAAAAAAGGGGGGGGGGGGCGGTGCGGCTTGTTACTCCGGAAAATAAGGTATGATGATGCAGACCTGTACTGTGCCGAGAGGTCAATGGAGATGAGTAACATAATCATTGTCGCAGTAGAGTGTGTGTGTGTGTGTGTGTGTGTGTGTGTGTGTGTGTGTGTGTGTGTGTGTGTGTGTGTCTGTGTCTGTGTGTGATGGTACATGGTGTGTGTGTCGGTGAGAGAAAAATTCTAAAGTGAGACTGGAGGTGCAGTGAAAACGTTTCATTCTGTTTTCCGGTTCCGCTACCTATCTGGATATAGACCCAGTGCCGCACGAGTGAAATGTGAAACGATGCGGGCTCCACTCACAGGCTGTCTATTCCATGCATTTGCCCTTGGGGTAGGGCAAGTGTAAGCGTACATTGTATACCAGCGCTGGTCTTGGCCACGCCAGTTTGATGTACACCGATTGACTAGGTCCCGACCATAATTGGTTGTTGGTACATGTATCATGATTCGGGTAGAGTACATATACTCTAGATTTCTTGCTTCACCGTCATCTGTTTTTGCTTTTCTTGTTGTTGTTGTTGTAGCGTAATGATACTCATAACTGTACATAGCTTTCTCTCTGTCTCTCTCTTGTATTCATAACTGTGCGTGAGAGCTGCTTTCACACCTCTGCATGAACTCTGCAGTGCTGCTTTCACACGTCTGTATGAACGCCGCATGAATGCACCCCTTTGTACCACGCACGCGCCACACTTTCCATCCTTCCATACACGGACGAGTACTTGGGGACTCGGGCCTATGTGGCTTGGGGTAGCACTACTCACTTCACTTCTTTGTTCGGACTTCTACTAGCTGTTCTGTTGTTTGTCTTGTAAATAAAGATGGTAAACCCTAGCTCAGGAGTTTACTACATGGCGCAGTGAACAGGATCTACATACGAGAGTTCCGTATTGATCCACTGTAGAACAGTAGTATGTCTCGATTTCAGCCACCATGTCAGTTTGACTTCGCCGATCCCTCTGCCTGGGATGACTGGCTCGATCGTTTTCGGCAGTACAGGAAAGTTACTAAACTGCACAAGGACGATGAGGATGTCCAGGTAGCCACGCTCCTTTACAGCATGGGACCACAGGCGACAGTAGTCCACAAACAACTGAAGTTTGATGACGCCGGCGATGCGGAGAAGTTTGACGAGGTGGTCAAGAAAATGTCCGAGTATTTCAAACCAGTGTCGAATGTGGTACATGAAAGAACTATGTTCGAGCGGGCGATCCAGTCGCCATCGGAATCCGTTGACGAATATCTTCGTCGTCTGCATCGTATCGCAGATAAATGCGACTTCTCGGGAGCCCGGGACGAGCGAATCCGTGATCGCTTCATGGCTAACCTCATCGATCGTAAGTTGACACTCGAGCTGCAACTTCTCGATAAGCCGGACCTGGCCAAGGCAGCCACATACGCTCGAAACTACGAGCAGGTTCATCGGCAAGTAGCTGCGCAGCGCCATCAGTTGGAAGTGTCTGCGCCACCTCAGGCAGCCGGAATCAGCACAGCCAAGGCCAACAGCGGCGGCCGGGCACAGCAGTTTAGTTCGACTCGTAGGTCTACGCCGTTTGGTACGGATGATGCGCCCTGCAGGTGGTGTGGCAGGCCAGCGACCCACTCACGCCGTGAGTGTCCTGCACGGTCCGAGAAGTGCTCCTCTTGTGGGAAAACAGGCCACTTCAGCAGGGTATGCTTGAGTAAGCCTAGTAGGCTAGCCAGTGAACCAGGCGCAGGCCAGAAGTTGGTGCATGCAGTGCAGCCTACACCGACTGCAGACATCAGCCCAGGCGCATATCTGTTTATGGGAGGCGTTTCAACTGACCAGCTGCCTGACGAGCCTTGGATGCGCTTCATTCCGATAGGGAACACGGAAGTACTCTTCAAAGTGGACACTGGCGCGGACACGTCTGTTATGAACGCGGACACGTTTAGCACGCTAGTCCCGTCCCCCACGCTCCAGACGCCAGCAGCTGCACTCCTGGGACCCGATGGCACACCACTGACACTTGCGGGGAAGTTTACAGTCCTAAGTAGAGACACCAACGGACAACTCTTCCCGCATGATGTCCATGTCCTCTCCGCCTCGGGTGCGAACCTGTTGAGCCGACAAGCTTCTTTCCGTATGGGTTTTGTGCAGCCAGGAGTTCACAACGTCTCCGCTCCACCTGCACCTCCACTTGGGTGTATGACCGGACCACCAGTATCGATACGTCTTCTGCCCGATGCTCGCCCGTACCACTGCCCAGTGGCCAGGCGTGTACCATTCCCGCTGCTCCAAAAGGTGAAGAAGGAGCTGACGAACATGGTGGATTCCGGGATCATCACACCGGTCACAGAACCGACGGAGTGGTGTGCACCAATGGTGGCGGTTCGGAAGAAAAACGGTGACGTCCGCATTTGCGTAGACCTGAAGAGGCTAAACACAGGCGTGAAGCGTGAGACATTTGTCCTCCCGACCGTTGAGGAAACGATGGCTAAGCTATCGGGAGCGACGGTGTTCTCCACCCTGGATACGAAGAAGGGGTTCTGGCAGGTTCCGCTTGCCGACGAATCTCAACACCTCACCACATTCATCACCCCGTTTGGCAGATACAAGTTCCGCCGCTTGCCCTTTGGGATTTCATCAGCACCGGAGATCTTCCAGCGCAAACTGATGGGCATCCTGGATGGTATCCCAGGAGTGGTGGTATTCATGGACGACATCTTGATCTTTGGATCCAGCCAGGAGGCTCACGACACAGCTCTGACTGCCGTCTATCAAGCTCTCGCCCAGGCCAATGTCACTCTAAACCCTGACAAGAGCCAAGTTGGTCAAGCATCCCTCAAGTTCCTCGGGCACAGCATTAGCCACAACGGTGTGCGCCCCGACCCGGACCGCATTTCGGCTCTGTTGGACCTCGCCGCGCCAACTGATGTGCCAAGTCTGCGACGGGTTCTCGGACTATTCAACTACATCGGCAAGTTTCTGCCGGGCCTTGCATCTGTCTCGACGCCACTCCGGGCTCTGCTGCGCCACAATACTGTGTGGTGCTGGGACGCAGCCCAACGGGATGCGTTTGCCAAGATGAAGGAGCTCGCAGCTGCCGCCAGTGACCTGGCATTCTTTGACCCATCTCAGCCTGTAGTCATCAGCGCCGATGCAAGCAGCTATGGTCTTGGTGCAGCACTCTGGCAACGTGACGGAGACGACCTCCGCCCCATCGCGTTTGCCTCCAAATCTCTCAACGAGACGCAGCAACGCTATGCTCAAATTGAGAAGGAGCTCCTCGCCGTCACTTGGGCCTGCGACCATTTCCAACAGTACATCCGGGGCGGCCTGCCATTTGAAGTCCACACAGATCACAAACCGTTGATCCCCCTCATCAACTCGCGAGACCTGGACAATGTCCCACTCCGCTGTCAACGGATGCTGATGCGCCTCCTCCAGTTCAGCGTCACCGCGACCTATGTGCCGGGTCCACGTCTCGTCGTGGCCGACGCCCTGTCTCGCTCCCCATCCGGTGCAGCAGACCCTCAAGGCAGTATGCAAGACTTGCTGGATGACATCGATATCCAGGTAGCGTCCGTGTCTGCTGAGTATGCCTCTCCCACGTTTCAGGACCGCATCAGAGCAGCGGTAGCAGAAGACCCCGTCGTGTCCGACGTCGCACAGCGGACCCTCAGCGGCTGGCCAGAGCGGGCCCGCGACGTTCCGCCTGCACTGCTGCCATTCTATCCAGCCCGGTCTTGCCTATCGGTGGCCAATGGCATTGTGTATTTCAACACCCGTATCGTCATCCCCCGTGACATGCAGCCTGAGGTGCTCCGTACCATCCATGACGGTCATCAGGGGGTGACCAAGTGCCGCGCCCGAGCTCGAACGGCAGTGTGGTGGCCTGGCCTCGACGCCCAGATTGCAGACGTTGTCCAGACCTGCGAAGCCTGCAGCAAGGAGCGTCTCGTGCCTGCTGCACCGCTCCTACCACAGGCTCTCCCAGCACGACCCTGGCAGCGACTTGCAGTCGACCTGTTTCATTTCGAGGGTCACGATTATCTCCTAACGGTGGACTACTTCTCCCGATTCATTGAAGTGGATCAGCTCAAGTCTACCACATCCCATGCAGTAATAGCCGCCCTATCCCTGCACTTCGCTCGCTATGGCACCCCAGAAGGACTAGTGTCCGACAACGGTCCCCAATTCTCTAGTGACGAGTTCGCTCTCTTCCTGGCTCGCCACTCAATTCAGCACCGAACCTCCTCTCCACGGTACCCCCAGAGCAATGGCATGGCAGAGAGAGCCGTTCGTACCATCAAAGAGATGCTGCGGAAAGACCCGGATCTCCCTAGTACACTGCTGGCGTACCGCTCCACGCCCCTCCAGAGTGGCCCTAGTCCCGCACAGCTCCTGATGGGTCGCAGGATCCAGTCTAGCCTGCCACTACCTGAATCAGCTCTGGCCCCTGAGTGGCCCGACCTCATCGAGTTCCGACGACGGGAGGTGGCCCGGAAATCCGCCCAGGCAGACACGTTTGATGACCATCATGCCGCTCGGGCCCCATCCCCACTCGGACCTGGCGATCGGGTGTGGTTGGTAGATCTCGCCCGCGAAGGCACCGTGAAGGAACGCTTGAGTGAGCGCTCCTTCCTCGTCACATCAGCCGGCTCCGTGCTGCGTCGCAACGTCCGCAACTTACGCCTTCTGCCGCAACGGATCCCAGACGATGGCCCCATCCTGCCGAATCCCGCGCCATCCGACGCGGCTACCCCAGTTGAGCGCCACCCTGCTGTGGCGACACCAGGTGCACCCGACGCAGCTGCCACCGCCGACGTTGACACCACCCGCTCAGGCCGTGCCGTGCGACCACCTGACCGCCTGGACTTGTGACTCTTATGCTCCCAGGTGCTCTCCTTCCTGTTGGGGGAGATGTAGCGTAATGATACTCATAACTGTACATAGCTTTCTCTCTGTCTCTCTCTTGTATTCATAACTGTGCGTGAGAGCTGCTTTCACACCTCTGCATGAACTCTGCAGTGCTGCTTTCACACGTCTGTATGAACGCCGCATGAATGCACCCCTTTGTACCACGCACGCGCCACACTTTCCATCCTTCCATACACGGACGAGTACTTGGGGACTCGGGCCTATGTGGCTTGGGGTAGCACTACTCACTTCACTTCTTTGTTCGGACTTCTACTAGCTGTTCTGTTGTTTGTCTTGTAAATAAAGATGGTAAACCCTAGCTCAGGAGTTTACTACAGTTGTTTGTTTGAAATCTTTATTCTCACGTTGTTGTTGTTGTTGTTGTTGTTGTTGTTGTTGTTGTCATCGTTGTTGTCATCGCCGTCCTCCCTTGCAGGGTACTCTGGTTACATGCACTTGTTCTATTTGTTTGGTACATGCACCGCCATTATGTCCATATGTGTTTGGTGGATGGAGCGGCTCACCTGGCTTGATTGGCTCTCTATCCCCGTCTTCATGTCAATCGCCAATGCGTACGAGTACGGTAAGTATTTATAACTCGGGCAAGTTCAGGGGCGACATCATCTGTTGCAAGAGTGGCAGTTGGGCATGATACAGTGTGGTGTATGTGGGTAGCATTTCTATTGTTGTTGTGATATCGCTGTGAGGTGTTGTAGATGTCTACTTTGCTGCAGTTGTTGACCTGTTTTGGGGAGTATTGTGATATGCCAAGCCTTGGTGTAGAATGCCTTCTGAATGTCAGCCGTTCTTTAAAAATTTAAATGCACCTTTTTAATGGCACACATGTGTGTGTCGCGTGGATTTGTATGTGTGTGTGTGTGTGTGTGTGTGTGTGTTTGTGTATGTGTGTGTACGTGTACGTGTGTTGGCATCCGTGCGTGTTGGCGTATGCTCCACTGGTTTTTCAGCGGTGCATCGCTATCCCGGCCATGTCACACTGTCGCCGCAGCCGTTCCGTTATTTTCACAAAAGTCACACTGGCCTACATCACCGTTTCTTCACGTACGAGAACTTCCAGCCAGACCTGGGTCATGTTGACTACTATTTTGCTCTTTTTCCACTGCGAGTCTATGGTGAGTAACACACTGTGGCAAGTAACCTAGTATGATCGCAATTAGCACAATCGTTCATGCATGACCCTGCTGGTGACATCATTGCTCTGCATAGGCGACATCATAGCCACAGGGCACATGCAGTATGTCATCATTGGTGACATCATTGTTCATCTTGCGACTCCCAGCAGTGATGTATGAACTGAGTGGCATGACGGTTATGAAGACATTCAGAGGTTTGATTGGCTTAAATCTACTTTTCAAAATCCTCTCTACGCGTAGGGTCGCTACTAGGCTGTGTGCTGGAAACGTAATCCGAAAAATATAGAATTCATAATATAGAGCAGCTCAGGCATGATGTTTACAGCCTGGGCAGCCTAGAGCACCATTTCCTAACTTCAGTATCTTATCCATCGTTGGCCATCACTGTGCTAGGAAACCGGTCTAGTGTAGGGCCAGCTCAGGCACATGTACTACATGTGGCTTGACTGCTATAGTTGCTACTCTGTGTTCTACAATGCACCTTCCGTTCTGAATGCCCTGCAGCGACATGGTTCCTGACGGCTACCCTACCGGTAACGCTGGTCGGTCGCTACTATCTGCCTTGGAACATCTGCCTCATTGCAGCTTGTGTTGGTAAGTGCTTCAGGCTGGTGTCGGGATGTAGTGTTTGATTTCATGCCACTGCTACTCTGAGTTTTTGTGAAAACAATCATCAGGCAATGGGTGACTACAAGAAACTTAGACCAGCAATGGTGCGCTGCTCATACGTTTCTTCTGGTATCTTGATCAAGAATTAGTTGAAAGCTGGCAGGACTGTAGAGTGACTGTACTACAATTGGTACCTGCCAGACATTAGAGTTTGAGTTACGGTTTGGGCTAGGGTTCAATGAGTACAAGCTGTTACGCCGGAGTCTTTCCTTCCAGTTGTTTTTCTCGTGATGTGCTTGCTAAGTGTGCTTGGATACGTGTCTGTGTTTCTTCTGATGGTTCTTACCCAGGTTCTTTCTACCTAGTGCTGTATGAAGTGCTTCACAGCTATGCACACGAGTCACTGCCAAGGGCGATGCTGAGCGTCGTCTCGTACATTCCCGGCGCTGATTTTGTGCGGGAGCACCATCGTCTGCACCACCATCCGCGCTTGATGACCAGCTGCAACTTCAACTTGACTTTCCCGCTGACCGACTGGCTGGTTGGAACTCTGGTTACAAAGCTACCAGCCAGCTAGACCTGTCACCATGGTAAACAGTGCCACGTGATCGACGAGGATTTCATCGGCAACTCAGCTTCTTTGTACTGCCCTGGCGTGAAATAGCGTGTGTACAGGTGTAATGCCAAATGCCTGTAACGTTCTGGATCACAATGGAGACCATCGTAACATGCCACAGTGTGCTGATTTGAACTATTGTCTCAGTTTGTGAAAAATTTGTAGCCTCATTGTTTCTGTAGCCGGTTTCTGCAGACTTTTCTATTTCCTATAGCCCTTAGAAAGTTCCTGTGCACAAGCTCAATTTAGGTTTTTTTTATTTAGAAAGAAAAGTTAGTTGTGTTGTATGTACGGGAATGTCGTACGCAATATCTTCGTCTTGATCTGTTTTACTGCGACGGTTTGCTTGGCCTTGATCCTAGAGTGCCGCGCTGCGGCTTTATTGTAGCTATTTCACCAGATTATTTGTGCTTTAATGGCATGCCCACTCATAATTTTTATCACTATTTCTCCGAACACACGTTTAGTGTGTTACTTTGTTACTTCATGCATGCGCTGAAAATTCAAAAATGGATCTTTGACTTTGGCACGCTTCAGCCGGCACGCTAAACAGGGTCACTTTGCCCGTTCTTAGCCTTAGGATTTATGTGATGGTGATGGCCTATCGGACCTTGCATAGAGAGCTGCAACCCGTCCAACGCCCAACACTGCCGTGGGTACTCATCGACTGGTGTCCTGTCATGTCATGAAGATGAAGCGTCTAGAACATCACGAGGGGATGGCGTACACCACTTCACTGTCAAACCGTGGCCATAGCCCATAGTTGTGCCAAGAAAGAGAGTCGCGTTGCCCGTGCCTAGGCGCTATGCCTGGAGCTCCGGAGGATGAAAGAACTGTCATAGGGTTAGGGACGCGGTGCAGGTGCTGTCGTGTTCCTGGCATGGCAGACCGGCATCGGCGACAAGCTCTGAAGCTGTGAATGAATGAATCGAAAGTCAATAAGAAACGTTTCCGAGAGTGATGTTTGCAGCGAGCCCCTCTCGTAGGTATGTGCTGCTGATCGTTGCATCGTCGCGGTAACACTATGAGTACTACTTCATCTCCAGAAGATGTTTGCAGCAATGGCAGGACTGAGACGGAAGAGTACAGAGAGGTAGCTAGATCAAAGCTTCTTCCGAAAGGTACGTTCTTTGAGGCAGAATATTGAAGTCTGAAGTTTTCAGCGAACAAATAAAAGGTACATAACTGTTCAACCCCATACCCACTCTTCGTCTCAAATTTACTTACAGCCTGGGGAAAATGGCCCAAACTATGTAGCAACAACAATAGTATTGTCCGAAGGAATGAATTGTTTAATTTAACAATCCACTATGTTGTAAATCTACTTTTGGAATTTTGTTGCGCGTTAACACAACGGAAAATACGGTAATGACAGTAACGTGTTGGATGTATCGATACCCATTGATTTTGGTTCGGCCAAAAAATGTCAATGTCCGAACTGCAGCTTATACAGTGACTCCTAATGTCAACACAAATACGAATTTTTGCGCCAGAAAAGAGGGGGGGGGGGTAGATCCCGGTGCCGCTAACACCCGGTAACTCAGCAGTACTGAGAACTACAAAAGAGAACCGAATTGCAAACAAAATTTGAGGATGTGATACGTAGAAAAAGGAGTGCAGGGATGGACAAATTGTTAGCGATCTGTAGTCTTGAGAGTGGTACACCATTACATTTTTACTTGCTCTTCACGAGAGAAAGTCTTTTGCAGTCCAGCATCCCGTTGCAATTGACTGACGATGATTTTCTTGCTATTGATATTCTTTGCAGGATACTCTGGCTACATGCACCTGGCATCACTGTTTGCCATTGCTACGCCTATCTGTGCAACATGCTTGTATACACTGGAGCCAATGACCTGGTTTGACTTAGCATCTATTCCTACCCTGCTGGTCATCTTGAACATCTATGAGTATGGTAAGATTGGGGATTTGGTTGACACATTGTTGATGTAGACATCCTTATGTGTGCATGCAGTGGAGGATCCTGGACTGCCTGAAACAGGGAAGTGATTCCCTACCTCACTGATCTCCTCCACACACACACTCTCATACATGCACACACGAACACACACACACACACACACACACACACACACACACACACACACACACACACACACACACACACACACACAGCAGACGTATGCACACACACACACACACACACACGCACGCACGCACGCACGCACGCACGCACGCACGCACGCACGCACGCACGCACGCACACACACACACACACACACACACACACACCTTTGACCTTTGACCTTTGACCTTTGACGCCCCATCTCCAGTGGAGATGATAGGCTACTGAGTTGGGCAGTACTTGATGTGACGCTTCAAATCGCCACTTCTCCTAAACGCTCTGCCGCATGCGCAATGAAAGTCCTTCGGTGCCGGGGGAGGAAGACGATGTTGATGGACCCGCCTGCGCCATTCCGGGCGATCTTGTGCGAGCCGATACCACTCGGACTCCGGAATATCCAGCGAGCGCAGATCACCGACAATCGTGTCTCGCCAACGCTTCTTTGGCCCATGCCGTGGTCTGGTTGCTTCGAGCTCACCAAACAACACTTGTTGAGGAATCCGGGCCGCGTCCATACGAGCAACATGACCCAGCCAACGCAGACGGTACTCACGCAGGAGAGCGCCCATGACCTCAGGAAGACGCGCTCTCTGGGCTAGATCAGCAGTATTAAGATGACGGGAGTGCTGATCGCTCCTTGAGACTCCCAAGATGGAACGGACGCATGAGCGATGAAACAGATTCAGGCGATTCATCTGCCGGGCCTTCATGGGCCAAGTCTCTGCTCCATAGAAGAGGGTAGGGAGGACAATGGCCTTGTAGACAAGACGCTTAGACTTAATGGATAGGCCGCTACACCCGAAGATTGGCTTTTGGAGAGCGCCAAAAGCACGAGAGGCCTTGGCAAGACGGGAGGTGAGCTCCTTGTCCAGAGCACCGTCTGCACTCAGGACACTGCCAAGATAGGTAAAGCTGTCCACAACCTCCACGCTTCCTCCATCCTGAAGATCAATGGAAGGTGGCGGGTGAGAGCAGTTCACCGCCATGGCCTTGGTCTTCTGGACGCTCACAGTTAGACCCCAACCCGAAGCACAGGACACAAACTCGTTTGTCATCGTCTCCAGGTGGCTCAAAGAGGTGGTGTAGAGAGCCGCATCATCAGCAAACTGGGACTCTGTGACGTCAGTGGAGGCCAGTCGAGACTTGGCGGTCCGATCCCCAACAAGCTTCCTGCCGACACGGTAGCGGACCTGTACACCCGGAACAGAAGACTGGCGATGCCACGAAGAGACCACTGCAGAGAAATACAGATTAAAGAGCGTAGGCGCCAGTGTGCAGCCCTGACGCAAGCCATTCCGGACGTTGATGTTGTCCGTGACGACGTTAGGGAGCCGAACACGCGCCTCCATGCCTTCATGGAGCGACTGGACAAGGCCAAGCAGCTTCGGAGGAATGCCCAGATGGCGGAGCACAAGCCACAAAGCAGACCGCGGAATTGAATCATAGGCCTTGCGCAGATCGACAAAAAGCACATATAGCTCAGAATCGTGCTCCACTGCCTTCTCCATCAGTTGGCTTGCGGTGAATACCATGTCACTGCAGCCACGGCCCCTGCGGAATCCGCACTGGGAATCCGGCAGAACATCCTCTGCCACCGCCTGCAGGCGACCTGAACGTGGCCACACACACACACACACACACACACACACACACACACACACACACACACACACACACACACACACACACACACACACACACACACACACACACACACACACACACACACACACACACACACACACACACACACACACACACACACACACACACACACACACACACACACACACACACACACACACACACACACACACACACACACACACACACACACACACACACACACACACACACACACACACACACACACACACACACACACACACACACACACACACACACACACACACACACACACACACACACACACACACACACACACACACACACACACACACACACACACACACACACACACACACACACACACACACACACACACACACACACACACACACACACACACACACACACACACACACACACACACACACACACACACACACACACACACACACACACACACACACACACACACACACACACACACACACACACACACACACACACACACACACACACACACACACACACACACACACACACACACACACACACACACACACACACACACACACACACACACACACACACACACACACACACACACACACACACACACACACACACACACACACACACACACACACACACACACACACACACACACACACACACACACACACACACACACACACACACAACAAACAGCACCTCAAGAGGTAATCTTGTGCCGGCAGTTACGTTATTGTAATTCAATACTATAAGTGTAAGTAGCGCACTCTGTGCACCCACATTGAGAACCTTATATAATTACACAGCAGTTGGAGCAAGTCCTTGAATGATTTTGAGCCATCTACTTTTAATTCCCGTAGCTATGCAAAAGACGTTACTTCAGTAACGTCTGGCGCTAGCCAGGGTCCACACAGCTTTAATTGAATGACACTGAAAATGAAATTCTTTCAACTGAAACGTTAGTAGTATGATGTCAGAGTACATTGCAGGATGATGTCAGAGTACGTCCACTACAGTTTTCCTGCCTACCTATTACTAGTATTGCAAGCTTCATCCAATGTTTATGTTGTACCGTTAGATCTTGCCTGTGATGACAATTGTTATCTCAGGACCGCTTGCTTTTCTGTTGTGCTTCCCGTTCTGCTTCAGTTTTCCATCGCTTCCCATCGCACAGACTTCTGCTGTCCCATTTGAGTGCATTTCGCTTGTTCTTCAAAAGCCACACCGGTCTGCACCACAAATTCTTCACATTCTCTAGTATGCAGCCAAACAACGGTCACCTGGATTCGTTCTTCATACTTTTCCCCGTCAAGGTGTATGGTAGGTTGGTTGCTACTCTATTCATCAATCCTCTACACAGAAGAAATAACTGCAGGAATTTAGGGAAAGGGTTTGCTTCCCACACTGGAGCTCGCGCTATTCCGCCGACTTCACTTGACACTTGATTGAAATTATGGGAATAGAGTTTTCTTTCGAGTATCTCTTCTAATGAAGTGACTATGGGGAATGCAGAGTGATAATTATAATTTTATCAGGCCACCTAGAATTAATTCGTTGTTTCGGGTCACTTCACTCATCCGTACCAGGGTTGGTCGGGTTTAATTTTTATTTTATTTTGTTTTTTATTTTGGTTACGTCCATGTATATGTACATCGAATAGCTTTTGTCCATCTAGCCAGTCGATCAAATCTGACTGTAGTGTAGACAATCCAGCGCAGTCCTTGTCCCATCGGATCCAGGTCCCCTCCAGGACCAGATCTTGGCCTCGCTGGCAAACGAGTCTGACCGGCGAGCAGCTCTCACCTTGAAAACTTCTGTAAATAGCGACAAGGTGGCGGAGCTGATGCTGTTTCAGGATCGATTGCGGATCGGAGATAGAAGACAACGTCGTCACCAAGCGCAGCATCCTGTCATTTGGCTAGCCATGGCTGCTTCTGAGGTCGATATTTGGACTGCTAGTATTATTAGGGTCGCGTGTGTACATAGCTAGTCTAGTCTGTACATTTGCATGCACTATAAATAAAAAAACATTTTGCGGTCGGGTGAAAAAAGACGGTCGGTCGGGTGACCCGAAACAACGAATTAATTCTGGATGGCCTCATGATAATGTGTTGAGCCTGTAGAAAACATTGGTTGTACACTTAAGTCTCTTTTATCTGGGCAGTCTGGGGCATGTAACATCATTATTTCCACCAAAAATGGCAAAAGAGTTGCAATATTTCCACTAAACTTGTGACTCCCCACTGGTGCCCAGTACTGCAGTTAACCGAAGTGCCCATACCTTGGGAGTCCGAATAAGGGAGATATGAGTGTGTTTGGATATTGTGGCTGCAGAGGTGCTGCAGGCCACAGCAGTGTGCAGATGTCATTACAAGTAACCGTCATGTATCACTGTTGTGTTGTGAAAGTGGTGATAGTCTGTGACGGTATTTTCTGTGGGTTGGCTAGCTTCATGCAGCTCCACATTTCCCTGCAATTTCTTGTTATTTTCCTTCTTGTTGATCCTATTTCCAGTGCTTGGTCTGGCTTCACTATCTGCTTTACTGCTTGGCGCAGGTTCTTTTCTCCTACCGTGGAATACGGCTGTACTATGCACAGGCCTCAGTGAGTTTTGATGCCATGTGATCATATGTTGTGATATGTTGTGATAATTATGTTTCTGGTGATTTATTGTGTTGTGTTTGTGATGGCAGCTAGATGTAAAGTCTAACGAGATTGAGTAGAATACGAGTAGTGATTTTACAGGATATGATTGTGTGTGGGCGTTGCCGGAATGCTTCCCAATTGTTGTGTTTCTGCAGGTTCGGCGTATCTAGTGTTCTACGAATTGGTACACTGTTACTCTCACAGGTCCTTACCAACCCCAGTGCTAGCAGTGTTGCAATACGTGCCTTGGTTCAATTTCTTTCGCCGTCACCACCAGCTTCACCATCACCCCAGAGTCATGAACACGAGCAACTACAATCTCACGTTCCCGTTTTCCGATTGGTTGGCTGGTACGTTGGTTACTAGGCTACCAGATTGAGGTGGGCACTCCGGGATCATTGCCGACAAGAGCTAGGTCGTCATCCCCGAGATGACACACTAACATAGGTCCAGCTACCACTGGCAGGTATATGTATGGGAGCTGAACCGCACACCATGAGCACTTGAAGAAACTTCAAGTTGATGGTGTTGATTTTTAGAATTTGTTTCTTGACAGATAAGGGAGTCATCCATTGTGGGGTTCAGCTAGCTGCCTACTACTGATTTACTGCATGAGCACTTGAAGAAACTTCAAGTTGATGGTGTTGATTTTTAGAATTTGTTTCTTGACAGATAAGGGAGTCATCCATTGTGGGGTTCAGCTAGCTGCCTACTACTGATTTCCTGCGCGCCATGCTGTGTGTGATTACGTCCTCTGTCTTATGTGATCACATCATTTGTCGTGATGAACACACAGCCCAGAAAGGAATCTCGGCGCAATAGATTTTTGAATAGCTGCTCTGAAAATCATGTACACGTACCAGAATTATATTGATAATTATCATTATTATAATTATGGACTCAGATGGAGAGCCAAGGTTAAATTTATACAAAAGAGAAAGACCAAGGAACTACAAGTTACGCTATACTGTCCACTAGCACCACCAGTTACTAAACAATCAGCTCATGCGATAACATTGCACGACACTGACCGACGGTACTGACGTTCTACAACTAACTGGCTAACAGCTCTAGCACATCTTGGATGCGCACTCCAACAGCCTTCCAACTTGGAAGGTTCTAAATTATAGAAATAACATAAGGAGGGGAAGGTGAGCGCAACCAAGATAAGCACGAGCTGAAAGTGCGCATCCAAGATATGCTCAAGCTGTTAGCCAGTTAGTTGTAGAACGTCAGTACCGTCGGTCAGTGTCGTGCAATGTTATCGCATGAGCTGATTGTTTAGTAACTGGTGGTGTTAGTGGACAATATAGCGTAACTTGTACAAGTAGTTCCTTGGTCTTTCTCTTTTGTATTATAATTATATTCCCCTTTAGAGCTCGTAGCTGTACTGATGAGGCCTTTATGGCCGAAACAGCTTGCTGTCTACAGCATTGGGTATTACGCTCCTTGACATTTCGTCTTGTTGAGCACTCTCGGTAGGCTGCTCTAGTGCTGCTACTGCATCACACATTGCCCACTTCACGCATTGCCCACTATCTTAGTTAGCTCGACGCCAGAGTGCTAGAGCCCTAGCTGAGCACTCTGGTGACGAGCTATCTTAATTAAAATCTGTGGTGCCTCATTTGCATTATGCTTGGTAGCTCTGCTTGCTCAAAGCTTGTAGCTGTACTGATGAGGCCTTTATGGCCAAAACAGTCTGCTGTCTACAGCATTGGGTATATTAGGCTAGTATAATATTTGTAATAGGCTAGTATATAATTATAAATCAGTAGAATTCTTTCATTTGCATATAACAATATTACATGTGATGTTGAATTTGGCAGGTTTGATGGAATGTTATACGATTTGTGAATATTGTAAAACACTGCGCATAAATATCAGCAGTGTGCAAGGTAATGTGAAATATTCAGCATGGCTGACGGAATAAAGAACGCACACACACACCACTATTCAAGAGTGAAACATAATTACTTCGAAGTATCAGAAAGGCTCAAGTAAAGAAGCTATTTGTCTGTTTCTGCATATGTCTTGGGAAGAACTGAGTCCATTTTTGGCTTTCTGTTGGCAAGAACACACTGACTACGTCTTGGGGCGAAATCTGGTGGGTGGCAAGAACGGAACAAGGAACTGCAAGAATACAGTCATTTTGCCCTTGAGTAAGTACCATGATAAGTCTTAGTACATGGTGCCATGCCATACAAGTTCTCAGGTGGCATTTCATACCTCACAATCATCCTCGGGTAGAGAAAACGGCTCAGGTGTTCCACTCAGCAATTTTGTAGAGCGGTTGAACACTTCTTCTTTGTCCCTGGGGGATTCTTCCATGTCCCCAGATGTCTTCTCAAATTGAGTATTGAATGGGACTACCTCCCGCCAGGACGATTTTCTTTCTCGGCTTGGTTCAGGTGTCAGTGTAGGAGCTGCATTCAAACCTGCAGGCTCAGGAGTAGGTGTTTGTGTGGGCATTGCATTCAGAGGGGTAGGCTCAGGAGTAGGTGTTTGTGTGGGCATTGCATTCAGAGGGGTAGGCTCAGGAGTAGGTGTTTGTGTGGGCATTGCATTCAGAGGAGTAGGCTCAGAAGTCGGTGATACCACTGGGAGGACCGGTGGCTCGGGAGTGGGCGACACCAAGGGAAGGTGAATCACTGAAATATCGTCATCGTTGTGAACATTACCCGAGTTCAGAATGGCAACTGGCGTGCAGTCCGCAGAGAAATGGGCAGGGTCTTCAGATGGTTCAAGTAGCCCCTCCGTGTCCGATATAGCTCCCGGTGGTGTAATAACAGCGTTTCCCAGCTGTTCATCGAGATTGGAATCCTTATCTCCAGTGCCAGTTTCATTCAGCGAACTCTTGTTTGCAACAGCATCGCTGATCGGTGAGGCACTTGGGCTTGATTGGAACAGCTTGCTACGCTTCTCTGCTGCTTCAGGGTCCTCGGCAGATGACGGCGATCGTTGTCTTGACACTGAACGCCCACCGGTGCTCGGTGATCGCCGCCCAAACAGCTCAACGTCATCCTCACAGCCTTCTTCTTCTTCCTCGGAGTCGTCACTGTCATCCGGCGCAGCTGGTCGGATTCTTGCCATTATTTCTTGTCTCTTGTAGAGCATGAATCCAATAGCAGCGACCAGCATAACCAGAACACAGCCTGCTACAACCAGGGGTATCCAGTTGAACTCAGCTGACGTTTGCTTCTCAGCAGCGGCATCAGTTGGAAGGTGAACAACCGTTTCTAGGTTAGGATCGCCAGGACCAGTGCTGGTGAGCTCTACCGGCTCTTCAGGTTCTTCAGTAGTTATGTGCGTTGTAGGTGGTTCAGGTGCTTCGGTGGTGACTGGGTTACATGTGTTCTCTGCCAGTGCATACCCTTCCCTGCACGACGCAACACACTCAGTGTCCTGCACATACGTCTTGCACTTGCTGCACTGCGAGGCCAGGGGCCCGGTACAGGCCGGGCAGCTGGCATCCGGGCAAGCTCGGCACTCCATATGGCAATCCTTGCACGTATCGGTCACGTTATCAAAGTACGCCGTCGGGGGACATGTACACGTCACGATCTCAGTGCCAGGCGGTGTATGAAACCTGCATGTAGCACAGTCGCTCGGTGTTGGTCCACTGCACTGATCACACAGGGCATGACAAGTATGGCATAGCTTGTTTGATGCGTACGTGCTCTCCGGGCACGTGGAAACGCACTGGCCATTGTGCAAGATATTCTTGCAGCCGCCACCGCACTGGCTATTGCCTGGACCTGTGCACCAGCTGGCACACTCAGCATGACATGGCAGACACTGCAGGTAAACAAAACACACGGTAGCACATTGTAACATCACAGCACTGCACAGAGGCTAGCCATTTGTAGTATGGGGATCCTTTAGAGCATCTGACTATCTCGGTTACTTTCACGTGCATCCAAGTCATAATGAATTCAGTTGTACCGACACTGTCCTTTATGCACTCTTCAAGTGCAGGAGTGGTCTCAGATTGACCTAGGATTTTGTTGTTATAGTCATGCAGATACTGGTTCAAACAAACAAACACACTGCACCAAATTTTCTCTAGAAGAAATGCACTAAAAATGTTTTGTTACTCATGCACCCATAACGCACCAAACACATCCACACACCAGAAAACCAACGCACCTGATCTTCTCCCGACTGGTAGGTGCCCGATGTACAGTTCAGGCAAGTTAGAATATCGCTTTGCTCACTACCACTGCAACTTCTGCAAAACTGAGCAAACACAATGCACAAACATCCAACATTCAGTAAAAATGACAGAAGGGATAGTGAAGTCTCAACATGGCCTTGTTGTAGTTGTAAGTCTAACACAACAGCCTATTCCACAATTTGGCTCACGCTCACCGAATGGTACTAAAAGAGTCCCTGAATTTTTGAACATTTCAATAATACAATGACTTTTCCCTTGTCCATTCCCTCAACCTAGGAATACTTCAATAGTAGCCAAAGTTTTGCACAGTATTCAGTATTGGATATACAGCACGGATCTGAAAACAACAGTTACACTAAATTGCATGGGCTACTGTAACAGTACTGTTCAGCAGATCTCTAAACTTCCTTTCTGGTTCTTTCCCAACTGTGACCTACCCAGTTGCCAGCGTAAGGTGTTCCGGCGTCGGCCGGTTCTCTGTACAGATATCGCTTATCGCAGACATTGCTGTTGTCACCGGTTGGATTGATGGCAGTTGTGTGATCCAGGCACTGGCCCTGCAAAGACATGATATACAGTCAACACAAATCAGGGGCCATGGAGGGGGGGGGGGGAGGGTCCAAAGAACCCACCATTTTCTAAATGTACAACTGAAAACATTTACAACCATACATCCTCACCACACTCTCCGAGTGGTCCCTGGGCTACACAAAGCACGGAGAAAGAATAAAATTTTCGGGCAAGACCGCCTGGAGGGCGTTGTGAGCATGTAAGGTTATACATATGATGGACTGCAAGAGAGGTGGAAAAAGGAGGACAAAATGTTACGAGTTTTGACAATTTAATTTTCTCACCATCCGAGTTAATAGCGAATATCGAGAAAATGTTACAGCCATGATTTTCCTGTGCTTCACCATGAGTATATGCTAGTGTACTGGCTAAGGAGTGCAGGAGAGCATGGCTAAGGAGTGCAGGAGAGCATGGCTAAGGAGTGCAGGAGAGCATGGCTAAGGAGTGCAGGAGAGCATGGCTAAGGAGTGCAGGAGAGCATGGCTAAGGAGTGCAGGAGAGCATGGCTAAGGAGTGCAGGAGAGCATGGCTAAGGAGTGCAGGAGAGCATGGCTAAGGAGTGCAGGAGAGCATGGCTAAGGAGTGCAGGAGAGCATGGCTAAGGAGTGCAGGAGAGCATGGCCAAGGAGTGCAGGAGAGCATGGCCAAGGAGTGCAGGAGAGCATGGCCAAGGAGTGCAGGAGAGCATGGCCAAGGAGTGCAGGAGAGCATGGCCAAGGAGTGCAGGAGAGCATGGCCAAGGAGTGCAGGAGAGCATGGCCAAGGAGTGCAGGAGAGCATGGCTAAGGAGTGCAGGAGAGCATGGCTAAGGAGTGCAGGAGAGCATGGCTAAGGAGTGCAGGAGAGCATGGCTAAGGAGTGCAGGAGAGCATGGCTAAGGAGTGCAGGAGAGCATGGCTAAGGAGTGCAGGAGAGCATGGCTAAGGAGTGCAGGAGAGCATGGCTAAGGAGTGCAGGAGAGCATGGCTAAGGAGTGCAGGAGAGCATGGCTAAGGAGTGCAGGAGAGCATGGCCAAGGAGTGCAGGAGAGCATGGCTAAGGAGTGCAGGAGTGCATGGCTAAAGAGTGCAGGAGAGCATGGCTAAGGAGTGCAGGAGAGCATGGCTAAGGAGTGCAGGAGAGCATGGCTAAGGAGTGCAGGAGAGCATGGCTAAGGAGTGCAGGAGAGCATGGCTAAGGAGTGCAGGAGAGCATGGCTAAGGAGTGCAGGAGAGCATGGCTAAGGAGTGCAGGAGAGCATGGCTATAGTACAGAGGTTAAAGTGCACGTTATTTCTGACGTGACTCGAAAGTTCAACTCGCGTTATTTGGCTCGCGCGTCGAAAAACAACGCGAGTGACCTGCAGCTCACGTTGAAATTTGGAGTTTTACGCCAAATTTGACGTGAAATTACGGGTCGCGTCGGAAATAACGTGCATCTTAACCTTTCTAAAATGTGCAGGAACTTGCCCTAGCGAATACCTCTCATCAAAGGACACCAGTCCACATTCAGTACACATTTCTCCAGTACGTCCCAATAGCTCCTATCAAACCGTGGTAAAACTCGTAGTGTGGTTTGGGTAAGCCCCAATACAGGACAGCTAAGTCCTAAGGTTGCTTTTTGATGATGAAGATTCCACCTTACTTCCCTCCTTTGCACGATATACGCCTCCGGATATGTTTCATTATAGTCAAGAAGGCATATTATGAATTCATAAACGTACCTCGGCAACGCCGTTCTCATCCATTTCGCCCAGGTAGCACTGGTTGCATCCGCCAGTGCCGAGTGATGTTGATCCTCCAGTGCAACCACCCTTACACACTGGACTGCAGCTTGTACAGGTGCCACTGCTGTCTGGAAACTTAGCACCGGGACACACACCCACACAGTACGGCCCATCTTTGTAGTTCTTGCAAGCTGAACATTCTTCAGATCCCTGGATATGATCACAGGGGAGAAGAAAGGAACCAAGTTATTCATTAAATCTCTATGTCTCGCTCACTCAACAACGATCACAGCTCACAGGCAAAGACGAAAAATTGCATACTGGGAGCATAGTGATGGTGAGGCTTTTTGCCATCAGCCGACCTGAGGTCTCGGCGTCACGGGGACATAAACGCATCAGAAAAAAGAAGAAGTCTACTCTCTTTTCAACCCTGAAATACATACATGTAGGAAGTTGATGAAGAGAATCAGATTCGTGAATTCAAGCTTTTTTGTCCACAGTTGCGTTTATTGTACACTATCCGCCGCACATAATTTTAAATGCATTCCACAGCAGAGGCATGTTATCATGATTCAAGTGCTGGTGGCTGAGGCAGTCCAGATATCAATATTTCAGAAACGTTACAGAGATAGGGAGCGGAGAAGGGACAGTCGGGCATAAGGAATGAGTAACTGTCCACAACTGTACCTCGATTATGTACAGTCAGAAATCGTGCCACCCAGGCGCCAAACTGGCCGCAATCTCCTCTCTATATCTCATAATGGCTCAGTACAAGAATCCAAAAGTCAACTAAATGATACAGACAGTTGTGGATTCGCAAGAGGTACACAAAAGGAAGTAAAATAGGGCTGTTTTATTGTTACTCAGAGTTTCATGGCAAAAACCAATCATCGGACAACAGAAGGAAAATAGAAAAAAAGCGCAGATATATGAAGGCAAGCAGAGGAGATATAATAGTCCAGTGCAGACAATATGATGATCAACACCTCCCAGAGACAGTACGCTCTGACGGGCCAGCATCAACATCTCAAGGTGCTGGGTGCATATGGTGAAACATGAACACGCACACTCATCCACACACACAGTTGTGAATATGCACTTACTGGTCCAGTGCAGCCCTGGGCACATTCTTCATGACATGACAAGCACTCTCCGTCAGCTCCATCATATGTCAAACTGAAAAGGAAGGAAGAACAATATTATTGGTCAAAATGGAATTTTCCAGGTGATTTAGTACACAGAATGTGTTTTAGATTTCATACAATGGTTGTATTATGTATCTTTGATGACGACCACCCTGTATACACATTAGATGACTGGTACATAAAGGGTAAAGTGTGAATGCATGACACCTATGCTTCAATGCAGCTCATTTATACTTAAATACAGCTCTCCGTGGAAGGAGCACTCGTGAGGCATTCGTTTTCAGTTTTTCACCATGCGATGCACCTTGGATGCGGTAGAAACGTTAAAAGCATGATTTAAACTCTGGTTTCCATACCTTGGACAGGAGGCTTGATCAATGCACTTGTTTCCCACTTTCTTGTGTAGACAGCGGATACATTGTGTGGGACCGGAACCCCAGCAGCCAGCCACTGGGTCACACACTGGATCACATAAGTGACCTTCAATTTCTGAGCAGGCCAAAAAACATGCAACACACCAATCAGCTGGACACTGATTCGACAGGTACTGGTGAAACATCAATGCTTTCGAGAATGAATGTGAACACTCCAGTGCAGAGGTGTTTATGGCAAAATAACATGGCGGCAAAGAAACAAATTTCTTTGTTTCGTAACTACATGTATGTCAACGTACCCAATGCTATGATAACTCTGATAACGTAGATACTGAAGACCTCCACCCAGAGACTATGATGCCATAAACGTACGGAATATGTGCCGCTCCATTTTCAGCAATAGAGCAATCAAGAAAAAAATGACCAGAGGAACTGCCTTCGAGCAGAATTTATTACAAGGAAAAATTGATCGTAGAGAGTATCTTAGATTGAGCTCTTACCACAAACAGTCACATTCTTGTTCCAGCGTACAATCCAACTTTTTTTAACCTCCGACTTTAGCAGAAAAGTGCTGTTGATCGTCGACGCATAGCATATGTCACTGTTGCTTTGTATTACCACGCTTCCACCGATATGCGTCAGGGATCTGAGATTGAGAGAGAGCAGGGGAGTGTTGGCGAGATACACTGCATAAATCGAACCATACAGGGCAGTTCCTCGAATAGCTTCTAGCTTGTCCAGGAAGTCCAGAGTTGTGTAGTTCACGCTGCCTCTACCACCTGGTGACATGAAAATATATTGATCGATAGTCTTCACATCCTTCAAGACCTGCAGTTGTTCTGGTTCTTTGATTGTAAACCTGGCAACGCAAGGAAAGTTAACACAAAGAAGACTTGCATTTTGATGCAACCTTCCTTACTCAAATTACACATTTGGAGACAGGAAATTGCGCACAGCCACGGGGTGCTAAAATGATACTGGCTCTCTCTCTCTCTCTCATTCTCTCTCTCTCTCTCTCTCTCTCTCTCTCTCTCTCTCTCTCTCTCTCTCTCTCTCTCTCTCTCTCTCTCTCTCTCTCTCTCTCTCTCTCTCTCTCTCTCTCTTACTCTTACTCTTACTCTCACTCTCACTCTTACCCACATACACACACACTCTCTCTCTCACCCACACGCACACACTCTCCCTCTCTTTCTCTCTTCTTGGGTCCATTGGTACATAATAGTATAGTGCGGATCGGCTATAGGGTTGTCGGCTATACAGTCAGACCTCGCTGAACCGCACACATCTGTTTTCCACAAAAATATCCGGATAGGCGAGGGAACCGGATAACTGAACACACATACTTTATATGCATGTGGCATGTCAAAAGCAGTGGCATCGTACATACTTGTAGACAGGTCTGTAGACAGGTCCTATGCAGTACGACTAGCGTGCCCAGTATGTAAAACAAGCGAGAAAAATGGCAAGTGCATGCAACTGAGTGCTATCCGCATGCATCCAGCAGGTCAAGGACCTCATTTGCTTGTACAACTCCCTGATACTAGCTTCTGCAAGCCACATGCAACCGGATACAACGAAGCTTTTTGTGCACATTTTAACCAGTTTGTACACAAAATCATGCACCGGTATGCGGATCGCGAGGTCCGGTTATGTTGTATGCATAACATATGCTGCACATCGGTAACCAGCGATTTTCGTGCGGATGGCAAGGGATCCGGATAAACGAGGACCGGATAAGCGAGGTCTGACTGTAGTACCATACCTCTTATAGTGATCGTATTCTCAAATTCATTTTCGTAAACCACCCCTTTCTATACATATCGGATCGGCTATAGTAATAATCGGCTATAGTAATATATCGGCTATAATGATACGATTTCTTTGTCAAAATGATTTTATTGCATACATTTTTCATCGGCTATAGTGATGATCATAACAAATTATACATCGTACATGGCGAGATCTGATCGCGGCAGTTAGGAAGCGCTGGTACGACTATGATATCCCTCGGAGGAAATAATTCGAACTGTTTGGCGCTGGCTGTGCTTGTTGTTCCGGGGCATCATCGAGCGAGAGCAGAGGCAGCAATAAGTACCAGCGCTGAAGCGCTACCGTGGTCTCCGCTGAGATGTTGGAGAAGGCATTTAGGTAACAGCGAAGACGATCAGGGACGTGGAGAAGCCTCTCCATGAAATACGACATCACGCGTCGATCGACCTGGCACTTGGAACGGTTTCAGCGGTGATGAGTCGAGCGATGGCGACCCAGACTGAGACTCTACTCCCACTAATCGATCCTGTAGATATTGTTGATATGTCGATCGAATGTGTTTAAGTGTTTCTCTTCCAAAAGAACACAGTTGTTGAGCACAGCAACTCCTTGAAAACTCATGTCAAAAGTCACGAAGTTTTTGTTTCCGCAGAAAGTAGCTCTGCACTGCGCGTACTGCACAGTCACATGCACAGCACGCTTCTGCATGCTGCACTAATTCGAATGACACCATACACGCATGTGTCAGGCATACCTAAGTATGCATATCGCCTGTAGTAATATATTGCCTATAGTGATATTTTATTATTACAGCGTGCGACAGAGCTCTCGGCCATTGAAGAAAATGTTGAGTCACCTCCACCATTACACTGCGCTCTTTAGCCGACTAGACCCTCCTGCACACAACCATCACCATTGGCAGTTTTGTATGTGGAACCCCCCCTATATAATAGCAGTTTGGTCTATATTTTTTAACATCTACCTTCACTGATGAGCTATGTATTAGCGAAACAGCTGTCTGAAGGAGTTTATCAATATCGTCTACGGAAGTGTCCTCGCAATGGTGATGGTTGTGTGCAGGAGGGTCTAGTCGGCTTAAGAGCGCAGTGTAATGGTGGAGGTGACTCAACATAGTGATATTTTCACGAAAATAAAACATCAACGCTATAGCCGATCCGTACTGTATTCAGCTGGTTGTGCTGGCTGTTCTCTCAATGATATGTTCATAATACACTCGGAAGAGACCGTCGAGAACTGCTCTACTTTCAGAACTCGTCCGTGTGTTCGGTGTCTGATATATTTTTTTACATTCGCTGGGCACACTCGGACTTAAAGTTGAGGACTTACCATGAAACTGCTGAGAACTTCAGGTATCCCTTGATATGCGTGCAGTCGCGAAACCTCTCAAGTGTTGCATTGGTTTCGAAATCGACAACCTGCCCAAATGCATTCTTTGGCAGTGAACCAGACCCATTGCAAGCTGCGCACGAAGAAAACAGCAGATTTTTGACTGGCAACCAGCAAATCTTGTTTTAAGAGCTTCACAACCTTTAGATTATCCAACATGTCCAAACTGCATGCAAAAATACAGATGCCAAACTGCATGCAAAAATACAGATGCCAAACTGCATGCAAAAATACAGATGCCAAACTGCATGCAAAAATACAGATGCAACGAAGTACGAGTAAAAGTATACAACGAAGTTTGAGTGAAATATAATTGCTCTGTGTGCAATCGAAAGTTTACAGACCATTGAGTTTGTGGAGCCGGCTATGCTTTCACTATAATACGGTGTCCGGCTTTTGCATTGTTAGTGATTGGTTTAGCCAAGAAGGACTCTTCATTCATAGCCCGCTCGGCTGCAGGCATGGCACTCTAGCGTCGAAGACTTGCGCTGCCGCTGGTTTCGAAGGGGTTCTCAATCCCGATCTCTTGCAGCGGTGTAATACAAGCCATTCTTTGTGCAGTTCAGCTAGGCATTTGTCTCGCTGTTGTTTCATGTGTATGTTGGCGATACGGTGCAGCTTTAGCACAATCCGGTCTTCAATTATTCTTAGGCATTGACACTCATATAATAAGAAAAGTGAATTTCTACCCCCGTGTTTCGTGAGCTGTTGCAACTTCTGGCTAGGTGTCAGTATTTTAACACTTGGAGACTCTTAGGTCTGACCTAAACGATAATCTTGGCCAGTGGGACACCAGGTATTCACTTACTCTTTGGGCATATACCATCACAGGTGAGGCAGTCACTGCCATTGACAATCTTGCCACTGCCACAGGACTGGACACAGCGATGACCATCAGTGAAGCGGTTATCTGAAGTCAGGCAAGAGAAGATAGACTCTGAGCACAGGAATCTCTGTAGTACCAGCTGCAGCAGCAGAAGTAACATCAGCTGCTATAGGTCGCAGTGGTGGATCCGGGGGGGGGGGGCCTGCCCCTCCTTTGAAAATTTCGACCTTGGTCTAGGATTACAGTAGACTGTAGTCTGTAGAATGAGCGCTCGAAATGACTTGGCGTGTCAAGTGGGTCACGCGTGCTGGGTATTTATCCGTCCGGTGCCACTCACTAGTCAGCGCGCTGTGTACAACTACTGTACGCACTGTGGCCTGAGGACACGGCCGCACTTCAAACATGTGAAAAACGTGCCAAAAATGCAGGGCCTGGTACAAAGTGCAGCTAGCGCAGTGCAGCGATCGCGTTGGGCTGAAGTCCTGTACGGTTCACGGTGCTGTCGGCTTCGTCCTTCCTTTTTCTTTTTCACTTGTCAGAAACTAAACGCTCTCTCTCTACTTCGCTTGTAGCCAACGGGTTACCTTCAGATATGCGATAAAGAGGAAAGGGTCTGACATCAGGTCGTTCTTCAGTGAACCGGTAGATAAGAGAGCTCGCGTTGAAGAGCCGTCCAAAGGTCCGTCGCAGCCGCTGCCGAGTGGAAATGTTCCTGCACTTGCGACATTACCCGAACCTGCTCCTGAATGTGAAGTGCATTTCAAGTCATTCCTCCAGTGACAGGTCTCTGCCTGGATCTCCGGTTTCGCACGCCAAGCCCACTGAGAGCAGCACTGTTCCAGCGATGGAATATTATATGTATATTTGTGGTAACTTTGTAACATACCTGCATACCTGCTAGTAGTAGAGTAGTGTCGCCCTAATGCCTGAGTTACAGCACAGCTTGACAACACTTCCAGTCCAGTTTGAAAATGTCGTGAGAATGGAATACAGCAGCTCTTCACAACTTCAGGACTTTGTCGTTGTTGTTTTGTTTGGGGGGGGGGGGGTACCTTGGGCCCCCTCTTCGGCCAAATCCTGGATCCGCCACTGAGGTCATGGGCCCTAAATGTGTCACAGTCCACAAGGTTTCTGAACTCAGACATTGCAGTGTGTGGGTGGGTGGGTGGGGGGGGGGGGCATACCGTAAAGTCGCGGATAAAAGCCGGGCTTATAAGCACATAAGCCGCTTTCTACATCAGGCTTCAATGCAAACCAGGCTTGTATGCAAACCATGCTTATATGCACCACTGATATTTTTGCTAGGCTTGTATGCACATCGGCCGATCCGGGCTTGCATAGAAGCCAGGCTTCTACGCGCGACACGCGTAGGTCTACCACTGACTACCGGTATGGCGGCAGTTTTACTATGCACTGCACATAGTGCATGCACTATTGACCTACCCGATCCGCGCTTGCATAGAAGCCAGGCTTCTACGCGCGACAGGCTTATAATGCATTTGACCCGTTTGATTTTCAGGCTTCTATCCGCGATGTGCTTGTATGCAAACCCGGCTTTTATCCGCGACTTTACGATAATCCAATAATAGCATCTAGCCCATTGGAACATTTGGCTCAATAAATCTGGAAGAGATATTCGAAACACAGCTTGCTTTGAGGCTGGGCTAGCAAACTATTGGTTTTATGGGGTGGAGACCGGGAGAGGGAAGAAAACAATTTCATCTGACTCACCTCAATGTATTCATATACTTAAGATCACATTCGCGGGCATTAACACCTGTGGAACAGTTTCTGAAAACGTTTGTAATGAGGAGTCTGAAGCTTGTTCTTTTCTTGACTGCTTTTTTTTTGTCTCCAAGAAAACCTCTCAGCAAGATAGCGTGAGAGAGCGTTCGGCCATGAAACGTTATCACTTCACTACATCCTCCACTCGTCACCACCTGGTGTCCTTGGTGCCGGTGCTGGTGTGTTTACGCTGCATGCATTGGTTCGGGTAAGAGTGCATTCTGGTGGTGACGGGTGGAGGATCACGGTTGGAAAAGAAAACCTCTCAAATACCGTAAAGTCGTGTATAAAAGCCGTGCCTTTTGTGACTTTCTAGGGGAAATTTTGCAGGCTTCTATAATTATGAGACAGGCTTCTATACAAGGCAGGATTTCTATGTATGTCAACACTACAACCAGGTTTATGTGCCGACAGTGTATCTTGAAAATCAGGCTTCCATTCAAAACAGGCTTGTACATGAGATAGGCTTTAATACAAGACACTACGGTGAGTATTACAATTGGAAATGATCATCCACGATGGCTTACCTGGACAGCTGGGCACACACACTGTGCCGTCCAGTACATACTTAACATTGGGATTCGGAGCCTGCCTATACGTGGCTGGGTCGTAGACAGTCAGCGGTGGACATGCGGATACGCACGTCCCGTTGTTGGCGTAGTGCCTGCACGCCTACGCACCAGGAAAGCAGCACAACACCAAGGCACGGCCAACTGTGAAGATACTACCCAATGAAAGCAAAGCAATGCCATGCTATGGAATTCCCAGGCTGTAAGTCGCCAGGATACACTCAATGACAAAATGGGCACAGGGACAGCTATATTGTCCTGGAACAGCAGCGAGGAGAGGGACTGTTTTGTTTTTATCTATTTTTGTTCCTATGACTCAACAGTACAATGTACAACTTCAAAAAGGGTCGAACAGGAAAGTAACTGAGGATCATCATAACATAGAGTGAGAGAGATGAATAGGTGGAGCATCCCGTTATAGGGGTATACTTACTACACACTCAGTGTCTTTGTTACCGGTGCATCCCGATGCACATTCGTCATGGCAACACTCCGCAGTGCTGTTTCCAAAGCAACGGTGGCCACAGTGCGGACTGCAACTGGTGCGCGAGGCTGAACAAGCAAAACACAGCACACACATGTACCGTGAGTGTGGGTATTGCTGAGCAATGGCAAGTTATAGGGCTATCTCACGCAGACAATGCTCTGTCAACAATAGAGCACAAGTGAAATCCATTGATTTCATAGAAATACAGTCCAGCTTTTCCATGCAGAAGTTATTCTGTATTCAGAATATACTTACGAATGAAACAGCTAGTGGCCTTGTTGTCCCAGCAGCCATTTTGGCATTGGTCTGAACAATTATGTGATTTCGAACCTGTAGACGAGGAGAAAATGTAATAGGAACAGCTTGAAAATCCACTCAAACAATAGTTCACTGATTAGTTCACACTATACAGGCAATCACTATAGAATATGCTGATATGTCAAACTTACATCTAGCCACTCTTGTGCTGCTATCAATTTGAGACGAGCTGTACTGAGCCTTGGTGTTGAGCAAATCCCTCCAGTCGATCGTATCCACGTAACACAGCGAAGGCAGACTAGCAGCGTTGAAGTTGACCGCGCCAGCCGAGATCTCCTTCAGCGACAGTGCCTCAATGGTGACCAGATTGTTGGCTGTACCAATGTGAAACGCCCACTGTCCCTGGTAGAGCTCTCGTCCCCGTATGAGCTTGAGGCCTTGAAGTGGCAGAATTGGTCTTTTGTAGTCGAACACCCAAACAAACCCGTGTACCTAGGCACAGTCGACACATAAGATCGAGACGTTCACAGTACGCATCTTGAACCCCGGTACTTTCATACGGATATCACTTCGTCCATCTCCACTCATTCTTCATCCGTAAAGTCAAGCTTTATTGTTCTCTACCTCTAAGACGAGTGCTTCCTCCTACGCAATTCAATACATTGAAAAAAATGGGTCTATGTCTATACTCTGGCCTGTTCTAAACACAATGAAACTATGGCTCACCTCTTCGATGGTGTTCAAGAACGAGTAATCCATGTCGTCGTACTCCACATTCTCAATGATGAGATTATTCAGCACCACCTGGCAGCCCGAATACCTATTCTTCAGCACAGTGTGCTGGGGAAGAGAGGTTTTGAACTGAGAGTCGGCTATCGTAGCTCCAGTGCATGTTGTTCTTTGGTCCAGGCTGGCATCGCAAACACCTGCAAGTGCTGTTCAGATGGCAAGAAACACAAGCGGCCCACAAGAGTCCTTATCATACAGGCCAGCCGGAACCGGTCCGGTTGGTCAGGTTAACACCGGACCAACGTTGTGGCTACAAACGCATGTTTACTGCCGATGAGGGTATGTGTCCCCGCAATGTTATACACAAACTGTATGAAAGACTATGGTACGGCCGGACCAATTGAAAACTGCTTCCTGCCATAGTACGTGCTCGTGTATTCTCTAGTCTAGGATAGACAACAGAATTATTCTGTTCGGGAGTTCTGTGACTAACATGTTCTGTTCAGGTATTCTGTTGTCCAGGATAGACTTTGTTCTGATCCACAGAAGGCTAGGTAACAACTGATCCCTCATGTGAAGGCGACAACTAACATGCTTCTAAGGACACACAATTCGACAAAATGCTGGAGGACGGAATTCAGCAGTTGCCAATGACAGGCGGAATCAGTCGCAGCTCCGGGTAACTCGAGCACACTGCGGTCCAGTCCTGGTGTACCACAGCCTACACGAAAAACTGCTGCGCTCTAGCCGAAGACGATACGATTCCGCCCAGCCATTGCCATTGGCCACAACTGTAACACAAAAATGTCGTCACTCACCTAGCAGAAGAATGAATCCTGGAAAGAGAAATTCTTTTCGACGAGAAAGTGTTCCCGCAGACCCGGTACTGTTCCTCCGCAGTGGCATAGTTGTCGCACGCTCAATGAAAATATCCGGCCAAGGTCAACGCACCCAGACTTGAAATGGCTAGCAGTTTCTGTAAGCAACCTCGCTCCCCAAACAAGTCATCAGCCAAGGAATGGAAAGATACCGCTGGGTTTCGAAGAGCACAAGCTGCAAGACGAGGAATTTCTCGTCTCTTGAAAGCTTCGTCGTTTCCCTTTCGTGTGCTGCTTTCAAACGACTTACGGCAGCGTGAGTTCAAGAGAAAGATGAGGACCGTTCCAAAATAGTCTACCGGATAGAATGGGTCGAGCCGCTGCAACAGGCAACAGACAGCTCATTCGACTAACTTTTTTCCTCTTGACAGCTATGTTATAACGTTAGGCGATGAATAGGAACGAAAAATTATGATCTCCGCGAACGTTTGTGAGTAGATCTACTACTACTAGTAATATTCTAGTAGTACTAGACTACTACTAGTAATATTCTAGTAGTACTAGTAGGTCTACTGATGACAGTAATGTGCGTTTGGCCGAGGTGTGAGATGTCATATCGGACGCGTATGATGCACGCCTGGCATTGCATGGCACAAGAGGACATCCTGGTATTCGCGCTGCATGGATAAATATGGACTCGCCAGACTTGGTGGTTTTTACCCAAGGCATCACTGCCATCAGATGTCCATGCATGCGCGCAAGCCTTGGGCATGGCATATTTCCTTGGAGCTGGATGGAAAGAGTCAGTGGACAATGAGACAGCACCAGTCATCATAGACATGTTGGGCGAAATCGTGCCTAGGAAAATGAATGACATGACAAAGCATGAAATCAGGCCAAACACTGAATTTCAACACACATTTATGTTGCTATAAGCAGATGCACAGGTGAAAAACTCACAGACTGCTGTCAATCTCAACATGAATGAACATGCAGCAAGAATACAAATGTGTCTTCTCTTCGCAGCATCCCAGGCATAGCCACACAAACACATGGCTTTAGCTGCTTGATATTCCACAAGTGTGCATTGAATTTTGCTGCATTGGCATTGGACAATACATTGATGATAAAGGGAAAGTGGAGGAAACTCTCCAAAAAGCAAGTCCACTCGTGACTAGAAGCGCATGATGGAAGGAAGCGCAGGAATAGAAGGAGCGCACCAAAGCTGGGCGCACTAGAATTGCGACAGAGACTGTTTTTGACATGAACTAGGGTAATAATAATTCTCGCCGCATACTTCACGAGCTGATAGGACTGTACATGTTGCCCAGCAGCATGAACTGTCTTAGAAATTAATGTTATCGTTCTTTTTTCAGAATGGATTGCTATTGTAAACTCCAGCAGTTCATGCTCTCCACACTGGCACCGTACACAAGGTATCCATTACGCATAGCCTGGCTTCAGGTATCCATTATGCATAACCTGGCTTCAGGTATCCATTATGCATAACCTGGCTTCAGGTATCCATTATGCAAAACCTGGCTTCAGGTATCCATTATGCATAACCTGGCTTCAGGTATCCATTATGCATAACCTGGCTTCAGGTATCCATTATGCATAACCTGGCTTCAGGTATCCATTATGCATAACCTGGCTTCAAGTATCCATTATGCATAACATGCTTCAGGTATCCATTATGCATAACATGGCTTCTGGCTCTCTGGTCGTGTAATCCAAACCTCTACACAGTCATTCTATGTCGAAGCATTGTGGTCCCCAGATTGGGGGGGGGGGGCTATGATTTTAATCACTCAACTGAACTGCCATGATACCGTTGCGGGCATTTCTCAGATACAAATTTCATTAGATTGGCTGATAGTTGGGGAGACGAAGACATTCAAAAGTTATGTTACAGCACAATTTGTATCGTCAAGCTGTCCCACCCGGAATCTGACCAAACAAATATGCGCAGAAATGCACACGTACCCATGGAGAAAAATCAGTTAGTGCTCCGTCACACTTGCTGCACGGATTGGCAGACTCACTGTCCTTTTCAACGTCTCCACGCGGCAAAGGTTTTCGAGGCAATCGTTCCCTCGAAAACCTGCTTGAGATACCTATGGACCTGTTCACTTGTCATAACGTCATCGTATGCCCAGAGCCTTTGACAAGCCAAGTCGAGGACGACAATATACGGATATGCTGTAGCACGCCTCATGCCTATCACTTTCTGCAGGCGGTTGCGGATTTCCACATTCGTTCCGCTGTGAGCACACGCAGAAATAGACACATAAGTAGTGTTATCTCAGAGGCTGGTTGCTATTACGCACAAGCATACTGGGAATGCACGCTAGTCAGGACAAAACAGGCAGAATACTTTCGTGCAAAAAGTGATGCTCCAGTTAAGAACAATAGACAAAAAAGCAGTACTTTATTCATGTATTACCCGTACATCAAGACGGTATGAGGTAATGTAATTTTCAACCATGCGTTAAAAGGTATCAAGTTTGTCACATTCAAGTGATCAGAGTTTCGATCAGGGCCTATTGAGGTAGCTTTAAAAAAAGAGATCTGTTTGTCTTGGAGGAAAATAGATTTGATCCTCAACCCACCGCCATCACATAATGTTGACAAGTTGTCACAACATTGGGCCAAACTTGAAAATAGCCTCACACTTCGGGTTATAGCAGATCTGTGGATATTTACCTCTTGCGGGCTATTTATAGTAAGCATTTGAATCAAGATAAAAGGAAATACAGTCATCACCCTTATTGTATATGCTACAGCATATGTATATGGGTCACCTAATAGGGATTGAAAGTGCTACGTCACAGCCATTCCGGAGTCATGAAAACGCTGATTTTCAATCCCCTTCGATGCAGTTTTTGTATGGATCCAAACACGTTTGGGTGGTTTTCCTTCACAGCGTAACTTAATACCACATCCACCGAAAGTGATTTGATTGGGCTCTCCTGGTCAGGGACTCACTCTTAGTACAGACAAATCACACCTCTGTGCGACACGAGGAGCCAACCTCCGCATCCTGTGCTTCGCTATGGGCAGATTGGATATGGGCAGGTTGAAGTCGATATACATGTACGAGCGTTAGCATGCCAAAGCAAGTTAGCCCCCAGCCCAGCGAGCTGGCCAAATTTGCACGCATGCGCGAGTCACGCAGGCACTTCAAGATCCCGTTCATTGTCTCTTGCATGGTCATTGCAGTTTTGAGTTTCGAGCTTGCAACTTGCAGAACATTTGTTCCCACGCTCTCACTCTCTACCTCAGCTCATGTTTCTGGTACATACGTGTATTCTTATACTTCCTGAGAATGTATGCTGTGAACTGGTTTCATTGTTTGTTGGCCTGTGGAAACAGGCTAGTGTGACTGTTCGACCTTTCCGAAATAGTCGGGGTGCGCGAGAAAGAGAGTTTTCCCTTGGTCCACAGTCGGTACTCGTAGGTTCAACTGTGCTGGTCGAAGTAGAACTGTTAGCGTTTCATTGAGACTCCGAGCCACCCTTCTCGGCACTGGAACAAGTGCTAGCTGTAAGTAATGAGACCGAATGATACCGGATGGGTTCCCGAGATGCGCGGAATTTTACCGAATTGGATTTTGACTTGAGATGTCATTGCTCGCAAGCCCTATGGTTAGGTGTTGAACTAATGCAGTGGACATTGATCTGAGAACATACGTGTACAGAAACTGGACATCCCAATCCTCATCCAACAGCACGTCTCCCATGAATATCAGCTCTGCTGTCTCAGATAACAACTTCATTGCGATTGCTCTTTGTTGCGAACTTCCGTCTGGAAAAGGAAGAAAAAAACGTGAAAACAATAACCCTGGTCTGCTCATACAGTCAATGGCAGATTTTAATCCTTTGAGACTGACTTCACTCTCCCAATTGGCGGAGGAGTTCTGACCGGGACGTCGCCAGGACTGTGATGGAGGAGGAGGGCACAATTTTCCAGCATACAGGGTATATTATGTTACTATCTGCAAAGATCGTTAGTGTTTCCATTGAACCATGATAATTATGTACGCTGAAGAAAAACCAAAAGAAGCTAAAGCAGCCACTACAGTTGACAATGAAGATCAACTATGGATGGCAAGCCTCCAATTACCAAATCCATAATGACATGCACGCATTTACGAAGCATACAGCACAGCACACAATACCAGTGAAGCAGATGACACATTGCTTAGTGTTGATGGCCTGTTCATAGCGCTCTGTCAGCTCCATAACGGGCTCTTCTTGCCATGGAAAATCCTAAGGATGGGAAAGAACATTGTCGTTTTGAGGGAGGTTTCAGCAGCAAGAAGAAGAAGGCACTCAACTATCTTGAACTATCTTGATAGTCGCACCAACCTCTTCTTCACATTATCTTGATAATCATCTAGTATATAAAGTGAATGCTTTGCTCCGGTTTCTTGCTGCAGAACTGCAGGGTTCCACTCCTGACTGGTCTTGTGAAGAAGGAAAAAAATGCCATCGGGAAGGCGGATCAGACAGCCGCTGCATGCATGGTGCCAGGAATAGTACATCAATAAATCAAAAGCAATTCTCCTTCTCCTTTTGTCGCACTCGCTAACTGTATAATATCTGGTTGCGTTGGTGGACAGTTAGTCATAGCTCGTAACATTTTGTACTTCGCCTTTTTCACTAAAATTCTCCTTCTACTATCAATGTGACTTGAATGCTTACATCTGCGAGTGGATCGTGGTTGATGCATGACACACCCTCTGTTGTTATTATCCTCAAATCTAAACCCAGGACAACTAAACGTGGAATGCCTGAAGAGAAAAAAGGAGAGAGAGAGAGAGAGAGAAAGAGAGAGGGAAAGAGATAGGGAAAGAGAGAGGGAAAGAGAGAGGGAGAGGCAGATAAACAGATGCGCAGACACACAGACATCTGTAGCACCCATTCAGCAAGAGAGCTAAATTTGGAAAAAATCAATGATCAAATGCTACTTCAAAGTTGACGGAATAAAAAATAGCACACAAAAAACATGTGTCACTAGCAAGTCAAATGTGACCTTTTGCACCATTAAAAATAAAATTGGTCACGTTGCCACTGGTTTGACCACTTTTTTGCTCATGTTTGTATCACCAAAGTTCCGGATTTAAAGAGTAACGGTGTGAAAGGACTCATCGGACTTGTTAGACGTGTCAGTGGCCTGTGTACTTCGTGCGCTAGTTCACTCAGAAAGTATTTTCTGTTGCGGTTCTTCCAACTTAGAAAGATATAGGTGGCCCTCGATCAATTCTGACACTGTTTAGAATAGGTGGGCGTGTTTCACCTACTGACCTCACTGTGCATACTAGCAATGACAAACTTACATCGGATGTGATAATAGTTAGCAAAGAACTCCCTGCGATCGTCGTCGTGAGGAACCGCAAGCCACAAGCAGTTGTAGAAGTTATTCTGAAAGTCACCCGGATTCCGGTCGGCGTTGACGTAGACAATAGCAAATTTTTCGTTCCTCTCCTTCATGCGCTTCTCCGTCTTCTGTAGCAGCTTCTCAAAGTCTTGGCACAAATGGCTCTAGATCAGTTGAAAGTAAAAATCAGGGAACAAAGATAAGATACACATCAGATCATAAGTTCCTGTGTGCCATGCCCATAGGAACACAATCGGATGCTATAATGATCCCTGTAGAAACTACTTCAATGCTACTCAATGAAATCCGATCGCATGAGTCAAGTTTTCGCCCTGTGTCAGCAAGAGTACATACCCCCCCCCCCCCCCCAGAGTGTGCAACACCTGACCCAGCTCCGCATAGGGTCGTGGTCGAGCGAAATTGGATCTTCTGATGTCATGCGTACACTCCACACCAGCACAAGGCCGGTCTCGAGGCAGGGCACCGTTATTTTTGATCCGAGAGTCCCCGCGACTCCCCGGGTTCCCCTCAGATGTGTACGGTATTATGACGCAAAGATCCGATTACGCTCGACCAGGACCCTATGCAGAGCTGGATCAGGCGTGGCACACTCTGGGGGTTATGTAATCTTGGTTTCAGGTCACATGCCATTGTTCACAGCTCTAGGGCTGCACAGCGCCCAGCGTGGCCGCGACTATCTTGACCGTATTTTATCGAACAGCATTGTTGTAAGCAGTACGTCCAGTGGGTGTCTGGTAAAATTCACCCTATGGGAGGGAGGGAGGGAGGGCAGAACATAATGCAAAACATACAAGGCACTTCTTATCCAAACGCAATTTAATGTGGAAAAATATACAGATGCCTAGAAAATGTCCATAGAATGCAAGCATACATCTTGTACGGTCTTGCACTAACGTGTGTGCTTAGTACACTGTTGCAGCAAATGTGTTCTGAAGAAAAGTATAGTACTACCTTAGAAGATCCGAAGTAGAGCAGGATATGCTTGCCTAAGAGACACTCGCCGACAACCATGTCATACGTGACTTTCTCTTCGGGGTTCTCCGGTGGTATTACCGGCGCCTCAAGATAATGACCTTTGATGAACAGATCTCTGATGTCCGGGGGCCTCCAGGTGAGTCGCTTTGCGAGCGGATCGCTCTCCACCAGCTGTCTGCCATTCGGATAGACAACGTCACCATTGTATCCATCAATGAATACCAAGCTGGGTACGAGAGTCACACCGTATTTGCTGGCCATTCGCCGCTGAGCACCGGGGAGGACAGAAGTCAGAGAAGAGCCTTACTCAACACTCGTGATTGATACCGCAAGCTGCTTAGAGACTGCAGCACAGGCAGTGTAAACAAATCAGGTGAACGAAATCACCACTAATACATATGTAGGACTCAGTGACCAGTCAAGGCCCCATGACCAATCACGGTCCCCGTGACCAGTCAAACAGTCACAAACCCCCCATGACCAGTCACAAATTAGTTTACCAGTCACAATGCCCCATGACCAGTCACAAATCACCATACATGTACATGTGTAAAGTACACAGTTCGTGACTGCTTCGTACTGCAGGATTTGTTGTGGAAACTATAATTCCCTATGAGCGGTCACAGAATACAGCTGTGACCACTATAATTCCATGCGAACAGTTACATGCGGAATGTACAGTTGCGACCACTCTTTCTCTGTGAGTAGTCACAGGCAGAATATAGGTATTTCTGTATTACAAGAGAGATTGGAAGGTTTGTCACAAATCTGAGTTTCACGTATTACTACGATCGCTGGGATTGCACCACACACACACACACACACACACACACACACACACACACACACACACACACACACACACACACACACACACACACACACACACACACACACACACACACACACACACATCCACACACATTCTCTCTCTCTCTCTCTCTCACACACACACACACACACACACACATATTATAGTCCTACACATATACATCGCAACACCAACAATTCTTGTGGATCCAAAAAGGCTAGCTATAACACAGCTACAGAAGTGTATGCATAACAATGCATTCTGCGTGGACAGCTCTCCACATACCGAGTCGTGAAATTGACCTCTCCCAATATTAACCAGCAAGCATTGTGTTGAAAACTTTGAGGGCTGGCAGTACCATGGATTTGAATGGTCTCGTTTTGATTGGCGTGAAGTTCTCTAGTTGTCCCTTATTTGCAATCACACTTATACACTTATGGAATCGGAAATGGTGATATGTTTGCGCCAACGCTTGGCAGCAATACTCCTTGAGTGCAAATTGGCTGATTACACAGGCTGTTCAGTTGGTGAACATTTTTTGTCACTGGGCTCTTAGACTAAAAACAGTACTGTACCAGGAACTACATGTTCTGAGAATCATACATGCAGTCTCTGGAGAGGGTGATACGGCGCTGACAAGGTATCCAACTACAAGTGCACTGCTTACTTAGTGTCAACATCCCTGTCTACATGTATGTTTGACTGACAGGAACATCACAAATATGCCATCACTTCCGATTCCGGAAGATTGCACGCAATAATGGGATTGGAAGACGTACTGAATGCCAAGTCTTAAAGGGGAAGAATAGCCTTAAATCAAATTTTCACCAGTTGTAGTCTTCGGGGTGCTGAGTCGAATGGTCATGATTGATCTGAGGAAGCTGAGACGCTCCCTTCCTCCTTTATTCCCAATCGAATTAGCCACTTCTACCGAAACTGGGTGACTGCACTCTACTAGATGGAGATTTGTATGCAAAATGTCACGAAAAGTGCCATTTCGTTCCTATAAGCACGGATGACCGCGATTGACCCATATGTCGTAGTCGTTTGGACAATGAGTCGACAGGTTTTGGTCTGAGAAGGTTGCGATGCAGCGTTAGGCCCTTATTCCCAATCGAACATGGTTGAATAAGCAGTCACGTGCTTAGGCGTACACCAGTCACCTGGTCACCGTGTCTGCCACTTACAGCCTGTTTGGGCGCGTTTCTCACTCGAGTTGAACCTTGGTATGAAAGTTGTAACCTGCAGGGCACAGTGACCAGGTGACTGGCGTACGCATGAGCATGTGACCGCTTATTCGACCATGTTTGATTCGGAATAAGGGCCGAACGCTGCACCTCAGCCTTCTCGGACCAAAATCAGTTGATTCGGCATCCAAAAGACTACAACATATGGGCCAATCACGGTCATCCGTGCTTTTACAAGAACGAAACGGCGCTTTTAGTGACATTTTGCATAGAAATCCCCATTTAGTAGGGCGCAGTCACCCAGTTTCGGTGGAAGTGGCGAGTTCGATTGGGAATAAAGGAGGAAGGGAGCGTCTCCGCTTCCTCTGACCAAGATCATTCAACTCGGCACCCCGAAGACTGTACAATTATTTAAGTGTTGAAAATTAGATTTCAGGCTATACTTCCCCTTTAAATTTCCCTTCAACATCATGAGTAGAGGTCAAACAATCCTTACGGCAATAATTGGACCATGACCATTACCAAAGGGTATATGGTAGAACCCTCTTGGTACTTGCTTCGTGAAGCTTTGGTACTCCAGTCTTTTCGCATCAGGGCTGAACAGTATGACGGCCGTCTTTCCTTTATTCTTTGTTTTCGCTTTACTCCACCAATGCACCAAATTCCTGAGGAAATCCCGACTCGGCCCGCACCAGTAAGCGATGAAGAGTAGTCCTACAACCATGCCTGGCATTTCAAACCTGGAAACAGCGTACGTTGCCAGAGTATTGTCGCTCACAGTATCGCCTAGAGAGTTTGATAATGTTCCGTAGCCCCTGGGCCTGTCGACAGCTGCAGCAGCCGCTGGCTCGGGCTCTGGCTCGGGCTCTGGCTCCGTCTGGCTGTCATCGCTTGAGGTTCCAGCAGCCGTCTCTTCTTCTTCATCGTTTCCTTCGATTGAACTATTCGGCTCAGTTTCTGGTGCCGTAGCCATTTCCTCTTCACGGCTGATGATTATAGTCGCTGAATAATGTCATCTGCGGAAGAATAAGTTCGGGCACTTTCCAGCAGGCGAGAACCACGCAGCCCAGTTCGTTGGTTTCGCTCTTGCAGCTTGTTAGGATCTTGTTCCACAAACCTAATAATTATAGTTACATTTCACTAAAACTAAAAGACTTGCGAATACACAACCAAAAATATTTGTTGCATGGAGAGCTCAGACTGTCAGTGTCTCCACCGCCGCGGAGTAGGTCTACTCCCGATCCCTGGTCTCTACACTCTACACTGACTACAGACTACAGTAGTACAGCAGGATAGGGTCTACACACTACTCCGTAGATCTACGGAGTAGATCTACGGAGTAGGTCTACGAAGTAGATCTACGAGTATTCGCTATCGTTTGAGAAGACTGGACCACAAAACGGCACAAGGCAGTGTCCACGATAGTCGATAAGTCACGGCACCGGCAGCACACTGCACACGCAGTCGTGGCGATCAGATCGGCCATCTCCACGTAGGTATAGTACTAGTACTAGTACACTGTAGTAGATCTACGTATCTACTCAGTAGTAATATTGACTGAGTGCTAGGAAATAACAGCCGAGGTCTTTAACGAGGTCTTATATTTCCTATACTGACCAAGTACGAAGTCAATACTAGATTTATCACGACTAGCCAAAGCCTGTGTTCAATCGCTAAAAAGGAGTCAAATATAAGCGGTCAATATAGCCCTAAGGAGTGAAATATGCAGGAATATTTGACTGCTTAGGTATGGTAAAAATCTATGGGAGTCAATACTAAGGGAGTGATAATACTACTTACTAGATCTAGTAGTAGTACTTAGTACAATTCATATTGTTAGATTGATTATGACAGCATGAAACAAGGTGGAGGACACTGTGTTCGAAAACAGGCTTATCGAATACTGGTTCTGAACCAGTATTGGGGTATACAATATACATGTAGTACAATTCATGTAGCTATTCCAAACTCTTCGGAACTAATGCACCACTCCCATCGGATGAGGTTGTGGAGTTTCGAGGAGTTTCGTTTTTCTGAAGAGGCAAATAAGGCCACCTCTTCAAAAAAACGAAACTCCTCGAAAAGTCACAGGGTGAAAGAGTGACGAACGCGCCCTTACTGCCTAATACTGTAATAGTAGTAATACTCAGACTTACATGTAGTGATAGTCTAAGATCCACATGTGCAAGTACAATGACTCACTGTGCAGATCTACACTCTACAGTGATCTGGTGATCATGCACATAAGTTTTAAAAGTCATTGTACAAGTGCAAACTGTGTTAGATAAACCTTGTTTTGTTGAAACCATGTTGTTGGTTGACAGCATGGTACTACAAGGACGTCACGTGGACGCTGCTATCTGGTGTTCACGAGGTGTTTGTCGCGCTGCCAGCAGAGCGTCTCGGTTACCGGTAGTTTGTATTCCTGGTAATATTTGGACCTGGAGAGCGCTATGTAAGCGGTGCTCTTCAGGAGATGTCTAATAATAATTATAAAGCTGTTCAGAGCTAATCGGTGCACCCCGTCCAGTAGGCATCGGCCGATAATTCTCGAGAAGGTGGCAGATTCTGCTCGAAAAGCAGTGAAATTGGCAGAACCATACAAACCTTATGGCGGGCAATTCCTCGAATTCTGCTCCATTTGTTTTATCCACATACCAAACATGCATGAAACTTACTAAAAAAGTACCGAATTCTGCCAATTTTTCTGCCGGCATTATCCGCAAAGGCCTACCGTCCAGTCTGGCGTCCCACAATGTACACTGTAGTATCCTTAGTCCTACCTTGTTCCTCGTGTACATGTAAGTGGACGACATTTCAAGCTGCTTGTCGCATGGCACAAACATGAACACTTTTGCAGTTGATACCACTTTGTACTCCCTCCTTGACAAAGCCTCGAATGCCTCACTACAACGCAGCCTAGATGAGATTCATGCCTGGGGCAAGATACGGAGGATTGCGTTTGAGCCATCGGAATCGCAAACCATAATTCTATCACATCAGCGGAAGGATACAGCTAGTGCCTCCACAGCTGTCATTTGGCGGGAATCCTCTCCCACAATATGAACCCTTCAAGGTGCTCGGAGTGATGTTCGATTCCAAACTTAGCGACCGACTCCACCTTCGGCAGGTAACAGTTGCATCATGTGCTAAGCTGCAACTGGCCCTCCTGTGGAAGGCAGACTCCCTTCTCAGTCACGCGTGCAGGGTGACTTTTCACAAAGGATTCGTCCCGACCATGCAGGATGAAAACCCCCTTGCGTAGATGGGATCAGCTTCTTCACACTTGGCCATGCTGGATGCTGTCCAGCTCCGCGCCCCTAACGGCATTGACCCTGCCACCAAACTTCCCAGCGTCACTGTTCGGCGTAAGGTCTCTGTTCTCTGTATAGTGTTATAAATGTATACAACTGATATGTGGTCATGGTCTGCCTCAATTAAGTTGCAGCCATGTGTCCCCCGCCAGCTATGCCGCCACGTCATCGCCCCACACCAGCAGCCCAAGCACATCACCATGATCCCCACCAGCCTGAGCTGAATGTATCGCAATGAGCTCCTGACTACCTTCTGCGCTCTTTTCCATGCTGCATCGTGCCAGCGTAGAATAGATTGCCACAAGCAGTTCTTCCAGCCAGTCCTGAAGCACCTGCAGAGCTGGCTGCATACCGTCACCTGCAACAGAGTGACTGGTGCTCTGCTCATGACTGAAAGGCTAGTCATGCATGTTTCATACAGGCTTGTTACCAGTGGATCATAAGATGTTGACCTTCTTCCACAAGTACGGTAGGATAGTCATATTCTGCGATATGCCCCCACAACTATTTCTCTCTATTATACTTATATCTCTCCACCTTTCTCTCTCTCTCTCTCTCTCTCTCTCTCTCTCTCTCTCTCTCTCTCTCTCTCTCTCTCTCTCTCTCTCTCTCTCTATCTCTCTCTCTCTCTCTCTCTCTCTCTCTCTCTCTCTCTCTCTCTCTCTCTCTCTCTCTCTCTCTCTCTCTCTCTCTCTCTCTCTCTCTCTCTCTCTCTCTCTCTCTCTCTCTCTCTCTCTCTCTCTCTCTCTCTCTCTCTCTCTCTCTCTCTCTCTCTCTCTCTCTCTCTCTCTCTCTCTCTCTCTCTCTCTCTCTCTCTCTCTCTCTCTCTCTCTCTCTCTCTCTCTCTCTCTCTCTCTCTCTCTCTCTCTCTCTCTCTCTCTCTCTCTCTCTCTCAATCCACCATTCCCCGTTCACAAGGCTGAGCGGGGTTGTGAGCAGGCTTTCATTTCATCTTTTTTATTTTATTTCTCAGTATTTCTCCTTTTCATCTCATTACAAATATTCTGCACATAGAATCTAGACTGACAACCTGCTTGTTAAATCATGCACCTGCTTTCAGGCCACCAAACCCTGTTGTAGAGGTCTCAGTCCTCATTTGTAAGACTTACATGTACCTGTCTTTATAAATGTAACTTACTCTCCCCCCCCCCCCCGTCTCTATCTCCCCTAGTCTCTCTCTCTCTCTCTCTCTCTCTCTCTCTCTCTTTCTCTCTCTCTTTCTCGCTCTCTCTCTTTCTCCCTCACTCTTTTTCTTCCTCTCTTTCTCACACCCTCTCTCCCAAAGCTAGACTGACAACCTGCTTGTTAAATCATGCACCTGCTTTCAGGCGTAAAACCCTGTTGTAGAGGTCTCAGTCCTCATTTGTTAGACTCACCTGTCTTTATAATGTACCTTACTTACTTTCTCTCCGTCTCTCTCTCTCCCCGTCATTCCTCTCGCCCCCCTCCCCCCTCCCCCCATGGTGCTTCATGTGTACAGCGATCCCTAGCCCTTGGTCAGGGGAGTCCACCGCACCTCACCAGCTCACCTCATGTAGCGCCTACACATGTACGCATTGTTTTTTTGTTTTGTTTTGTCTTTGTTTTGTTTCCCCTTTCTACGGGAGGCAAGTGCACTGTGATAAACACCAAACAAAACAAATCAAAAATTTGTACATTTGAGGATTTCCCTAAGATATACATGTAGTGAAAACAATCTTCCTGAGCATATTCAAGCTCAACTGATGAGAGGTGCTGGACCACTGCTGCCAGTGCTGGTGCTTTCTTGTACTTGTACTTGTGGCCACGGGCCTGTATGTAGGTTTGCCGAGACTGTTCTGTCGTGAGTGAGTCACGTGACAAGTCAAGTCGGCGGAAAAGCTCGATGTGGGGAGCAAAACCTTTCCTATAAATTTATCTCCGAAGTCGCTGCCACTACTACTATACTTCGTATACTTGAGCAGTAACTTCGTTTATCGCCTTCTTAGTATTTGACCCCACTAATTTCCCTGATACCTAAAGGCCCGGTCACACATGCACTGGGATTCGCTTCGGCGACGAGGTTCGGCGGCAGCGAGCCTGGTGTCGCTCCAGCGAAACCATGTGTGTATGGTCACACATACAAACAGGGCACAACTCCTACTTTGGCGGAAAATGAGACTGTGGTGCATACGGTACGGAGAATAGACGAGGTCAATGACTATCTTGCACGCATTTTTGTTGCATGGACATCATACGCATACACATTTCTCGTAGCAAGTCCATATCCAGCAGACCGTGGTGTTTTCCGCTGAAGCGAATCCGCAGAAGCGACAGTCTCGCTTCGAAAAATTTGGAGGAAGCGGATTGGAGTTTCCGCTGAAGCGGAAGTTCCGCTTTTCGCCGTTGCCATGCCATTTTTCGCTCCTGCGACCTCGCTTCAGCGTATACGCTACTTTCGAGTGCATGTGTGACCGGGCCCTTAGCGGTCAAATATATCGCGTATTTGACTGCTTAGTCAAATACACAATATATTATAGCAATAAAAACTGCTTTATGGCAGTTTTCTAAAAAAAGTTATTGTGTTCTAGTCCATGGACCTCGTCTAAAAAGTAAGAAATTAACGAAATGTGATAGCTGAAAATTAAAATTTCACACAAAACCTCACAATAATCACAACACTTGAAATGCTGCTTTCAACTTTAACTTGTACTGCACCAACAATTGGCAACAATGCATGCATAGGAAAGAGGATCACGAGGGGAAAAGGTCTTCTACATGTAGCTTTTAATTCTGTGTGTGATTATTGTGAGGTTTTGTGTGAAATTTTAATTTTCAGCTATCACATTTCGTTAATTTCTTACTTTTTAGACGAGGTCCATGGACTAGAACACAATAACTTTTTTTAGAAAACTGCCATAAAGCAGTTTTTATTGCTATAATTTCTTTTGTTTTTTTCTGTCACCAATCAATGGAATGCCCTATATCAATATGTAAATGATGGCCTTCACATCATATCAATACGGTATTATACGCATTGATATTACATGATGTGCAAGCCTTTTCTTGCAGAAAATGGCACTAGCATAATGCATGTTCTTCTGCGGGGAAACATGTGAGTAGTGGTGGTGATACTTTTTTTATACGGAGGTCATTCTGTGCATGTTGCTGTTGCAGAATTTCATGACTGTCGTAAATTTGTCTTGCCTTTCAGATTTCCCCACCCTCGATCAGATTTATTTGAGAAATGTAGCCATGCGCCAG